CACAACACGAGCCGACCAAAGGAGGTGCCAACACACGCACGCACACAAACGGCACCCTCGCGTTTTTCTCGGCGAATCCAGCCCAGATGCGGCGGGCCTAGATTTCTTTGTCTTACATACCTACTTTACGCATCTACCAATTCGCGGAAAACACGTAGTATATGCAGCTCATTCCTATATCGGATACTGCTCTATGTACGTATGTATGGTGAACGATGGACAAGGCTGCTGTCACTTATAACATCAGTAGAAAAGCAGTCACGCGACACCTTCCCTGCCAGGTATACACACTTACTCAGCCTGGTGGATGTATGTAAGCCTGCAAGAAACCTCGTCAGCTCCGGATTATACCATGGATATATGACTTGACCCTAAGCAACACAGCAATGGCTGGGAATAAACCTCGCCTTGTTGGGGGAGATACACCATTAAAAGCCATTGACCATATACACCCTCTGTCCTTCATTCAGCATGTCCGCTTATACCATCGTTGGTAATGCCATCTTCATGGTCCTCCGGCTAATATAAAGCCTGGACCCTGCACGAAACCGCACCCATCCATCTAATCCACTACCTAGTCAGCCCGCAGAATGTCTTTTCATTTCCTAGACTAGAGCTAAGGTTAATCTTAGTGCCATGTGTGTGAGACATGGCAGCTACTCACATGTATATATGTATGGACACACACTTATACCACAAGGCTCTATCTTTGTTGTTTTTGTTCGTAATCTTTGCCATCTTAGTTGCAATCGTAGACTTTCGTGTTGGCCGTTTAGTTCCCGTTTCTAATTACAGATAATACATCCGCATTGTGTGACGATACAACGACAACAAAATTACCCCAACGTAAGCCGGATAAGGAGATCGAGGTGCGGAATAGTGACGTCTGTACTGGAATTTGGCGCGGGGGCTGCTGCGGAGCACATTTTATTGCAGTAAAAGTCTCTAGTAAAAAGACAGCTTCTTCATACTTTACGCCTTATGTACCAGTGTTCGAGTATCGGAGGGCCTTGTCCTGTCTGTCTCTCATCAATGCAATGCGTGTAGGTGTGTAAGTGTGAGCATGTGATTACACGCGTAAGATACGTGTAAGTGGGCAATCAGTGGCAGCTTCTTATGAATCGAGACCCATCCCGAGATTTACCTTACTCTTCTTATTATTCCGCTCTCTATCCGTCGTGCCACAAGTCAAGGTCACACTGCATTGTGTTGCCAGCCGAGGTCCGAGATGCATATGTGATATTGCCGCATGCCTATGTGTTCACATGCATCTTGGTGCAGCGAGGGAAATGCACGTTATCGAATCAATAAATGTTGCAATGCTATATACTAGGTATATATAAATAGAATGCATATGATAAATTATAAAAGTAAAAAGATATACCAAGAAATCCTTGCGTGGTATCGTTCAAATTGGACTTTCAAAAGTTCCCTTTTCTTAGTGAGATAATGCCCCGTCTCCTTATAGAGATTTTGGCCGCCACGGTCGTACGATGGGAGTCCCATGATTATTTTGGCCATTCTCGTCATACATCATACATCCTGATACTCGAGGACTTGTTCAACTTCCAAAACGCCAATGATGCTCCCGCTGTGTGTTATTGCAATGACTGATCCAGTTCCGCCAACTCCATGTTCCTGCTCCTCAGTGGGAGACGACTGCATATCTTCCAAGATGTCTCGCGCCTGGCGAACCGTCGTCTCCGACGACATGGCTAGCATTTGACGGCGGGACACTGTGATGCCTGGTACGTCCTTGATTGGTCTCATCATGTCTGCGTCGCCCAATGTCCGTATCATGCTTGGGACGGCAATCGCATCGCCAATTCTTACCCACCCCGTCTTTGAGCTGTACGCTGCCCGGAGCAGGCTCAGCACAAGATCGTCGCCACTCAGCCCCTCGGTTACATCAACCTCGTCCCATGGGACGGAAATGTGACCCAAAGTCTGCGGCCCTCGAGCCACTGCGGCGACTGCAGCGCCAATAGCGCCGCCGGGGTGGTTTTTGGCAAACATTGTTGAGACACTCGAGTGAAGCTCGTGAGCAGCCGTGAGAGCCAACGCATCGCCCAATGCCAGAGCCGCTGTTGTTGAAGACGACGGCGCCGGTACTCCAAACGATACATTTTCAGGCTCGGGAATGGGCGCCGGTAATAGAATCGTCTTGGGCCGATGCTTGAAAAATTCGCAAGTCTCGCGCCTCATGTGAGATGTCAGAAGAATTGTCGGAAGATTTTCATCCAGGTGAGGTAGCATCAAGAAAAGCTCCTGCGTCTTTCCGGAGTAAGTGATGAATAAGAGTGTGTCTTCCGGGCCCACAATGCCCAGGTCCCCGTGAAGAGCTTCAGTGGGATGGAGAAATACAGAACGAATTGCCAGGCTTTGGAATGTCGCCACCAGTTTTTTTCCAATGTGGCCGGATTTGCCGACACCGATGATAACCAGCTTCCCTTTCGTCTTGGCGAGGCGAGTGATGGCCTTGATGGAGGCATTGAACCCATCCCGCGCAACCGCGTCAACCTCGTATAGTTTTGTGAGATTGGCCAATGCGGCAGCCTCGATGTTTAACACGTGGATGCCACTATGAAGTCTCCTCTCCCGGACAGACTGCTCCCGTGACGGCTTCCCGTCTAAGCTGAAGCCATCAACTGGGTCGCCAATGTCTTTGGCCGATGGTGAAGCCGAAGGCGTTGGTGGAGACGGCGGTGGGAAAGACTGACATTTCGAAGCGCCCAGAACGATGACAGCACTCGTCTGGATGGGCCTATGGTCGCCGTGCCGTGAATCAAGCATTTTTGATAATGTTTTAACGATCGAGCTAGTCGATGATTGACAGAAATCAAAAACAAGAAAAAGTAGGTGGCAGCAGTTTTGATATCCAGACAGGCGAGCGACAAAACTCAATTACAGAAGCGCCGAGAACTTAAAACCGCGCAGATCTGATCGCCCCGGGCTCAGGATCACCCCCGCGCTTCGCAAACCACTGCCAACCTTAATCCGATGTATCGCTGTGGCACTGCTGGAGTCGTGGGCCGTGGGAGCATGTCCGATCCAACCCTACACGTGAAACAAACGCCAAGTGTCAGTGTCGGTGTCAGTGCCACGCAGAAGAGACTTTGCCGCAAATTGGGTTCCAAGACACGCGGTCAGCTCTCAGGCCATGGTGAAGGAGCGCCCTGGCAGAAGATTGAGCTGAGCTGGAAAGGCTTGAAACATAGAGCTGATTGCGCTGATAAGGACCCTGGATCTGATTCCATGTAGGTCGGTATATAAAAAAAGTCGCAGGTCAGCGAATGCGTGTGAGTGGACGTGGCGACGATTGGCGCATGTCAAATTGTGTGCTCAGATCCTAGCGCTCAATTGGGTGAAGGCTCGGCCAACGGACGCATTTCCGCTCGGATAGCCTACGGCAGGCTATCTGGGCTTAGAAATCCACTATGCTAGGCCTAACAGTTGAGCCGATGCTGAGGTTTGGCTGGTGAACGGCGCATCGTCGGCATCGTGATACAGACTTCTACTCGTCATTGAACCTCTTGTGGCGTTGCTGGCGTTGCCTTTTGAACAAAGCAAACAGAAACGAAAGCCTTCACGTTGAAAACACGCGAAATACGGACAAGACTGGCTGTGGTGGCAAAACCACACGCGTGAATCTCGCATGCACAATCGCCCTGTCGCGATTTCACATGATCAAATCCGCCCCCCACAGCCCTCCCTGAGCTCCGTAATGCAGCTGTGCTTTGCGTTCAGACAGCGCCGGCAGTTCCAGGAGATTTGAAAAAACGCTCGTTCTGGCCTTAAATTCCGCTGCTCGTGCAGCCCCCGCATCGTCACGTCATCAGCGCTGCAAATGACTGTAGAAGAGATGGTTAACGCAGCCGCTTTCGGTAGAGGGGAGAATATAAATCCGACGATACCCGTGGATAAGATTCATGTGTGCTTGGCAAACGTCTCGTGTCCGCAGAAGGGAGCAAAGGGGAGCACCGTGCTTCCGTAAGTTACTCGACTGTCTCAAGTCGTGAAGTCGTTTAGAGCTGTTCGTTTAGAGGTGCAAGACGAGAGAAAAGGGTGTCCAGCAGTCACGCGAAGAGCAGCTCCTATATATGTACATACTTGTACCACTACTATTCAGGTAGCCTACACATTCCAATACCAGCTGACTGCTTCTCCTTGATCATGCCACCAAAACGCTTAGGCGGCTGACAGGCCTGGAGAGCCCCCGAGCCTTCTGTCTCGTCTTCTCCCAGAGGCCTAGCCAGGGTCTGGCAGCCGCTAATTGGCCCGCCCCTCATCCAATTTTCCGGCCTTGTGTCTCAGCAGCAGCTCTCAATGGCTGGATCGAGCCTCTCATCCCCGGATCTGGCATCTCGGGCGACGATAGTCCATGTCCGCGTGGCCCGCAAGCAGATTGTGAGTGAGACACGAGGGCGATTACAAGAATACAACAATTAGTACAGCAGTCGACCTATATACGCCAAAAGTCCTCACAACTCCAAAAGATTCCGTTCTAGCTTTACAAGACAGCATAGCCGGGCAGAATTGAAATTGCTCTTACGCCGTGCACCCCGGCCTCCGCGGGTTTAGCTTTCTGCAACTGCAATTCAAGGATAGGAGGAGGCTTATCACTATGACGAGGGCCCCAAGCAGAGACTCCAAGTCGTCTCTGTTGCCCCGGCTTCCCGGAACATCCGCCAGCTGGCACATCTGAATCTCGTATGTGAAGGCAGCAAACGGAAGTCAACAAGCAGAGAAGGGAGTTTCTGAGATTTGACGTCAATCCTCCTTACGTAAGGTGAGCGTCTGATAAATTTACTTCCGCAAGCATCAATCAATTCTTGCCTTTGAACTCTTCTGGATCTCAATAGAATTATCAACTTCTGCATCCAACCTCAGCAACTCATTATTAAAGCAAACTCCATTTCTTTCTTCTCTTCTTTCATTCTTATTGAGATAAGTATTTGGGGCTATTCCAAGCGACCTTTTGTTTGGTTTCCGTCTCCACGATGGAGTCGGCTAAAGCCGCAGAGAAGGGCCCTCTTCTCGAGCTGCGTTCAACATCGCGCGACGCTGCGCGCGATCAGCACGGGCCGCGGCGAGGATGGCGATACTATGTTGGACGGTCGGTGATGATTCTTTTTACCTTGTTAATAGGGTCATATGCATTTCGCTGGGTCACAGCGCCCGGTGCCGTTTACAGCAGCCATATGCCTCGGCAAATCGACGACGAGCTTATGGCTAAAAGGCTGGCGGCTTCACAGCGGACACAGCCTCTACTGTTGCATCATCAGCATGACGGCCAAAAGCAGGCGAGGCTGGGGGGCAAAGCTCAGGCCTATGGGACGTCTGGTAGCGCTAAAGATGGCCAGTATCTCATTGGAGTTGGAAAGGCGGACATCACGGGACCCGTTGTTGAAATCAACATGATGGGCTACGCCAACTTCGAACAGGTCGGCAGTGGCGTCCGCCAACGCCTCTACTCGCGGGCTTTTATCGTTGGCGACCTTCACAATCCGGAAGACAGATTCATCTATCTCGTTCTGGACACGCAGGCCGGCGATACTGCTGTCCGATATGGTATCCTTCGAGGCCTTCAGGAGCTAGGGCCTGATTACGCCATGTATGGACACGACAACCTGGCCGTCACCGCGACACACTCTCATTCTGGGCCCGGCGCCTGGCTCAACTATCTCTTACCCCAACTCACCAGCTTAGGATTCGACAAGCAGAGCTATCAAGCCATTGTGGATGGCTGCTTGTTGTCTATCCGCCGTGCACATGAGAGCCTGGAGCCGGGTAGCTTAACCGCTGGCACCACCAAGGTTTTTGGCGCAAATATCAATAGAAGTCTCTACGCATATCTTGCTAATCCAGCAGAGGAAAGGGCCAAGTACAACGTCAGCGCGGAGGACGATGGGTCTGTGGAGAAGGATCTGACTCTGCTTAAATTTAGAAGAGCATCCGATGGCAAAAGCATTGGCGTGCTTACTTGGTTCCCCACCCATGGCACTTCGATGTTAGCCAACAACACCCTAATAACGGGAGACAACAAAGGCGTGGCCGCCTACCTGTTTGAGAAAAAAGTTCGTGAAAGAGAGAATGAGACGGACGACTTTGTTGCCGGCTTTTCTCAGGCGAACATGGGGGATGCCAGCCCCAACACGCTTGGTGAGTGGTGTGACGATGGCTCTGGCGAGAGGTGCGACTGGATATCAAGCTCCTGCAAGAGCACTGGCAGAAGTAGGAAATGCCACGCACGAGGACCTTTTTTCAGGGAGAAGGATGAGGGAGCGACATCCTGTTTTGAGATTGGCAAGAAGCAGTACGAAGCCGCCCTCGACTTGTACCTTTCTATGGATACCATGCCGGCAAATGTTAAGGGATCAGGTGTCAAAGCGTTTCATCGCTTCCATGACATGTCTGATTTCCAATTTCAGCTGCCCAATGGCTCGTCGGCTCGCACATGCTCGGCGGCGCTGGGCTACTCTTTCGCAGCCGGCACCTGGGATGAACCAGGCCACTACGAAATTACGCAGCATGGCTCCAATGAGTCAAACACAAATCCCGCTTGGAAATTGATACGATGGGTTATCGGAGCTCCTAGCCCCGAGCAGATCCAATGCCATTCCCCAAAGCCTATCCTCTTGAATGTTGGCAAGACTCGCTTTCCGTATCACTGGACACCGGATATTGTGGACTTGCAGACTTTCAGAGTCGGCCAGTTTATCATTATTGTCAGTCCCGGAGAAGCAACAACAATGGCGGGCCGTCGATGGAAAGAAGCGGTTGCTGAGAGCAGCAAAATCCAGTTGGCAGATGAATTGGCTGGCAATGAGCCCATTGTCGTGTTTGGAGGACCCAGCAACACGTATACTCATTATATCACAACAGAGCAGGAGTATGGGTAAGTCAATTTCTTCTCGTTTGTTCTAGTGATGCCCAGGTCAACTATCTTCTACAGTATCGCATTCTTTCTCAACTAACCCTATGGAATGTACAGTCGCCAACGCTACGAAGGGGCTTCGACTTTGTATGGGCCACACACCCTAGCGGCTTACATTGATCGAACCAAGGCTCTGCTTCCTCTTTTGCGGGATGATGCTCCTGGCAGAGATTCCAACTCCAGTGATACTGGACCCTTGCCCCCAGACAATAGCGATAAATCTATTGGTTTGAACACGGGCGTCTTGTTTGATACGACACCACAATCTCGTTCATTTGGAGACGTGATTATCAACGTTGGCAGGCCCCAGTTTACACGCGGAGACAAGGTAAAAGCAACATTTGTCGGAGCCAATCCGAGAAACAATTTACGACTAGAGGAGACGTATGCCGCTGTTGAGCATCGCTATGCTGGTGAAGCAGAGTGGAAAACCGTGCGCGATGACTCGGACTGGGCACTCGTCTACCAGTGGAAGCGAACCAGTCTGTTCAAGGGCACCAGCGAAGCAACAGTTGCATGGGACATTGAGGACTGGGCAAAGCCAGGAGAATACAGACTCTGCTACTTTGGCAATGCCAGATCCATTGGCGGCGAGGTTACGGCGTTTGAAGGTAAAAGCGCGGCGTTTACGGTCGGTTAACGTTGGCTTCCCGCGAGGGAAAGGTTATACATCATATCAACTACGGGTTTACAAGCGGTTGCCATTGAGAAATTATTAGAGCTTTCTAAAGAGCACAGCGACTTTATTGGGAATAATTTTCTCTTCTCCCATTGTTTTATTAGACAGGCTTTCAGACGTACAGCACGAGGCAGCGGTCTCTGGCATTCTGGGCACCACTACACAATGGCGTTTATAGGTTTCATGGCTTTTATCATTCTTTCATTCTCGCTTTTTGTCTACCATATATGGCATACAGGATAAATTGAATCAATTACCAGGCATGTACTGGCGAACCTTGAAAGGCGAAGCTTCCACGAATCACGAATGGATGCACTCGGAATGCCCGCGAACGTACGAAGTGCGCAAGTACAAGTAGTAGTACTTTCAGGTCTTTGCTGGTTTCAGCGTTTCGTCACTGTCGATCCCCTGTAGCGTTTTTAATATGGAGCCTTGGGAGAGAACCAAGCAAAGGCCTCGCTGGTTCAACGTGGCTGGGCATTGATTGGCTGCCCATGAAGAAGAGAGTCCAGAAGGCTCCGGCGAATGCGGGCCGGGGAGCGCATGTAATTGTACCCCTACATGTACGCTCCAGTCTATCGAAAACACTTGCAACGATTTCTCCAGTCCAACTCCAGCGGATACGAACTCTCGAGATGGCCTAATCCTGGATTGGGGAAGAGCCCGGAACAAGGGGAGAGGGGACTTTCGGGCAGTGCAGCTAAAAGGGCGACATGCACGCATATACGAAGCAATTGAGCAGCTGCTATCAAACGAGTTCGTATTGCGGACATGTTATGCACATCAAGCTTAATATACACTTACTTGAAACAAAGAATGCCAAGCTTTTTTTGCACGTTTTTATTTTAGAGCCCTTGTTTGTTAGGCGATTGATGGCTTGGCAGAATTCTGAGAGGCGCGCGGCAAATTACCTGCCATTGCAATGAGAAGGCAGGCAGGGCAGATACCTGTACCTAGTACTACTATAGCTTTTCTTGCCGCGTAATTCAAGGGCAAGATGCGGATGTTCGGAATACATACTAGTTACTCGCTCGCATGCATAAAAGAGGCTGATGCATGTCTGTTGCATGGGGATCACGAGCTACTATATTAAGACTGCCAAAGGAGCCCTTCAAGGTAAAGGGCAGCCGCCGACACTGCCACCCCCCTTTGTCAGCTGTCACGGTAGTATTTGGTACTTGTAAATCTACAGTAGAACAACATTTGTAAGTTTCTATATAGACAATCGTTTTGAGAGCAGCAAATCACGAGTTCAAGAACAAAAGGCATAGATGTCCAAATTCCAAGGCAACAACCGTCACAATTCCCTTGTAGTCTCACATTTGTGTGAATGCTTTTTCCTAATAGCGGCAGTTATCGCGCGGGCTTCTATGTACATACATACTATTGATGTCATGGTGCCAACTGTGGTTGTAGCGGCATTAGCAAGGCTCGTAAATGTGGATTCCACTGTGGATATGCTCTTCGTCGTCTTCATTGTGGCCCATCTGCAGCGCGTTATCAATGTACATCGTGTTTCAGAACTCGGGGTATCGCCACAATCCCTGGCCCAACTGGTAGGCATTCATTGAGTGATCGTGGCATTTTTTGCTTGTACTGTAGCACTTCGGTCAACCGTCGCCAATGCCTTTCTACAACAGAGAGAAGAGAGCGGTCGAGGCCCTGCATGGGGGCTTTGCTCGTGCTATCGAAGCAGCATCTTTCATTGCCAGAGCCCCGTTGTTAACTCCCGCTGATGCCGAGGGTGTAAAAGACGCTCACGATTGTCTGTAGGTTGTCTCGGTGTCTCACCAAGTGTCAGATCGATCTGCGCTGATATGCTAGTCCGTGCTACGTCCTGCTCTGCACTATCAGGCACAGCACAGCAGCATTCCACATCCAAAGCGGTGGCACAGACCTGTAAACGCGCGCCGCACAGGACGATCCTCGTCTCGGGCAGATTCACTGCATCATGCCGTTCTCGCTTGCGTCCATTCTGTTGTTGTTCATTTTTACTATTGTTTTTGTCTCGACTCTTCCATCTCCCTCGGCGGCTTCCCAACTCGTACGACCCGCTGCGCTGGGAAATCTTGCAGCAGCTTTTACAAGTACAAGTACAAACGGGCCGTCTCCAAGTAGCGGTACCTGTACTTTCAGATATCACTGGCGCCCTAAAATACTTCCGTGCCGCCTAGCCCTTGGTGCCCTCCCTTTTGGCAGCCAAGCCTTTCAGCTGTCGTCATTGCTTGCCTATCCCCCTTGCTGCGGCTGCAAAAGAGGTATCCGTCCAGTTACAGGGGCGCCCAAAAAAAAATTAGTATCGAGAAAATTCCCATGTGCTGCAAAGCAGTAAGTGCCGAGCCACTCCGTCCGTGCATACTCTCTGCGCGTCAGGAAAACGACTCGAACCTGAAATATTGATCGCTGACAGCGGGTCTGGCCTGGTCTGATCTTGTAATCTAGTAGTATCCAATTCCATTCCCAGCTCTCCGCGCTCCCTCTCCGGAAGCCGTGCTCCTTTTATCTACCTTTTGTTACGAGCCCGGTTTTTTCTTTTCTTGGATCTTTTCCTTTTTTCAATCCTTCTTTCTTGGCTTTCCAATCCTCGTCGTCTACAGGCTGGATCCGGAAACCAACTGTGGCGTCTATCAAAAACGTCGAACATCCAGTGGCGGATTGACTGAAATCAACCCATCCTGGCTATCGCTGCCGATAAGCCCTGCCGTAGTAGAGACACTCGGTATTACGACTCGCCATCATCTCATTCTCGCATCTGTCCATCCCAATCTCACCTCACCTTGCTCGGGTTACGCAATACGAGACGAGATAGCTAATCGTGCTGCTCCTCGTCTCGCCTCCCCTCCTCCCTGCTTCTCGGCGACTCTCGCTCTTTCTCAGCCTCAGCCTCGGACCTGATCCTCTCTGCATCGCATCTCCTGTCCAATCCGCTCAATCCAAGGCGGCCCCCGGCAGAGCTGAATGCTAAGCTTTTAGTTTAATTTTATTCCTTAATTCCCTAATCCCGACCTGTCCATTGTCCTTTTTGTTATTCTTGGGAGGCGTCTTCTGCTCCGTCTCAATCTCCATCTCGCTCCTCCGCCGTCTCGTCTCCTCGCTCGTTCCAGATACCATCACGCCAAGCATGGGAGCCGACGGCATGGGCCTCATCAAGCTGCCGTCCCGTCACTGGCGGGCCGCTGTCATCGTGGGCTGCACGCTGCTCTTGGCTCTGCCCCTCTACCAGCTGCGCGACCACCAGGCCGCCGGCTACTACAAGCAGTACATCTACGACCATCTGCCCACCTACCTGCAGGGCCCGGGCGTCTACAACAACACGCTCTATCACGAGGGCACCGAGGCCGCCGTGCACTCGCAGTGGAATTTCAGCTCTCCATGCCACGGCTTCCCCGACATGGACAGCATCATGCTGGTCATGAAGACGGGCGCCACCGAGGCCTACGACAAGCTGCCCACGCAGCTGCTCACCGGCCTGCAGTGCATCGACGACTTTCTCATCTTCTCGGACCTGGTAAGCCTCCGCCCATCCTGAGTTGCACGAGACCATCACATAGACCATCACTTAGACCATCACATACGCTCCCGCCTTGGCAGCGGCATAGCCCCTCCTCCTATCCGTCCTCCCCGTCCAACGAGGCTGCAAGGGGATGGGTCTCATCGAGCTTTCAAGTGCCAAGACTAACACCCAATGCAGGAGCAGCAGATTGGTAAATATCACATCTACGATGCCCTCGACCGCGTCGACCCCAAGATCCGCGAAAAGTACGAAGAATTCAAGCTCTACGAGGCGCAAAAGGAATGTCCCGTTTCGCAAAAGGACTGCACGGCCGATATGGAGGGCGGCTGGGCGTTGGATAAGTTCAAGTTTCTCAACATGGTGGTGCGCACCTGGGAGCTGCGTCCCGACCGCGATTGGTATGTCTTCGCCGAGGCCGATACTTACGTCGTGTGGCCGACTCTGGTTCACTGGCTGCGCACAAAGGTCAACCCGCGCGACAACGTCTACATCGGCAGCGTTGCCATGATGGCTGGCTTTCCCTTTGCCCACGGAGGCAGCGGCTATATCGTCTCCGGCGCCCTCATGCGCAAGATGGCTTCGATTCCCGACATTGCCAAGTTTGACGACATGGCCGGCGACGAATGCTGTGGCGACGTGCTCTTCTCCAAGGCTGCCAAGGAGGCTGGCACAAAAGTTTTAAACGCACACCCCATGTTCAACGGCGAGAAGCCCAACACGCTGCCTTACGGACCCGGCCACTGGTGCGAGCCTCTCTTCACCATGCACCACATGAACTCGGAGGAGATTAGCGGCGTGTGGCAGTATGAACAAACACGCACCCACAAGGTTTGTCCTCCACATTCTGATCAAGACTTTGAAACTTGATTGACGTTGGAAACTTTGGACTAACAGAATGCAACGCAGGACCTGATGCAAATCCGAGAGATGTATTACGCTTTTTTCGCTCCCAAGATGGTTCAGCACCGCAAGGACTGGGACAACCTGTCAGATGATACTTGCTACATTGGTCCCGACGAGGAGAGCCAGAAGAAGGCTCCGCATGCCGCCAAAGACCGCCAGAAAAAGGAGGAAGACAAGAACGTCGTGCAGAAAAACGCGCACAGCTCACCCGCCGCTTGCGCCAAAGTGTGCGAGTCCGAAGGGCTCGATATCCCCGCAGACCAATTCGAAAAACTGGATACAGAAACTGATCGCAGCCAGCTGATCCGATCCAAGTATGACGAAAAGACCGGAGACAAGGGTTTCAAAAAAGATCGCAAGTGCTTCCAATGGCGATTCCAAAAGGGCGTCTGCTGCACGAGCAAGAGCTTCAAGCTCGGCAAGCCCAAGAGGGAAAAGGAAGATAAAGACAAGATGACGAGCGGGTGGTTCGTCAGGGGCATCAATGACTGGATCGAAACACAAGGAGAGTGTCCCCTGGACTGGAGAAATCCTCACTGAAAAAAATTGAGGGATCGCGAAGAACTAGAGCATCTTTCTTGAATCTGTTGTTTTTGGGTATAGAACATGGGATGGGATAGGCACCATACAATAACCGGCGTTTTTTATTTTTTCAAGGGCAATGCAAAAAAGGGAAACGGAATGACATTTGGGAGCTTGATTATTGTTTTTTTGTGTCTTGTTCGATTAGCATCATTAACTTTCTTGTTTTGTAAAACCACTACCTATTTCCTTTATTCATTTTGTTCTCACATGATGAAGCCTTTAAGGTTAGGCAAGACTGGTTTCTGTTTCCTCGTCACCACACACGCGCACACACATAGGTTGGACAAAATGTCTTTTGGATCAGAGAGCGCAAACACACATGCATATATATATATACAACTACATATACATATTCAACATGACATATCAAGCTTTGATCACAGAGATGGTTCGGTTCATAAGACTGTTGTGATCCATGTTCATTCATGTCAATCTATCATTTAGGTTGTATTGTTACATCTGTCTTGTCTCTCTAATTGTAGTTCGCAACGAAGCAATCCGCTTGATGCATCATTCTCAATGCCCATCTACCTTATAGCCCGCTTGCAGTCCAACACCACTCCGAAAAAGGAAATTGAAGAAATTCCAGACCATTTCGTGTACCGTATTTGTCTCATACACACATGCATACATAATCTTCGCCCCTATTACCAAAACCTTCCGCTTGAATGAAAAAGAAAGAAAAAAAAGAAAACTCCAGTAATTCAAACATCTCAGTGATGAGCGCACTCTTCAAATCTCAACATTAACTCATTGAGATGCCGTCATCTTGGCCCCATGACGCCCGCACCAGTGAGGATTCTTGGGAGATCGCATGAAGCAGTATTTCTTTGCGTTAGATCTGGCTGGCGGGCCGTACATCTCCTTGATCTCGCAGTACTCGGCGTCCTCGCCGAACCAATCTTTTAGGTGCCTGTGAAGTTCGCAGCGCGAGATGCCGCACTTGCGACAGTATACCTGGCCTTTCACCCGCAGGCGCTCCAGGTCGTTCTCAGCGGCGCTGCTGTTGGAGTGCGGGTGAACGAGAGGTCCGGCACCCCGCCATGCCCATTCGATGTCGTTGGGGCCAGAATACCGGCTAGACAGCGGGACAGTGCCATTCTTGCGGCGGTGGATGTCATACAGCTTGGAGTGTGTAAGGCCGAGGCATGCGCCATCGATGGGGTCGAGGAAGTCAAAGATGGCGTAGTGAAGCTCGGAAGGAAGGTCGATAAGGGTGAGGCGAGCAGACGGTCGAGGTTGGTTCGCAGGTTCTGGCTCCTTGTCTGTGACAGAGTACGAGCGGCGAGGCGGCGGCAGCTTCGGGCGTTGTGGCAGCTGGGTGGGCTGCTCTTGGACGGGCTGCTGCGGTGCCGGGCTTGGAGGGACGGCCGCATGTTCCGGAATGCGATCGATGGTCGTAGGCATCGCAGCGTGGAAGTGATGCGGTCCGTCGTTCTGTCCTTGATATTCCGTCAAGGACCATCCCCGCCGAGGCACCCTCTTCATGCCTCTCTTCATCGCCAACTCCCGGGCCCTCTGATCATGCTCCTCCCTCGATAAGACCATGTTTTCAGATCTGCCACCGCCCGTCTCGAGCATGGCATTGCCGCTCTGAGAGAGGGGCGAGACTGCATGTACTTGAACCATTGTTACTTGGTTCAGATATAACCGTAAGATAGCTTGTTGAATAGTAGTATTCGAAATCGGCTGCGGGTTGCGACAGAGCAGGCGATAATCGGGTGATGCGCGAACGATGTTGACAAGAAGGTTGGTATATAAGCCCCACGAGTTGCAGTAAGGGGTGTGATGCAGGAAGTGTTGACTCTTGTTTGTTTCGTTATCGACGTTGCGTAATGCGGCACAATGTTTTATTACGACGTGATAGGCTCCTCACTAACGACTTCATGAGATAACTAACACGATGCCGTGCCGATGATGTGAGCAAAGTGATTCGCTTTCCCCCCCACGCTCTGATCCGGGGCAACGGCTGGTGGTCTTTATACTTGGAGTGGGCAGAATCTGGGCCGAGGGCTGGAAACGCCGAGAAAAGGCGACTTCGGGGGCGTGTGTGGGTGGGAAAGGTGGTGGTGTGACGGCGCCTGTCGCTCTCTGGCCTTGGTTCTTGGCCGGGTTCCCCATAGCACGGCGCGCAGACCCATGGCCAACACCCATCAGAGTTTTCCTTCCCCTGGGAGGCGAAATTCTTGGTCATCCTGACCATGTGCCACTGCCTCGCTTTGCGTGCAAGTGGGCTATTAGCGCGAGGTACGGCAGGTCCCCGGGGCGCCATTGGTGCCAGGACGGACTGGGACTAACGCTTGCGAAAACCGGGCTCGACGTACGACGGCTGCGTATCACCAGAAGATCATGTGGTCGGTGCGGATTCATCGCCCATCTCTATCTGGTCGCTTGCGTGGGAGCCGATGGATGGACTCGTTCAAGCTTCTCGCGGGGTGTGTCGGATGGGCTGATACCTCTCGAGACGTCTCGCCAGTGACGAGGCCCTGGGAATGGTGGCAAGACACGGCGGCCGAGATAGGATCACCGGGAGAAAATCTCCCACCTGCGCGCAACATCAGTGGACCGGCCGCATAGAGATCTTGTCAGAGTCCCGGCGGCTCATCCAGCCATCCAGCCATCCATCCAGCCATCCACACTCTTGCTCAGGTATCACCAGCATGTTGACGGGCCGGCCGTACTGCGGATGCTGCGCAGGCTCTGCATGCGGATTGGCCGTTGCAATTCCTGCCGACGTTCTCGATCCAAGGATGCCACCATTCTCCATGCACATCTGCTGTCGCAGAATTGTCTCGAACCTCCTTCGCTGCACCCGGGCGGTACTACCGCAGGCAGCAAGATGTGGCTTCTTCTTCTTCTTTCTTTTTCCATTCTCCTTGTCCAGTTTCTGGTTGCCCTACTCGCGAGCTGCTCCGCCCCCTCACCCGATCCTCTCCGCAATCCCTTTGAGACCCTGAAATATTGTATCACATCGTTGCCTGAACCGACAAAAGATCGCAAGCCTCGTGTCATAGAAAATGGGCGCCCAGAGACCAACGCCGTCGCTCTCCAGCATCTCACTTCTCTATCTGGCATATAAAGGCTCCTTGGCCGGAGATGATCCCGATCTTCGGTGGGGTTTTGGAGCTGTTAGCAGTCCGAGCCGTCATTGCTGCGACTCCACACGGCGCTGCAAGCTTAGCATCATAGCGGAGACGGAGGCTTGAGGGCTTGGGGGACCCTGAATGACCTCGAGGCGCTGCTCGAAACGAGGCTTTGGGGGAAACTTGCACCTGTAAAGTTTGTATCACGTAGCTTGTAGATTTTGACGGAGCGAAGGCTTGAATGATGGTGGAGGGTGGAAGCCCCTCTATTCTTAAGCAGATGTGAAAAAGAAGGAAAAGCGCTCTTGCAGTCGGCGGTGTACCGGGCAGAGGTCAGGTGCGGCTGATCGCGTGGCACGTTCATTCCTGCTACTACTTCTTCTCCCTGCATGTGCTGGCGCTGGACGAGCATCGTGAAGGGTTAGCAGTGGTGTTTAACAGCAGCACGCTAGAGTAACGGCCCTGTAGCTGCATGCATTGCGTGCATTGTAAGCATCGTGATGGGAATCAGTTGGGCGTGAAGCGGTAACCAACAATACGATTATGCGCTTGTAGCGGAGATACTGGCGACTGATGCCCGACATTTGCTTTGTTTGACGTGTACTATCTACTTCCGTAGCCAAGGCTGGTACAATGACCCTATAACCGCGAAAGGTTGCCCGCGTGGTAAAAGATTGTACATCAATCTTGTCTAGAGCTACAACATCTTTCATTAGTACCTATACCAGCCTGGCAGATTCCGCAATCCGGCATCAGGAGGTTGCCGCTATCTACATCATACGTCGAGCATCTTATCACCAAGAAGCTTAAGAGAGTAAATTGCAATTTCATACCGCCCATCGTTCCTTTGTAGGAGCAGTCGGTACGATATAGATGCCATATGATACATACGAACGCTACATTATGTAGATGGTATTCGCTAGGACTCGACAAAAAATCGTCAATGTTTCACTCAAACAGCATCTTAAGGGTCGACTGGTGGGAAAATGCACCGTCTTTCCTTTTATAGGTGCTGGTATTCCAGCAGCTATTAGCGGACAGCTTGGACGAAATACCAACATTGAATAATTCTGTTAAAGTTGTAAAAAAAAAAGATTAATAAGCTTAAATGACAATCGACTCCATAGGTATCCTTAGCTTGTTCCTCCATGCTATGTTTAGTTGCTCATCCCGTCGCAGCATCCCGTCGCTCAATATGCAAGTATTCCAGCAAAGAAGCATATCATAGACGAACGCATGGCAGCAGAATTGGCTCTCCTAAACCACCAGTCACGTCTATACAAGCGCAATTGGCCCAGACCTGGCTCGCCAGATGCTCTTTTTCTAGAAGCCAATGCTTGTGCCATCGAGATGCAGGCGAGAGATTTAGTCCATCACTTCTCCCCTCGCCCCTCATTCTCCTCCCCTCTTCAAACAGCGATCCAAATCAGCATGATAACCACGTCCATGCCCTTGCCCTCGCCTCCGTCATACTTGAAGGTCCACATGCCGTCCTTCTTCTCGTCCCAGTATGCGCCAGTTGCGCTGTGCATTCCTCGTCGGCCGACATGGGGCTTGCCGTCCGTAGCGGTGGCTTCCGTGCTCGTCGACACGTGAGGCTCCTCAGACTTGGTGTCGGTGCCGCCGCGGCTCTTGTTCAGCGCGGACGTGGGGACCAGATGCTGGACAATGGTGCTGTTGCAAGCAAACTTGTATGAGGGGGCGCCGTTGGGGCCCTGGGGAGTGGCCTCGGAGATGAGCGCCTTTAGCATTGAGCTCTGTTGTCGAACAAGTCAGTCAACGGCCGTACAGAAGGACATCTGGAGATTTGCGTTGAGGTATCTGCCATACAATGATGGTTGAGTTCCATTGCTCCGTCTTTGCGTGGTCATAGAATTCCGCACTGCCGATGGCGTTGTTGCACACCTTGATTCCATGTTAGCGGCGCGAGCTCCTGATAGCTTGCACGTTAGGGGGAAAACGAGAGCGGCAGCAACATACATCTGTGGCGATCTGCTTGAGTCGGTTGAAGGGCACGGGCTATCTTTCCTGTCAGCATGTCTCACATTGTACCCCTCTTAGAGCTTTTATAGTTTTTTTCTGTCGCCGTACCGGGGTAGACATCTTGGAGATTTGGCTGGTGAGCGTTTAGGGGGAGTGAGGCTGCAAACAGGAACGATGCGACGAGAACAAGTGAGGAAACCGCTGTAGCTTCGTAGGAGACGCCAATGATAGGAGATACTGCTTGTGCGAGACCGCAACCTAAGATTAGCCAACCATTGACAGCGTCAAGCTCGTTTCAGCGATAAACCAACGTACCTGTGCCACGATGCTTGTTGCTATTGTGCTTCCGGCCGCGAACAGGTTGCTTCGTTCGCCCTGCGTTGGCTTTTCCCCTTTTGGTACAGGCAAAACCGCGCCTCCAGCGGCTGAGCTGTGCACGTGACCTCGCCGAGGAAGGTACCCAAGTACCGCTATAGACCGCTGGCACTAGAAGCCCACGTGCTCGTTGTCCAGCTCCCCAAAAGCTAGAAGCGGCCTGCAGAGGTGGAGACTTGCCGGCAGCGACCTCCATAGCTTTCGCTTGCAGATACTGCCGGCTCATCCACCCGAAATCTTGCTTTTTTCTTCTCTTTCTCCTTATCACAGCACCTAATTCTATCGCGGAAAAGAAACTCACGTCGTTTCTTCAAAGCTTCAATCGCCTCAGTTCTTATTCTCCTCCCGTGTCGCGTCATCTTCCAGCGACTCTGATTTGCTAGCGAGCCTCGCGTAGAAGCATCTCTAGCTCTACTCCCTGAGCGTCATCATTATCCAAACTAGCGGCAGGTCGAGCCTCCTGGGACAAAAACCCATTCTTCTTCACGTTCGCTTCTCTCAAGATCACAATGTCCTCTCAGCCTCTTCTTCAAACTGCTCCTGGTAAGTAGCAGTAGTCTACTCAGCGCCCCCCTACTCTGCACGCGTGCCAATTGCTCATCCATTCAACTAGGCAAGCGCATTGCTCTGCCCACTCGAGTCGAGCCCAAGGTCTTCTTCGCCAACGAGCGTACGTTCCTGTCATGGCTCAACTTCACCGTCATCCTCGGCGCCCTGGCCATCGGCATGCTTAACTTTGGCGACCGAGTGTCCTTCATCTCGGCCTTTCTCTTCACCGGCGTGGCCATGCTGACGATGATTTACGCCTTGGTCACATATCACTGGAGAGCAAAGTCGATACGAGTGAGAGGGCAGGCGGGCTTCGACGACCGATTCGGCCCTACCTTCTTGGCCATTATCCTCCTGCTAGCCGTTATTGTCAACTTCGTTTTGAGGATTATGGATCAGTCGAAGAAGCAAAAGGGCAATCCCGTCTACTAAACGCTGATGTCTCTGCTATAAGAGATGGAGTTTTGAAAACAACAAGAAGCCGAGTGTGGCCTGGATCGTAGTGCATGTAAACTATGTTTGAGAGCTGTCTAGGTCGGATCGTGAGGCTTTGCTGGCCTCGACCATCAAAATCCCGGGTGAAGAGGGTTTCTCTAAAGGTATTTAGCGCTGTTGCAATTAGTGTATCATATGTTTCCTGGGTATCGGACTGGAGATAATTATTAGCTTAATAAGATTGTTTATAAAAGCTAGGGTATCATAATGCTGTATCCATATATATCAAATTTGCTCTCCAGACCTAAATAGGCCGTAACCATAGGCGTAGCCCAAATTAAAGCTTTTTGTTTCCCTTCCGTGGTAATGCTTATTATGTTGCGTCCTCGCTCGTTTGCACCGTTACGTTTTCCCTTGCTTTGAGGTCGGGGATAGGCTGAGGAGAGATGAAAATTCTCAGAGATTTATACGCTCGAGCTCGTGGAGGCGGCAACACGGCTTGCTCGAATCGGCTTTGCATCGTTTCAAACGCATTGTCGTCGCTATCGGATTCATCGTCGTCCACCTCTTCCAAATCTGCCTTTTGGGAAGCGGATTTCCTCTTTCTAGCCTTTGCAGGAAGGTCGAATAGTTCGTTGTATTGATACCAGACCCTCCCCTGTTCGCCGAGCGTCCTCTTGCACTGCTCTGCCACCGTAATCATCTTGCACACATCCGCGGGTCGCGCATGGAGCAACACTGCGCGTGAATCTGATGCCTTGTCGAGAAGATGAGAAGTAGCGCTGGAGACGCGCTTGCGGATCTGTGTAGACGATATGACCGAGAGGGCGAGGACCTCGTGTTTCGTGGAAAGTTCTTTGAGGACGCCCTCGTGCGGGCCTATGAGGGTGGCATTGCCTTCGGTGCGAGACTTCTTTGACGAAGCTGGCTGGCTGGATGATTGCTGCTTTCGCTTCTTGGAGGAATTGTCTGCTGACATGACAGACCGTTTAGAGATGGACGATGGATGCGACGTTGTTGATATAAAGATCGAGATGCAAATTCAAGGATTACAGCTTTTGATCGAAAGGTGGGTTTGGTGCTTAGTGCTACATGAGGCTGCGCTAGCACTCTATCGGCACTAGCACCATGTGTCTGGACATTGATCCGTTTCTGGCGCAGAGCCTCCGATTGAGCCAATGGCTGTCTGTCTACGTTCTATGCAGCACTTTGCGTATGTGTGTGTGTTGCTGGCAAGTAAATTAGCATTGATGCAAATGGCATACTGGCACTTATTACTTGCATGCTAAAGCACTATGAACTATATACTCATTCAGGCCATATACGAAACTCCAAATCCCGCCATCATCCCGCCGTTTTGCCCTGCCATGCCATTGTTCCTCTCGTTTGACTGAGCCCGTTCCGAAGGTAAGCCGAGTGGCGGCCCAATGGGCTAAACCTTGTTCCTTTGTCCGGCAACTGGCGTGGACCGAGTTTGACCAGTCAAACGGGCTCTGGGCCGCATCTTCCCAAGGGCCGCTAAAAGACTGAGCCGTTCCCCAAATAGAAAAGCCGGGCTTGGGAGGAGTGGTGGTGTGTGCATCTGGTGATAACTGATAACTCTACTCCGGCTTGCCTTGGAGGGTGCAAACGAGGGCACGCTACGGGCGCATAGTAACGGGCCAAAATGTCAAGTCTTTTTACGGCATGGTATCATGTAAACAGAAAATAAAAGAAAAATGGCAGTACATTGTCTTTTCTTTCTGAGCAGGTTTTGAATGTCACTGATGGCCTTGACTAGACTTGTTTGATGATGGCCTGGTTGCGAATGGATGACGAGTATGCCAGCTGTTGCGGTGGAGACTGTTAACGCAGTCCTGCGGCGGGTTTTGATACTAGAAGAGTGGATATGTGCGAGTACGATCGGCCCACAGGACGATGCAGGAGGATGAGTAGGATAGATGGGCCCGTATTAGCGCTTGTCGAGTTTGAACAAAAGGAAGCCTTGTAGAAGTTGCTAGAAGCGGCTTTAGAATCGCGGTGCGTGTTGGTTTCAGCGTCTTCCCATTGAGCGTCGGTTGGTCAGATGATTCGCCAGACGACGTTGGATTTGTGTTGGAAAGATATCGAGCAATCGATCTCGAATCCCGGAATCGAGGTTTCTACGCCGTGGATTGGTCAAGGGATTGGGCTGCATTGGAGACATCAATGCACTAACGGCGCTAGGAGGACCCTCAACAGCAGCGACTCTCGGTGGGTATTGTTTAGCAGAGGATACGACGCCCTGAACAAAGGTACAGATACTCAGTCAAGACAGTGTGCTGTTGCCTCGCACTTGTGTAGCCCTACATGTTTGATGTAGCCGTGCTGCCTGGATGGAGCAAGCCGCCATTGGCGTTGGGCTACGGGCCGCAGGCGATAGGCAGCTATGCATTGACTTGAGAAGCACGAGCTATTGGGTGTATGCAATGTTCGTAATGGTAGGTATTCCAAACGAATTCATGAAAACAAAGGACTCGCATCCAGTCAACCGTCTTGCTCGTACAAGTACAGATGTACTCTCACACTTCTCTTATACGGGCTCGTGGTGCCGGTGTCTCTCGGCGCTAGACTTGGGTACCGGGCCGTGGCAGCCGCTGTACTGCAACGGTCATATTGATAGGCATTGATGTTTGTTATTGATTGTCAAGTGAATAACAACTCAGCCGAGCCCGCTTCAAGTGGCACCCGCTGATACTGTCTGGCACTCTGCAAGCAAAAAGACTCTGAACCGCTGCCTGCCTTGCTCCACCCTCTCTCCTCTTTTTGCATCCACGGGGCTTGACAACCAGTCAACATATGAGTGAGAAACGAACCACCAGTGGCGGCATACGCACCCGAGTCCCAAACGTCTACTGCGGCAGAAAAAAGACAGGCGGCTGGCTGCCTGTGCAAGTAGGTAGTACAAGTAAAACAGTCTGGAAACAAAAAGCCGCCAGTTGACTTCCCGGATCCCTGTCCCACGGGCAAACAAAGAGCTTGGTTGGTGCTTGTCGTTGGTAGCAGTCTAGCGGCTTACTGCTGCTCTTCTCTCGGGCCACTTCCCCGCTGCCATCGAACGAAAGAGCTCCAGTATGGAAGCCAAGGTAACTGGTACCCTGGCCGGCCTTTTCTTTCAACGCTTCTCCCAGTCCTGTCTGTGTGCATCCACTTCACAAGGGACTTTGGGTCGGCTGCTGCAGGCCGTGGAAGCGGCATTGCTTGCTGTCGTCCTGCTGCTAGCGCTGCGTCTGGGCGTCGACGAATAGCTGCAGACTGGAGGCAGCAGCACGGGGTAGCAGCAGTAGCAGTGATCCATATCTCTGTAGGTGGACAGGCAGATGATAGGTACAAGCGATGATTCTGTCAAGATAAGAAGCTTTCTTGATTATCTAGCAATGCTCTGAAAATGGTAAAAGCAATGGGATCATCTTATCAGTGACGGCACTCACAAACCCATCTGGCATCTGGCAAGCGATAAGGTCCAGTCTTCTCGAACGTGTACCCCAAGGCCAAGATGCAGTAGCCACCAGCTGCACAGCACGACTAAGTCTACTTGGCCGCATCTGTGGGGTACTTTGCGCCCCGGAGACGGAGGACGGAGCAAAAAGGGCCCCAGCGCACGGAACGCTGAGCCTGATGCCGTCAAAGTTCCTGTACTTGCACCTGTCCTTTCAACGCCTTGCGTTGCACCTTTAAGCCGCAGCATGTCGCAACCAGATCCACGCAAGCTGTGTGTTGTCCGAGTACCGCTACACGCGCGCCGACCCCCTTGCAGCATCCCTCCCAGCTGGCAGCAACCACAAAGCACTCCAGCGCTAGCGGAGGCACATGCCGCCGGCGGCTCTGCCCACTCACAGCTGCACTGCCAGCACAGGTACCGGTACTCGCAGCAGGCCTACCGTAGCTCTAGCGTAGCTCAGGCGCCAGCCCAGCGCGGCCCACCGCCAGGAAAACTAGCCCGTCGAGTCACAGGCGCCTTGGCCTTGGGCAACTCGCCTCCGCCTTGGTTCGCCGCCCCTGCTGGCCCTGCTGGCCCTGCCCTTTGGTCTCCTTCCAGGTGTCAGACTCGCGCAAAACAAACCGCCTCTTCTCACGCTGCGCTTGAGTCGCCTCCCCCCTTTGCTTTTTTTTTTCAAACTTCTCACCTTCCTTTGCCCCCAAGCCGCCTTCTAATTCTCCCCCTTCCACCTCAATAACACCACTCTCCCTATTCTTAATTTTTTTCTCACCCGTCCTCTGTCGCGCTCTCGCCCAAAGGCTTTGCTCGAGGCTTTCGCTAGCACTCGATCTCCCCCAGGCCTCGGCCCCTATTCCAGGCTCGCGCACCGGCGCTCATTCACCCCTTGTCTTCCCTCTCGCGCGCTGCCTTCACTGCAGGTCAGATCCAGCGTCTCTCCGACCTCTCCGCCGGCCACAGAAACAACACCAGCCGCCTTCACAAGCCCCCCTTTTTGCCCAGCGCCACCCCAAACCTGCCACGGCCACTGCCTGGGCGTTACGTCAGCACGCGCACTCCCATCGCCCCACTATTTGCCTCCCTCGCTCCAGTCTAGTGCCTTCATTGTTTGCGCGCATAGCGCATCATTACTCATCACCAACTTCAACCTCTCGTTAAGAGTGCCTCTCGCCGGTGCGCCTTTCGGTCGCGTCGCATCGCATCGAATCGCCGCGCATCGCAGTGTTCCGCTCGCTTTGGCGCAGTCGCACAGAAGCAGCCGCCATCATGTCCATGTTTCGGTTCTGGAGCTCCGAGTCGCGGGGAAGCGAGAAGACCATCAACGGGTCGCCAGCTACCGCCGCCAGCCAGCCAAGCCGAAGCTCGTCTGTCGCAAGCGATTTATCGGCACGACCAGTGCTTTTGAAGCGAGCGCATTACGACGACGACGATGACGAAGCCTTTAGCTATGTTGCGCCGGCAAAGCGCGCAAAGACTGGGTCCGAAACGTTCGCTGAGAAGTCGTCATGTCCGAGATCTGAGCCGTGTGCCCTCGAGAGCGCCAGAGACCTGATCCAAGCTGAATTCTGCCAGGAAATCCTGCTCAAGCACAAAGAGTTAAGATTGATCAACCAGGAGCTGGCCAAGTGCCAGATTGCGCTTGAACAGCTGCGACGTTGCCATTTAATCCCGTATCCTGTGAATTGTCCCACCCCGCAACAAATGTTAGATGTCAGCGCCGGAAAGGGTCCTGCAGTAGTGGCCAAGGCCGGTGATGCCGTCCCTCGCTGGGCTCCTCCTTTCGGCGTCGTTGATGGACCCTACTCTCGGCACTATGCCAAGTGGCTCATCCCTGATCCAGCCTTTGACGGCATGCAGCCGGAGCTGCCTCATGCTCCCGCCCGCGGCTTCATCGTGGAAGGAAGAACAACCAGGAACAGTAATGGTGACTTTGGAATTGGACTTGTCAAGGGGCGCCGTGGCAACGGCGGTCAGAAGTTTGAGTCTCTGTCGAGCGGCTACCCTCCACCCAAGGACAAGGTAGGCCCATGTGTGCTGACACGCTCGGATGGCCAAACCGTCAAGCTTGTTTGCCTAGACTGCCATCGTGACAACTTCTCGAGCACTCAAGGCTTCATCAACCACTGCCGCATTGCACACAAGCGTGATTTCAAGAGCCACGAGGAGGCTGCCGTCCATTGCGGCCAGCCCTACGATGCTTCTGAGGGGGGTAACACCTCCAAGGACAGCAAAGCATCTGCCCCCTCTTCGGTCCCGGTCGCTGCCGCCGCCACTACTGCTACCACCACCACTGCCTCCTCCACGCCCTTTGTGCATGCCTTTGCGCGCCATGACCTGGCCGATCAAGACATCTTTAATTCTCTTCGGATGAGAATCTCCGACTCGCTCAGTCTTTACAACCAGGGCAAGCTGTCGGTTGTCAAAGTCCCTCGCAACGTCAACGCTGTCGCCTATCCTGGCAAGGCACATCCCAGCAAGGCACCGGGCAAGGCACCGGGCTTTGGCCCTTCAGCTGATGCGCCGCACTTGTCTCGCCTCTTGAAGGCTCGCAACTTTCAAGGCAATCTCCATGACGTTGTTGCTGATGCAAAGAAGAAGACTTCACTGGAATTTGCGGCCGGAGAGGAATCCGAGGCCGAAGGCTCCATCTCTCCTATGCGGAATTCACCTCCTGCTCGAGCGTCGGTTGTCATGCGAATGCCCGCCAGAACCGCAAAGACGCCTATCACCATGGGCCCCTCAGCCCGTCCAACAAGCAGCAAAGGCCGTTCAGCCCACATGCTCTTGGCTTCTCCATCAGACTCCGACATGGCCATCATGTCTGGCAATCACCGATCGGGCACCATGCTGTCGGATGAGGACATTGACATGGAGGACGCTGACTTGAGCCCCAACACGCTCGTTAGCAACAATGCGCCTTCCCTTGTTAGTGACGACGGGGAGTACGATGATTCCGATGAGGGCTCTTCCATCTCTGGCGCAAGTGACCAGCTAGAGGCGGAATCAGTGTCTGATGTTGCCGAGTTTGCGCTCGACTATGAGGCAGACCCTCGAGGCCTGCGCCGAGAGTCCGCGAGCATTGCAGGACCTGTGCGTCTTCGCAAGGAAGAAACCAAACCAGTCACGTTTATCGGCCCCGTCAGAAACAGTGCCAAAGATGGACGACAACGACATGTCTAAAGGCACGTCATTTTACACAACCAAGATTACCTATCAATACCCCCGGATATGAACTCTTATAGAGCCAACCTTCTCCACTTTGGATTCTCCATTTACTTCTTATGACCTTTTTGTTGCGCCCTTAAAGAACTATAACTCTGCTTTTTAGTTGTTTACGACTTTTTTATTTCATGACGTCTCTTTTTTTTACTCTCTCAATTTGAAATCTCTCTTAAATGGTTATTGGTTCAGGTTGGGTTCGGTTTGCATTTTTTCACTGCTTTTTTTTTTATTGGCGCCAACAGGGTTTTTATTCGAGGGCATTTGGGAATCTTTTTTTTTTTTGCGTTGTTTTTTTGTACTAGAGGCTCGGTTTCTCTTTTCTCTGTTCAGATGGTGTTGGCGCAATTGGGTTAAAGCGAAGCGTGCTTGAGGACTGCTCCGGCCCAAGAATTATCAAATGGGCGGCCGAAGCATAAAGCGCGACCTCTTTCGGGTGGCAAAGCTATGAGAAGATTGTCTTATTCCTTCTTCTTCTTTTTTTTATATCTCTTCTCTTGTATGATACAGTTAATGCCCGCGAGGATTTTAGCGATGACGGAAATAAGACTGATGGCGGGTTGAATGGCCCCGTTTCCTATTTGCATTGGCTGCTTGGCAATATTGCGTGTCGTACGACTGTTTTTCTAAATACATCATGTTATACACGGGCAATATATTGTTATTTCATACATGAGTGTCATGCTTGAACTTGATTGGGTTGCACAGCCCATGTTAACACTTCCCATCCTCGTTGGAGGTTGTTATGATTACCCAGCCACTCTTGGCACAGAATAGCGTGCAGCATCAACACATCTCTGCACTTGAACCGCAGTCAGACATTTACTCCTACACGTAGCGCCAATCCTCAGTTAGAATCACGTTACAACAACACAAAGAAGCCTTGGTGAATATGCTCGACGTCGAATTCTAATGATATTAAGCGACTAAACTAGAAATACAGGCATCATGTGCCCAAAACAGTTCCCAATACTCGTATGCGCCTGCTAATTATACCTCTGAGCCCAGCATCCCAATCCGTTCAATGATTTTTCAGGTTCATCTCTCTCTCTGTGTTTGTGTCTCCGTCTCTCTCTTTACTAGATGATGACGGCGGCGGCGGCAGCACCGGCGACAGCCATGAAAATACCAGCAACGTTGCCAATCATAGTAGGAGCAGCAGCTTTGGAGCTGGTTGTGCGAGCAGCGTTGGCGGCAGTTTTCGAGCCACCGGAGCCGGTCACCTCGCTTTCACCACCAGAGGTTGGAGTACCGCTGCTCTCTCCGGTGGGGGTAGCCTCATCGTTGCCGGGAGAAGCCTCAGAAGCAGAAGTCTCGTCGGAGCTAGGAGCCTCTGACGTCTTGGTCTTGTGGGCAACCTTGGTGGTGGTGGCCAAGAGAGACGCGGTTCGGCAGTAGGAATCAACCTGGTTCTGGACTGACGGAGCGCGAATGTCGTTGGGGCAGTTGTTGTAGCAGCTGTTGATGTAATTGTCAGTAAACAACAACAATCTTGAAGAGCAAGAAAGCATCGACATGGGGGAGACACACGTGTAGATGGCCTGGTAAGCTGCACAGAGACATGTGTAGTCGGTGGCGTTGCAGTTGTTGGCCTGGGAAGAGAGCTTGGAGTCAGCTGATGCAACATTGAAATGGGCATATGAGAGAATCTCCGTACATTGACAGTAGTTGACTTTAGGCAGTCCTCAAGAATGTAGTCAGCCAGACAAGTAGAGCCTGGAGTATCGGGCGATGTGGCGGAGCTAGCGGCAGAAACGCCAGCAGCAGTCAAAAGAAGAGTAGCGAGGAACATCATCTTGAATGGTATTAATCTGGATGTATTGAAATGAGAAATAGAAGAAGCAGTAGACAAATGCTTTATATGATGACAGTGATGAGGATGATGATTACAAGTCTGCGTTGGAAGATGAAAAAGAGAGAAGAAAGAAAAGAGACGAAGAAGAAGAAGAAGAAGAAGAAGAAGAAAGTAAAGGGAGAGAGAGCACAAGGCGGGAGGAAGGGAAGAAAGTAAATAAGAAGCCAGGGGAGGAGAGGTGAAGTCCGATCTGGCAGCAACGGGCCGGGGGGTGTAAGTGAGAATGGGCCATTTTGAGAAACCCCAACATGCCACCTTCCACCTACCACGCCCCCCAGATTCTCATCGTCGAGGTTGCATGGGGCCACGGCCGAAGTCGCGGCGATTGGGGGAATTCTTCCTTCTTCTTTTCTTTTTGCCAGACTTCTACTGGCTCGTATTTCGTATGTAAGGACAATGCCGGGTGCCGAGGAAATATACTCAAGGCCGCTGCTACTACTGCTACTGTTTACATGTACACGGGAGACCAAGTATACCGTAAGGAGAGAGATATTACGGCCTTTCTTTCTGAATCCCTTGGAAGGGAGAAACTGATCTCCGCAAGGTTGGAGAGCACTAGCCCGTGAACTACTGGCAGCTACTGCTTCGTGCTTCACAAGTGCGTGAAGTTAGAGTTTGCACGAGTGTCACGCAAGAGGGCCCTAGGTCATGATAGCCGGCTTGTGCAACTGGCGGTAGTACCAGAAACTGCATATGGATATCGGAGCTCCATCTCGTATCTGGCCGGTGCCACTAGGTTAGGTACTATGTATGCAGGCAAAACTCCAGAAAAGAATAAAGGGCAAGCCCTGCTTATCGTGAATTGTATTTGCTCCGCGTCTTGTTGTCAATAATGATCTGTTACTAGTTATGCCATGTCTCTGTCGTCGCGTAGGCAGGAATGGATCACATATTATGGGTTATTGAAAAGGGAGGTCGTCGATAGCGGTGCGAGCCAATGGCAGGCGCAGGTCTAGAACAGCGAGAAATGGAGCTGCGGCTGTCTGCGGGGACGCAAGTCCCGCCCGGCCCTTTTCAACTGAGCACTGAGATCTCCATCACTGGTTTAGCGATTGCTCAGCGCCTTCTAGCACTTCCGGTGCCTTCGTAGCGAGCTGCCGTTAGCGGGCGACGGCGCTGCAGGTCAGGGCTGGGGCCGGATTGGCCTGGGGAGCAAGGGATAGAGTTCAAATAGCTGCGAGGTGCTGTGGCGGCACAGAGTAGGATGAACTCTGTTTCGTGCCGGTGTTGATCGTTGATACCAATCTTATTCCAATCTTTCAACATCTTCTTCATGAGCAGGGCAGCATCTCTACTTCGTCAATGTTGGCGATCCCCCAGACGTTCCTCTCCAGGGGGCAATACCTTGTAAAAAAAAAAAGCGAGCACAGGTCATGGAGGAGACTGGACCCTTCGCTTCTCGTCCTGCTCAACCAGGATTTGATGTCAGCCCAAGAATCGGTGTGCAACTTCACTTGGGCGGTCCGAGCTTTTCTGGGGATGATTTGTCGAGCCGGCTCACCTGCAAGGGAGGTTGGGGTTGGCGTCGTTTATGACTTTCTTTGTCTCTCTAAATCTTCCTCTGTTGCATTAAGCTTTTGGCTGGATGGTATTGTACCTGTATTTCAGGCACAGACAATGCTCCAAGATACGGGCTGCCTTTCTTAGCTGGTCTTGCCCCTGGGAGGCGCAACGCCACGGTGGGTGGCTTGTCTTGCGAAACGAATGTGAGTCGGTGTTTTCTGCAAGGGGCTCTCAGGCAATATACGGGGCATGGCAAAGGTCTTCTCTCGTGGCATGCTGCTCGTCCAGCTGGCAACAAGCCCTTCAACGTAGCATCTTTTACGGAGCAAGCTGCGATGGGGGCTCCGTATTACCCCGTAGGTAGTTCCTAAAAAGAGCTGCCTTTGGGAGCTGCTGCAGCTCGGTGCTGGCCAGGCTCAAGATATCTATTCCGCTGCTAGAAAATCCAAGGATCAAGTCTTTCATGGTGTTAGTGGCAGTTTATGCTTTATCTCTGCATTGTATTACGAAGAGGTCGTTACACATGCAGCTACACCTCGAAGTGCTGCTGCAGTACATAATACACATAGTGCGCACAATGATGGCATGGTCGTGAGGCAGAAACTTAATAGCTCTGCTGCCTTGCCTGGTAGGCATCTAAAAATGATTGATGCTTTGGGTTTATTGTGTGGGCTCTTTGATGCATACAGCACATGAGTGGCATAAATTCCTGGTGCCTGATGCTTCAATCACTAAAGTGGTCTTCATTGACAGCTACGGTGACGACAGCGCGGCTAGGCAGAAATGAAAAATTACAATGAGTAGATAAGTTATAGCAAGCCAACAGAACAATGATTTTATAAATTTCAGTCTATAGAATCATCACCTCCTAGCAGTCGTTCAGATCATAAAGTCACCGACAAGGTGCTCTTCTTTCACAGGGTAGCAACGTCACTGCCAGCGAGTAGCTCGCGATTTTAGCTCGCGGCGAAACCTCCCCAGCCCCACCATTGACTTACACTTGGTCGTTTCAGCCCCTCCTGAGCTCCCAAGCTTCGGTTCTCAGAGGACCAAATCGTTTCGACGACAAAGTCAATCACGACCGATCATCAGAGTTTTGCTAGCCCCATCAACCATGGCGTCTATTACGATTGAGCGAATCCTGGCCGCTGCGCCGGTCACCACCCGGGGCCAGGCAACGCTGCTCTCGGCCGATGCCAAAGGCACTAGAATCGCCTATGCCGTAAGTTCAACGCTTGGCCGACCGTCTTTCTGAAGAATTACATTCTACGAGGCAACAAGTGCTAACTTGGTGTACGCTCTGCAGTCTGGCAAGTCCATCTTTGTTCGATCCATCGACGACCCCTCCAACAGCAAGGAATATACCGGCCACACCCACCCCACCACCATTGCTCGGTTTGCGCCGAGCGGCTTCAAGATTGCCAGCGGTGACTCTGCCGGTATCTTGAGAATATGGGAGCCCGAGTCTGTTGAAACGACGCGGGGCGAGTATCCCATCATCTCTGGCCCCTTGCTGGATATTGCTTGGGATGGCGACTCCCAGCGCATCATTGCCGTAGGCAACGGCCGACAGAAGTTTGGCAAGGCTATCATGGCCGACAGCGGCAACTCGGTGGGAGAGATTATTGGCCATACCAAATCAATCAACGCCGTCAGCATCACGCCAAAGCGTCCCCTGCGTGCCGTCACCGTTGGCGATGACGGAAACGTCAACTTCTACCACGGAGTCCCGTTCGAATTCAAGAGAGTGACCAACTTGCACACTGGCTTTGTTCTGGGCGCCGTCTACTCTCCTGATGGATCTACATTTGTGACTATTGGACAGGATAGACGGATACAGCTGTACGATGGCGTTTCGGGAGAGCCTATCAAACAAATCGGCGAGGGAGAGCACACTGGTAGCATCTTTGGTGTCTCGTGGTCCCAGGACGGAAAGAAGTTTGCAACGGCCAGCGCAGATCAGTCCGTCAAGCTGTGGGACGTTGATTCTGGCAGCGTCCTTCAGACCTGGAAGTTTGGCGAGGGAGTTAGCGTGCGTGACCACCAGGTTGGCGTCGTCATCCCTCACGGTAGAACGGATGGCCTCATCATCAGCATCAACTTGGCTGGCGAGCTCACATACTTGCAAGAGGGCAAGAATGAACCCGTCAGTATTGTGCAGGGCCACGACAAGGGAATCACGGCCTTGGTCGGAACCTCAGATGGCCAGGGTGCTCTGACTGGCAGCTTTGACGGTCGTGTCTGCTCCTGGGACCTTGAGACTGGGACTGCAACTGTCGTGGATGGCCAATCTCATACAAACCAGGTTACCCAGTTCGCCGCAAACGTAGGCAAAGTATACAGCGTGGGATGGGACGACACCATCAAGACGATTGATGAGTCTGCCAAGACCTTCCTGGGAGAGTCAGCGAAGCTGCCTGGCCAGCCCAAAGGCGCTGCCTCCGCTGGTGATGTTGTCTATGTGGCCACCTTGGCTGGCGTCGCAGCTTATTCAAACGGCAAGCTGCTCAAGGAGACTCCTCTTGACTTTACGCCAGAGGCTATTGCGGCCCATGGATCCTATGTTGCCATTGGAGGCCAGGGAAGCACCGCTAGAATCTACACCGGCGACTCAAGTGGCAGCCTCGAGTACAAGGAATCGGTGTCAAGTCCCCTCGGCACCATCACTGCTCTAGCATTCTCCAAAGACGGCAGCCACCTGGCTGCGGGAACAAGCGTGGGAAAGATCTTGGTCTTCAAGGCCGGATCATGGGAGCTCGTAACGGACCGCTGGTCGGCACACACTGCGCGAGTCACCTGCATCTCCTGGGACGATTCCGGATCATATGCCGCAAGTGGCAGCTTGGATTCCCACATCTTCATCTGGTGCCTGGAGAAGAAGCTCCAAGGCCAACGTATCAAGGCACCCAATGCTCACTTGGACGGCGTAACGGGCATTACTTGGATCGCGGGCGGCCGCGTAGCAAGCTCTGGAAAAGATGCGACGGTCAAGATTTGGGAAGCCAACAATCTGCCTTAATCGTAAATAGAATTCTTGTCTCCTAGCCTGTTATGAATTCCGTTATGATTCCCGGCTGTAATCTAGTCCGAAATAGATGAGAAAAAAAGCCAGCTCGCAGTTGATGTAATCAACTTGTTAAAAACATATAAAACTCCATGCTTCAAAGGTTTACACAAAGAGGATGATACCCCGCGATCCGAACTTCGATTGTTAGTCTGTCAATAGAGAGAGGTAGCTGCAAGTGGCGAGAACCTAGTCATTGACCATTCTTGCGTCCTCCTCCTTCCCGACCTCCTGAGGGTGAATCTCCCAGAGGCGAAGACTGCTGGCATTCTTCTGAGACTTGACTGAGTGGGGTGGCCAGCGAGACTGGTTTTCCTCCCAAAGTAGATCCGCCTTATGGATTGCGCCTTGGAGGTCTGTATACCTATGGCGAGAAATGGGTTGGATTTGAGTCTCTCATAGTTTTTGAAGAATGTGCAATCGGAAAACTTACCTGGCTGTGCTCATGGTTGCGTATCCTTCGTTTGCGAGGTGCATGGCCATCTCGGCCTGGTGATTGTCGAGCAGCTCTTCGTTTGGAACGACAATTACTGGGAGGCCGACTTTCCAGGCATCGAGGATTGTCCCGGTTCCTAAGTAATGTGAATATATTAGAGATTATTCATCCATGTACTGGACGTATATCCTCATTAAATGGAAAAGAGGAACCTGCCTGCATGAGAAATAACCAAGCCCGTAGAGCGTAGTCCGCTCTCGGCCCTGCACAGCAACATTTCATCTTTCATGAGATTTTTTGTAGCTTCGAAAACGTCTACTCTCAGTCCCTCTGGTATATCAGCATTGTGATTGTCCAATAGGGCCGTTGCCCAAGAAATATCTGGACCGCATTGGATGCGCAGTGAAGTAAAGCCCTCTGAGACTAGGAACCGCCAGAAAGCGGGTAGCAACACTTGTTCGGTCAGCGTCTTGAAGCCGACGGTTGCGCCTACGGTTACTAGGCAATATCGTTGAAGAGTTGCCATTTAGGAGAAGAGGCGGCGCAAGACATGTGAGAGTGTTAGAAGTTGCTGTTTGGGTCACCATCTAGAGCTTCTGTATAAGTCTGGGGCGCTCATCCTTGGCGCCTTTACTTGGTATGTGGGTAAATGCTCCATGCCTGGCGGGAGCTACGGTGAATGCAAAAGGGCCGAGATTTTGCCATGGTGAGCCACCAATAGGAGCTGACACGGAAGAATCTCGGCCACGATTGTCATCCCACCAAAAATTTGAGGTTCCTGCTGCAGTCCCGCATCCCGCGCAACGATATACTTGGGCTGGGCATTGCGATTCCGATCCAATTTGAAATGGCTTCAGCATCGAGCGCCGGAAGGCTGTGCGTGCTGGCCTGTCAGAGGGCACTTCGGATACCTCGGATGCCACGAACACAGCCAATTGCCTGGCGGGCACCGGCAGCGAACCGAGCATTTACGTCCTCCCCGCGACAGTTGGCGGACAAAAATACCGATCAGGATGGAGAGGATGGCGATGGTGGATTATACAAGACTTTGGATCTGAAGCTGATGAATAAGTCTTTCCTGGAGAGCGTCACGCCCGAGAGTCTAAAACAGCTGGATGAGCTGGCGAAGACCAACGGCTACACATCCGTGGAGGAGTACCTCGAGGCGACATTACGGGAGACACCAGGCTGGGCGTCAGAGGACAGGGCGCTGGAGGAGGACCTTTACAGAGATGATGCGGGCGAGAAACCAAACAAGTCATCTTTTTGGTTCGACGAGGACGACCCCGAGACGAACTCGGAGGAACACGATGAGTTTGATGAAGACGATGTTACGTCCATGGCGCACGGGAAACTAGACGAGATGCGAGATATGAGACATTATGCTCGGTTGGCAATTTGGGAGATGCCTCTTCTTGCCAGTAAGCTACCACCACCAGCGACTACAGATTTTCCAAATCACTATATATAAGTAACTGACACTTGAGGTTGAAGAATTCGCCAAACCATTCGTCCCCCCTACAGAGAAACAGGTTTTGAGATGGAGATACACGACATACATGGGCGAATCTCACCCTGCGGAGAAGAAAGTGGTTGTACAGTTTGCTCCCGACGACCTTGGACTCACAGATGTCCAGACAGAGAAGCTGAAGAAGCTCGCCGGCCCTCGATACAACCCAGAAACGGAACTCGTCAAGATGAGCTGCGAGAGCTTCGAGCACCAGGCGCAGAACAAGCAGTACCTGGTGAACCTGGTCAACGACCTAATCACCTCAGCCAAGGACCCCAAGGATACCTTTGCGGACGTGCCGCTGGACCTACGGCATCACAAGTTTGAGCCGAAGCCCCAGTTCCCCAAGGAGTGGCGGCTGACGGAGGAGAGGAGAAAGGAACTGGCAGAGTATAGACAGCAGGCGGCGATTGCAGACGCGAAGAGGGCCGAGGAAGGGCTGCTTGTGGATGGACAGAAGTTGATTGACGGGTTCTTGATACAGAAGCTGGCGGAGGAGCAGGAGAAGGAGAAGGTTGCGGAGCTGGTGGCTGCGGCGCCTAGGGGGAAAGCAGCTGGCGGAGCGACAAGAGGAGCCAGGAGGTAGAAGGAAGCAAGGTAAAAATATCAAGATATATGCGTACGATTGCTTTTACGGGAAGGGGTATGAAGAAAAAAAATGTATGGGAAATGTATAATAGAGGATACAGGCACTGCCTGCTTGGGCTGGGGAGGCGATTAGATGTACAATATGAAGAAAGCCTGACGTCGAAGATGTTTATGAAATGTATGAGAAGAAGGGTTCCTTTGCTGAGTGTGTATCTTATGATCTGGCGACTTGGTGCTCGTACATCTACAATTTGCAAAGGATTTATATTGGAAACTGAACACAATCGGGAAGTGTGATGCCAATTGAATAAGACTCTATCCTACAGTCATGATGGTCACACTTGGCTACATGTACATAGCAGCTAATATATTCTTATACTGTTGTCCAATCTACTCTATTGAAGAAAGAAAAAGAAAAGATGGCCACACTCTCAAAGATAGTGTACAATAGGGAGCCAGTAAATAGTTGAAATGCCAACCCTTTCATGTGCGCAGAGATTGCTTTTATGACACATCAGAATCTGAGGACGCTCCATTAGCTGTTCGTTTCATCTGAATCTCCAGCGCATTATCGAGTTGTGGTGATAGATTCTGCTAGAAGAAAAAAGTTTGTATACTTGTACAACTTTTACACTAATAATAGAAGAATGTGTGGTATCATTTACGTTTACGATTTCAAGAGATGGGGTATAGACGCTGGATACATAAAGTCGCCATCCAAGTTCCGGTACAGAAGAGTAAGTCGTGTTATACACGCAACTGTTTTTCATTTGTTCGAATTGTTTATGATAGATAGCCCTGCAGTAGCTTTGGGCAGCGGCGTAACTATAATGTCGTGTTCATGGTTGATTGCTCATATCCTTCAATGCGGGGCTGATTGGTCAATTGACTTGGTCTGAACAGTGCCTCGGCATCTTGAGCTGTACTACCTTATACTAGTCTCATCTTCTACAGATGGTTGTGACAAGGAATTCTTTCAATCCTCTCAAGTCAAGATGCGTAGAAAAGTCTAATGCCTCGGCAGAGCTATAGAGATTCTCGCCCTGTATACCATAGTCGAGTGTGATGTGCTCCAGGCTTCCAATAGACACTTGACAGACAAAAGACAAAGCAAGCCAAGCCGATGCACCCCTCGCAACAAGCACCACATTCGGACGGGATTCAGAGCAAAAGGCAGCAAACAGGCCTACAACACGGTCTGAAACAGAAACTAAACCGGACTGCACACTTGAGCCGGGGGTCCGGCCAAGCACGGCGCCACCAGAACGAAGTGCAATTTGAAGCTCCCCATCGGGTCGTAGCTTAGACTTAAATTGTACCTAGCTGTGGAGAGCGCAGAGCTCGAGCCTAGGCACAGCGGCGAGGGGCTCCGTAAATACAGGCACATTCCCCATCCGAGCTGCATCGAAGAGCTGCCCCAATCCGGCCCTAGAGGCACATCCCTCCGCTATCCGCAGTCCGCGGAACCAGCCTAGACATTGCCAAAGCAGCGATTCGCAATCCCGGGACGGTCGACGGAGCATACGGACTGATTTGCTCACCGTTTGACTGAGCGGGAGCTGCCACATGCTAGCAGAAGCATCTTTGCCGCGGTCTGCAGCTGTAAGGGAGGAGAGTCTGGATACCTTAGCACCGTACCCAAGATCTGGTATCAACCATCCATCTGCTGTACACCACACACCTACACCAACTTGCCGTCACCACCATCACCACCATCGTCGCCATTGCGTTGTGTAACTCTTCTCTACACATTCACACACACATACCTACTGAGCCTCGCATACCGCATTTTGCAGCATTTTGCAGCAGCCATGGCGCTCAAGATTGGCGCAATCCCGGAGCTGCAGCCCACGGCCCTCGACGAAATCACGGCCCGGTACAACACGCTGCGCGCCACCTTCAAGTCCGGCCGCACAAAGGACGTCGAGTACCGCAAGCAGCAGCTGCGCCGCCTGTACTGGAGCTTCGTCGACAACACGGAGCTGATCGAGCTGTGCCTGAGCCAGGACATGCGCAAGTCCAAGTTCGAGTCGCACATCTCCGAGATCGACTGGTGCAAGCAGGAATGCCTCGACGCCGTCCAGCACCTGGACAAATGGGTCCGCGATGAGACCATCGATAACATGCCCCTGCAGTTCTGGCCCATGAAGCCGCGCATCCGCAACGAGCCGCTTGGCACCATCCTCAACATTGGCGCCTACAACTTCCCCTTCCAGACCAACATCACGGCCCTCGTCGGCGCCATCGCCGCCGGCAACACCTTCGTCCTCAAGCCGTCGGAGCTGTCGCCCGCCTCGTGCATGGTGCTGCAGAAGATCTTTGACGACGCGCTGGACCCGGAGAGCTACGTCTGCGTCCAGGGCGGCCTCGAGCAGACCAAGCACGTGCTGGAGCACAAGTTTGATAAGATTGCCTTTACTGGCGGTCGACGGACCGGCACCATCATCGCCCAGAAGGCCGCCGAGACGCTGACGCCCGTGCTGCTCGAGCTGGGCGGCCAGAACCCGGCCTTTGTCACCCGCAATGCCGACCTCAAGCTTGCGGCCAGGCGGCTGCTCTGGCAAAAGGTGCTCAACGCCGGCCAGGTGTGCCTCTCGCACAACTACGTGCTCATTGAGCGGTGCGTCCAGAACAAGTTCATCGACGAGCTGAACAAGCAGTACAAGGAGATGATGCCGGAGGGAGCAAAGGCGAGCCCCGACTACTCTCGTGTTGTCAACAAGACGCACTATGAGCGGCTGAAGAAGATGGTGGACAACTCCAAGGGCAAGATTGTCATGGGAGGTTCCATGGACGAGACCGATTTCTTCATCGAGCCGACTGTTGTGCTGGTCGACGATGTGAATGATAGCATGGTGGTGGAGGAGTCGTTTGGTCCTGTTTGGTCTATTTTGCCGTATGATACCCTGGACGAGGCCATCAACATGGCTAATGAGATTGACCCCACGCCCTTGGCTCTTTTCACATTTGGTTCGGATAAGGAGAACGATAAAGGTAAGCTATATTCATATACAAACGTACAATTGCCTGAGTCGGCGAATTAACACTTCTTCTTTTCACAGTACTCAAGAACGTCACGTCAGGAGGAGCCACCATCAACGACGGCTTCTTCCACGCCATGCTCAACCCCCTCCCCCTCGGCGGCATCGGCACTTCCGGCATGGGCAACTACCACGGCTACTTCTCCTTCAAGACCTTTAGCCACCAGCGCTCCATTGCAAAGGTGCCCGGCTGGGCAGACAAGCTCCTCCGCGTGCGATATATGCCGTACTCGTGGGGCGACCTGAAGCGCCACCACCGCATGTCCGCCCCGAAGCCCAACTTTGACCGCAACGGCAACCTGACCAAGGGGTTGAGGTACTGGTTTACCATGCTGCTGAGCCTTGGCTCCAAAAGCGCTGCAGGGTTCGTGTTCCGGCTCGGAGTTGTGCTTGCTATGGCTGTGACGTTGCGTCTGAAACGGGATTCTCTAGGACTGTAAATTAAACGACGAAGAAATAAGAAGAAATAAGATTATAAAAGAAGAAGAAGAAAGATCTATGTGTAGCGTTGTGTTCTCACATGGCTGCCTTCCAACAGAATTGTGGAAAGCTACTAAGATGATGTCTGGTTGGAAATTCTACTGCTCGAAACTGATAGCATGGAGCTATGATATTGTGGCCTCTGTTTAAACACACATGTATGTATTTGTAATACTCATTACCCTCTTTATGATGGGTGATATTATACGCCTCTTCATGGCAACATTTCTTTTGTGCCCTTTTTCTACACATATACCATCGGTATTCAAGCAGCCTTTTTGGCGAAGCAAATGCCCGTAGGCGTCTTTCATGTGTCCAATTTCTCGATCAGAGCCACAGCCTTGTTCCTCTTTCTCCCCCCTCTATCGTCCAGCCAACGCTGCAGCTAGTCTTTGCCCCCTCTCGCCTCCCAAGTAGATGTCATCCTCCATCGACTCCCTTCCAAACTCAACCGCCTCGTTGTACCCTCTTGTCACGGTATCCTCGTCCACCTTGACGCCGTTCTCCACCAGCGCGAGAATCACGCTCCTGCACCGGGCAATCTCCCTCATCGTCGTGACGTCCATGTGGTTGTTCTGGCTCGAGTAGATCTGCGAGCTGACGCTCTCCTCCATGCGGTTGATGCCCGCCGCCTCGGCAGCAGCATCGCTCTCAATGTGCTTGCTGATCCAGATGTACCCGTTCACGCCCAGCAGGACGTCAATCTTGCCGCCCCCGTTGGCCGCCTCCATGGTCCACAGCTGGCGCTTGGAGCGAACCACGCCGGCGCCGCCGCCAGTGCCCGCCACGGCGACGAAGACGCCGTTGCGCAGCTTTCCGTACTTGAGACTGCGGGTGTGCAGGCTGGCGGCGCCGTCCTGGTGCAGCTGCTGGACCTCGGCGACGAGCAGGTCACCCTCGGCGAAGAAGCTCCGGATCTGGAGCTCGTCGGTCTCGGTGCGCTTGCGCAGGATGCCGCCGGGCAGGTTGATGGCGGAGATTTGCAGGATGGCGAGCTGGGCGGCGGCGACGTCGACGCGCCAGCGCTTGGCCTGGACCTCGACGATGCGGCCGACGACGAGGTCGCCGATTTCAGGGTTGTAGCGCGCGCGGAGGGGCCGCACGGAGAGGAGCTTGTTTGTGCGGGTGAGGGTGCCTGCTAGGGAGGAGGTGATGGAGGAGGTGTTGAGGGGGACGTAGGTGCCGTGGCCGCTGGTAATTTGTTAGCAAGTTGTGATGACTTTTATTTTATTCTTATGATTGGCATGAAAATGCGTGTATATGCTTGAGAAAGTTGATGAGATGAATACCAAAGTGTGCTTGATATTTGGAGTAAGGAAGACAAGATGAAGGAGAAAGAATTGATGACACAAATGAGACAATTAGGGGCAGCAGTACCGCATCCATTGAGAATTCGATGTGATTACAGTTCCAGGCGTAAGAATCTCGTCTCTGGCATCTCCCTGCTCTTCAAATTCATCGTCTTCGTCCTGCGCGATACTCTCGTCGTCGTCGTCGTGCATGGGAATGTCGCCCTGGATGGCAGCACCGCCGGTTCCTGAATCTGAATCTGAATCTGATGCAACGTCCATATCGATATCTACTGCACGTGGCCGCCGAGGAGCCGGCCCGGCTGGCTGGGGGTTGTGAATTGTGATGGGCATATCTGGCGTTGTGAGATTTCGATTATGATTTATTTTTTTTTCCCCTTCAGGCGAAGTATGAAAGGCGAAGGGCCGCCTAGGTGCAATAAGGTGGCCTCTGTGATCTGCTGCTTTGGATTTTGCTCGATATATGGTTATAGATCCTATGTGATTTGGCGCGGTGAATTGACGTTGTGCTATAGCGACTACTTTTTTTTGTGAAGATGTTGATATGAGAGTTTGTATGAAAAGTTGGCGTGGAAGGTTGAAAGTGGGGCCTGTTCGGTGAATATTTTCGAGGCCTTGATGCTACTAGTGGTCGGCCTGGCCTACACTTGCACAGCGAAGACGGAACAATTAGTGTGTACAGAAGAGAGAGAAAAATATTATTAAAGTCATATATTGATATAGGGGAAGAGGGTCTTTCTTTCTTTCTTTCTTTCTTCCTTTATTTTATTTTTTTAAATAGTAACTTGTATGTTATCGGTTTGTTGAAGACTTGGGCTGCTTACACTGCATTTCGTGCCCGACTTACATAGACAGAGCAGTGTAGGCCGATCATATTTAACAACGGTATGAAGGTAAGAAAACTTTAAATATACACAAGCGAGTTGATAAAGCAACAATTGCTGATAAATCAAGAGAAGAGATATATTATCATGCTTATATGGTCCATTCCCATCTATGGGATGTCTCACCTCTGTTGCAATCACGCCACTATTTTCATGCCTCGTAATAAATAGTACAATAATATACATATTGACACTCGTTGAAATCTCAACGAGGCAACGCCATTCAAGCACATTCTCTTTTCCATATATCCAATCATTTACAGATAAACCCAGCTGGTGATATTAGGCAGAGGACACCCTACTCTTTCATCCAGTATGTCCGGAGCGTCGTTTTGAGATGTGGTGTGAAAAGCCTCTTGGGGTGTAGCGCGCAAGGTTAAAAACTTCGTGATAAGTGTTCGCCGCTTGTCGTTTAGAGCTCAACATCATTTGAGAGCTCTCCAGAGACCCATCCATGCGAGACCTGCAGAGATGGTGACAATACCAAACCGTCGACTGCGCATGCCAAAGAACGACTTGCTCTGAAGAATAGCAGCTCTTTGCTTTTCCAGCTGTGACATGCCAGAGAAATAGCTATATCCCGCAAGACCGAAAAATGCACCGCTTCCTGCTCAACAGTCAGATTCTCAGCTATTCAACCGAGAAACGGGACCCTGTGTATAAAGGATTACTGACCTATGATTTTGCAGCCGAGACAGTCGTCGCCGCGGTCCTGACGCAAGACATCTTGGAGCTTTTCAGGCTTCTCAAGCGACTGCAGAGTCGGAACTTTGTCGCCAGCCATGTCGAAGACTGTTGCTTGCGAAGTTGGGGCGCGCAAAGTCGAACCAGACGATTTGATAAGAAGACACAGCTATTGTAGGTTTTCAAGCTGCTACAGCGACTGGCAGTGATTGGTCGGTTGTCATTAGTCAGCGCGGTTTGCCATTGAGCTTCGTCATGCTTAGTCGCGCGACCTGACGCTGAAAGTGGGATATGGCTGCTTCGCTGGAGCTGGAGCTTGAGCTTCTGACATCGCTTGGACAAGGCGCTGGGCCGTCACTATGAACGGCGTTATTGAGGCGCTGCACATCTACGATGACAACAGGTAGGCGATTCTGATGCTGCTTTTGCTCACAGGAGTCTGCAGAACGCTGATACGAAGCCTTGCTTGGCTTAGGAATCCCATCCTATCGCATACCTACACAGGAAGGCCGCTCTCGGCCGTCCATCTTCTGCCTCTCTACCTGGAACATCCTGCTCCTCGGCCGAGCCTGATCTATCTCCCCAATGCGAACCCGCCGACCCTCGTCTTCAGCTTAATCCACTCCAATCTGCTGTTTCTGGCTACTTCATCGACCGAAATCGAACCCCTCCTGGTTCTCGAGTTCCTGCATCGTATCATCGACGCCTTCGAAGACTTCGTCGGAGCACCACTGCTGGCCGTCAAATTGGAAAACAACTACGATGTCGTTGCTCAGCTTTTGACGGAGATGTGTGATGCAGGGACCGTTAGTACAACGGAGCCCAATGCCTTGCGAGAAGTGGTGGAGATGGAGGGATGGGTGGACAAGCTGCTGGGCAGCATCAACTTGCCAGGGTATGTGAAAAGCAACAGCCTGCGAAGCGCAGAGTGTATGGTTGTGATTGACGACTAATGCGAGTGCAGAAACAATCCATTAAAGACAAACTTTTCAAGCTCACCCACACCGTCCCTGATGACGGCCAACACGCCGGCCTTGCCATGGAGACGGGCCAACGTACGGCACACTTCAAACGAGCTCTATGCGGACGTTGTCGAGACTCTATCAGTCACACTTGCCCCTTCAGGTAGACCTTTGGCTGCGTTTGCCAATGGAACCATTGCATTCACGTCAAAAGTGTCGGGCGTACCAGATGTTCTGGTGACACTGGGCAGCCCGTCGGGGAAGCATAACATAGGTGGCATCATGGAGCTGCCCGTCTTTCACCCATGTGTGCGGCTTAACAAGTGGAATGAACGGCCCGGAGAATTGAGCTTTATTCCGCCTGATGGACGATTCATCTTGGCTGGCTACGAAGTTGACCTATTACCATTTACAAGTGGGAAGAGTGGGAGCATGACTTCGAATAACCTAAAGCTTCCCGTTAACCTCGAGATGAAGACTGGTCTTGGGCCTGTGGGGTCCGAGTTCGAAGTCAGGCTACAAACGAATAAAATCTTTGGAACTCCAAACTCTTCATCAGCAGCAAGCCAGTTAGCACGTGCAGGAGGAGTCCCTGGACGGTTAGGATCACCACATCCTGGAACCCCGAGCTCGCCGCTATTAGATGACTTGACGGTCACTATTCCTCTGCCCGAAGACGTGCGGAACCTATCGGACATTAGGCCGAGTAGGGGAGATGCGAGCTTCAACAGGGCTGAGGGGTGGCTGGAGTGGAATATTCCTGCCAAGGAGATATCTGGCCCAACTTCTCATTTCGGACTGAGATGTACGGTGGTGGGATCGCTAGGCGACGATGAAGAGGAAGCGTTTGATCCTACAGGCTTTGGGTTTGGAACAGATTATTCATACAACGAGCCATATCAAAGCACACCGGCTGCCAAGACGGGCAAAGAAAAGCTGGGCACGGACGACGAACAGGATCCCAAGAAGGCGGCACAGAATAAGATTCTGATGCCAAGCTCAGCATCTGTGAGCTTTTCAGTAAAGGGATGGTTGGCAAGTGGGTTGAAGATTGAGAGCATTGTATTGGATCCGAGGAAAAGTCGGGGGCTGAGCGAAGGTGTAAAGCCTTATAAGGGCGTCAAATACTTGACAGTGAGCAAGGGAGGAGTAGAGATTCGCTGCTAATAGATGGCTACTTAGACCGGAATTGAACCACACTGCCCAGGAGGATTATCTGGCAGCATACATATATAAGAGGATATCTATATATACATGATAACTGACTTGAGCTTGAATACCGAGTTGATTGCCGAGCCAGTTCCGAAATAGTACCAAAAGGAGGTTCAGTAGCATTTGACACTTCTGGGGGATCTCCCAGCCACTGTTAGTGCAGCTCCAGCTTAGCTCGGTGACATCCAACTTTATGCCCCACGTCCTATTCCGGTGCGTCACTGCTCTTACATCGACAGCTTCACTTTCTCTTATACACTCGGCAGCCACCGCTTTCTGCCGAGTCTGGCCTCGCAAGTGCATCTGCCGACCCGAAGCACGGCAGAAATCTCGAGGCACAAACATTGGCCGTCGCGAGGCCATGAAGCGCTTCACAGGTCCTGCGCTCCAGTGCCGGCCTGGCGCGAGGGTCAGCCGAGGTGCGTCATCGCTGACATGGGCGCCTTTGCGATGCTGCGCGCCGGTATCCGGGAGATTCGAATGCGCGGGCGATCCTGCGCGGACGGCGCGGCGATGGAATTCGAGCCTGCCCAAGCGGCCGCGAACAGCTATTTTCTTCCCTGGTGAGCCTGCTTTTTCGCATTGCCGAGGTTAAGAGGTGAAAGGCCTTTTTGTAGCTGATGGTGGATAGGTCAGGGAGTGCAAAAGGTCGGCATGCTGTCGCCCTGGCTGGAGGCATTCCCGTCGACAGCTTCGCAGATCATTGATGAGATTGACCATTGCGCGGGATTCAAGATCTCCGACATTATACAGAATGGCCCGTCCAAAGACCTGACAAAGACAACAATAGCGCAGCCGGCGATCATGGCCACGTCCATATTCATATTACGCATTCTCGAGCGCGAATTCAACTTTCGAGTCGCAGATCACTTCGATTTCACGCTGGGCCACTCGCTGGGAGAATTCACCGCTCTGGTTGCCGGGGGGTACATTACGTTTGAGGACAGCTATTATTTGGTGCAGCGACGAGCCGCGGCCATGTCGGAAGCGACACAAAAGGCGATTCAGGAATACGGAGGAGAGTACGGCATGGTGGCGGTGATTACGGAACCGGAATACTTGCAGGGCTTGATCAAGGCGATTCGGGATTTCGTGGGGCACTCGAGCGATGGGAGCAAGTCGGAGAGCAGTCAGGACGTGCCGCCGATCCAGCAGGTGTTGATCGCAAACATCAACAGCAAGAACCAGATTGTCTTGAGCGGGAGCATGGAGAGAATCAAGACGCTCATCGCGCATGTCCGGCAGTTTCTGGGCCATGACCCGCGAGCGGTGCGACTGCATAGCGACAGCCCGTTCCACAGCCCCATCATGAAGCCTGCGGTTACGGTCATGAAGAATCTATTGGCGAAGAAGAGTCGGGTTCCTGGCCGAGAGAAGGAAGACATCATCACCTTCCCAGGCCTGATGCCCTGCATAAGCAACGTCTCAGCCAGGCCGTTTCAGAGCAAAGAGCAGTTAAAGGACTTATTAGCGAGAGGATGCCTTGAGACGGTCCGATGGTGGGCAGCCATCAAGTATCTCGACCAGGAAGAAAAGGTCAGACGGTGGGTTGGCATCGGTCCAGGCAAGGTTGGCAGAAACTTGGTGGGCAAAGAGGTGGGCATGAGAGGGAAGGACTTGGTCAAGGGAGGAGGCGTTTGGGCGATTACAGATCCGTACGAGGTGGAGGAGGTGTTGCGAGGGTTGGAAGAGACGTCAAATATATTAGAAGATGCAGAGGAGGAAGAAGAATGAACGAAGAGAGCAGGATTGGTGGAAAAGACAGAGGACGACCATAGATGGGTGTGGGCTTGCTTGGTGTAGCATATAAGACTTTATGTATCAATGGGTGGGCACTGCGATGGGCATATATGGACGACAGGCTGCGTACGTACAATCTTGTAACATGATGAATATAGTAATTTTATTCTACATTATTTCTCTTTTGAAAATGATAGAAAACAAAAATTCTGCCAATCCAGTCATGCAGCAAAGCGAAGCTTGCATTCGACGTCAGACATTAAGTGCCCCCCACTACGATTAATGAGGTACTTGTACGTGCATATATCCTTGCCCACTGCAGCTAGAGCTCCTGCACCTCAACACCACTCTCTCTCTCTCTCTCTACAAACCACACGCAACACCATGTCGGCCGCAATACCCTCCGTCGCCTGCCTCGGCGTCATCGGCCGCAATGTGAGTCTCCATGTCTCGCTCGTTAACGCTCTAGATTTTCATATAAAATAAGGCAGAGGCACTGACACGCGCCCAGAACAACCCCCTGCACATCTCCATCTTCCCATCCTACGATCCAACAGCCAACGCCTTCACGCCCGTCCGCAACCCCCTGCAGTTCTCCCTCCTCCTCTCCTCGACAATCGACGTCTTCGACCTGCGATCCAAGACCAGCACGGCGTCGGGCGACTTTGGTCTGCTGCACGCCATCGACGACCGCCTCGCCGCGTACGGCTTCGAGACCAACACGGGCGTCCGGATGGTCTGCATCGTGGACATGCGCGGACGACGCGTCGAGGCCGGAGGCAGCGCTGGCACGGGAGGCGCAGGAGGTGGGCCATCGCAGTCGTCTGCGTCTGCTTCTTCGTCTTCTGCGGCTGCGGCGGCGGCGGCGCGGGCGTCCATGAGCAACGTCGGCGCGGGACTGAGGGATGCGGAGCTGAAGCCGGTGTTTAGGGCGATGCAAAGCGCGTACGTAAGGCTACTGCAGAATCCGTTTTACGACCCTGATGAGCATGCGCCGCTGGGGGGGAAGGGCGGGAGGAGGATCACGAGTAGGAAGTTTGGGGATGATATGAAGAGGATAGGGGAAGGGTGGACGCCTGGGGTGACGGCTTTGTGAGCGCGAGGATGAGAAAGACGAGGGAGAGGATGACGAAAGGGATGAAAAGAGAAGAGAAAGGGGTAGGAGAGCGAGAATGAAGAGAAGAAGAAAAGGCATGGCGATTGGGCATTGCATTGGCGTTTTAAGGAAGGAGGCTATTTCCATGATATCCATTGATATATCTCGATTGCTTTTGACATGGTGTAGAACTGGCTAGATTGCGAGATTCGAGTTTGACACTGGCCAACAGCACTATTTTCTTTTTGGGTGCCTGGGCGAGCTTTGTAGGATTTTTATAATTCATGTTATCATAGTCTTATCTTAGAGTACACTTTTTCTTAAATGTCTCTATAAATCTCATACATGCCCTTGGAATTCAACTTTCAGAAGTCATCACGCCTCCTCGCTCTGCTTCTTCAAATGCATAATTCTCCATTTCGACAGGCCTGCTACCTCCTCCACCTCAACACTCTCTCCCATACCCTCAGCAGAATCCGCGCTCTTCTCCTCCATGGGCTTCACCTAGTACGGCTTTGACGCCTCGCCCCCTTCCCAGTGGCGCGCTTCCATCGCCAGCGGCTGCCACCAGTCTCCCGTCCTGGCATGCCATCTCGCGCTGCACAGCTCCCACAGCCGTGACGCGGCTCTCTTGTAAGCAAATCGCTCGTCTTCTCCGGTAAAGGCACCAGCGTTTGCAAAGTCCACAGGGCGCTTCTGCAGTCCGAAATCAGAGTCTTGATCTGGGTCGTATTTTGACGTGGCGGATTTGGTGTCGTAGTAGGATACGTTGGGGCGAAAGGGGGATATTGAGTCTTGGTAGACTTCGGCAATGGTTTCCGAGTAAGTTGCGTCGTTGTTGTCAGCGGTATTGGCGTTTGGAAGTTTATCGCTATTTCTGTTATCAGAGGTCTTTGATGAAGGGCCTGGGAGCGCTGGTGACTCGGGAAAGAAGAGATCGTCAGGGAGGCTTTGTGCGCGGATGACGAGTTTGCAGCGAGCTTCATACATGGCGTCCAGGAGGGTGATGAAACGCCGTGCTTCGTTTTTGGCGAGCAACGTCAATACGGGGACTCGGTCAATGATGAAGGTGTGGTATGTGGATGCCATTGTAAGGTAGTCCGCGGGTCCAAATGATTCAACGAGCTTGTCAAAAGTCCATAAGACAACGCCTTTGTAATGGTATGGTGTAGTAACTGGGCGGCCGTAGACGATGATTATGGATGGTTCCCATGGGATTGGGCTGCTACTTGATCCTAGAACAATCTCCCGAGTTCTGCGTTCGAAAGCTTGGTCGTCCTCATCAGAGAGATAATAGTGCTGAGGTCTCTTTCGAGATTGTAATTCGTCGTCTTTCGTCTCAATTGGAGTGCTAATCTGTAACGCACCATGTGCATCTCCTGCCTGGCTTGTAGAGGCATCCGGGCTGCAGTCCTCGTCTCTTCGCCTCCAATCCTGAGCGCCCTCCATCTGCCAAAAGTCGCATCTCGCTTTCAGAACTTCCAGAAATGCGGCGAAGTCACTAGACTGGCCGAAAAGCTCTCCCCTACTGCGCGTCACGCCACCAAATATCTTGCCCATAATACCTCTTGACGTCGGCGCGTAATCAATACCCGTAGCTTTCTGTAGCTCTTCGGGCATCCGGTTTGAAGACGCAACGAGGACTCCACCTAGCTGGAAAAAGGTAACGAATAAGTTGCTGAGAATCTTACTCGCAGCTCGGTCAGGAAGCTGAAACTCGTCTAAGAAGAGAATTGGTGATTCGTCGATGAGCTTCTTAGCCATCCATAGAAGAGAGTGTTCTGCGGCTGCATTGGATGGCTGGAGATTCGATTTCCGGTGCTTCTCAAGCTGAGATACGGTGTAGAGCATAAACGTATTGAAGTGCCATCGCTTCTTCTTCTGCGTGGGCAGCCCTTCCGCCAGTAGATCGAGAAGCATAGATTTACCCGTGCCAACTTCTCCCGAAAGAAACAGCCCTTTGGGAGAATCGATTTCTATCGCCGTTTGGTGATTGGTGAAAACTCGCGTGAGTGCTAGACTCTCACGCCCTTCACGAGTGTGAAGCAGATGTTTGAAAAGGGGATTTCTCCATATTGCGTGGTTCCGCAGTGCGAGGATGCCTTCTCCAGTCTCTTCCTGTGGCAGCGTTTTGGGCTCGGTGAGGCGGGTGAGTTGATCCAGCCGCTGGCGGTACTCAGTCTGGGGAGAATAATCCTTTATACGGATGTATATCTTGTGTAAATGGCGCGCGAGGCGGTGCTGTGCGGGATCAGGAGCGTATATGCCTGCGGCCACCAGAGACTGGTATTTAACCAAGGGATCAGTGATGGTGATGGCGGTTGAGAACTTTCTCATCCTGGTTAAAACGCCCATCTGCTTATGGCTGTTTATGAGGGGTCATCTATGTTGCGTTCTGTTGTCTTATATATAGCTTGATGTTGGGTTATAACATGTGCTGTTGGGTGGTAGGAGGATCTTGGTAGAAAGGGCAGAGGTGGAAATAGACGCAAAATCGGTTGAAAAAACCAAAGCTAGCTAATGAGAATGAACAAACAATTAGGTGAAGACAATGGAGATTGAGATGTATTCATCAAATCCAAGGTGAAATATCCAATTACAAGAGGACTGGGCTGTATGAGCCGACGAGGTATCAAGGCAATGGGTGTAATGAGGTAGGTAGCCGTTCAACTTCTCTGATTGCAGCGTCCTATTGCTCTTAGACAATTTCCTTGTGTACAGTATAAACACGTTAAGATGCTCTCAAACGCCACAGCTTAGCTGTAATTTCTAGGCATTTGAAACAGCTATCATTTAAATCGTGTCCCTCAAGTTCTTGAAAGATTAGTGAATCAACATCTACTATTCGTTAACTAAACTGCAGATGCATGCTCTTAATCCGCCCGTATAAAGATAACAAGTACCTCTTCACTACAGCGAAATTGTATGGCACACATTGTACACGCGCACGGCTGCCCCGACAATCGCTTCTCTCCTGTTAGAGATCTCTGACGACAGAGTGATTTTTTTTTGGAGCTGCTTTGGACCTAATCTGCGCGTACTTTCTAGCGTATCAAACGCCTTGCAGGTACTTGCTGTAGCGGTACCGCATGGGCGTGTCAGATGCGTTGCCGACCGAGCAGCTGTACTTTAAGAGTACCACAGTCCTCCCCCTATATAGGTGCATGCTGAAGTACCCCGTGGGTCCACCCCCGTGCGCCAGCAATTCTGCCCGTTTGTTTTTTGGCGGTGGCCGAGCCAATGAATCAAGCAACTGTTTTGCTTCTCACGCACTACACCATCTCTACTCTGGCCCATCGAGGTCAATCTTGCATCGCTCATTGCCCAAGAACAGGCAGCTCGGCATGCGCACCTGAGCCCCTTTCCATCATCGAATCCATCTCTCGACGACGCCTGGAACCCTCAGCAGCCGCCATCGCGACTCGCGCGACCGGCGCGATCCCTGCGATCCAAAACTTTTAGTCCAGCCTCTTTGACGAAGCCATCCGCCATGTTCTCGCCGTCTGCGAACGAGGGAGGTCCGGCCACGGCGACTCGCTCTCGTCGACGACTGCGCCCCAAGAGCCAGGAGCAGCTCGTGACGGCCCCCAAGCCCAAGAGACAGCGCGTGCCTCTGAGCGAGCAGACTTTGAACAACACCGATGCCCAGCCGGAGATGGCTGAGGTGCGGCCCGAAAAGGCTGCAACGCCTGCCCCCGAGCCCAAGAAGGACGCCGCCATGGAGAATTCGCCTTCAGTACAGACTGTTTTGCGCAAGGAATTGATTGTGCGGACGAAGAAGACCAAGCACGGCGATCGTGCTGCTCAAAAGGGTGACGGAAGCCTCGTTCTGGTACGCTGCAAGCTCCATCTCCAGCTTCCATCTTGCGTGTCGCATCGAGCATCATTATGAAGCTTTGCCATTGTCTGATGCTAATATAAACTTCTTCTCCATCTCTAGACAAGCACCAATGCGTATACTGTTAGCAAATTACCAGCTTTACCCGATAGAATCCGAAGTGACTGGTCTGGTAAGTTCTATTTCGTCTTTCTTTTTCGTCTAAGCAACGCTTTCGCGTACTAACTCGAGCAGGGAGCCAACAAGCCGACATTTTCTCATCCTTCGGCTATGCTTTGTCATTGACACCTACTCACGCTGTTGTATGGCCTTATAATTCGACCTCGCAGTCTCCCGAGACCTTCACCTTCACCCTCCCATCCTCTTCGAAGCCCAGCGATGCTCTTCCAGTTGGATGTCTCGTCTCTCCGTCTGCATCATCAACCGAGCCCGGTTTGGTTGTTGTGATGGCTAGCACCGGCAAAGTCGTCTTCTGGGAGTCTATATCTAGCGCTGCTACCTTTGCCTTTATCAAGAAGGATAGATCCGGCGTTGAATACCAGATATCTGGAATGTTTTCAGGTGAAAAGGCCATTGCCATCACTAACGCAGAGACTGCCGGATTTTTACTTTCCTTCAACAGCGGGCGTGTAGCTTACTTGAACGTACGAGACAGTCATGGCCGGCCAGCAATTTCTGTGCAGTTTCTGCGAAACAACCTTGCGACCACTAGCAGCGGCTTATTCGGAACCATTCGACATGCCTTTTCGCATTTGAGCCTTAAAGGGGATATCGCGGCTGTTCGAGCTGATAGGTCTGCTAGAGTGGGCGAGAAGAATGTGATTGCTTTAACAAATAAAGGCAAGCTACAGTCATGGAGAGTCCACCGTGGAGGTCATAATGAACCGTTTGGCGAATTCGACGTCAGAGAGTCCATCACTTCAGCACTTTGGGAAGCTGACCCTTTCTGCCGCGATCTACCGGCCGATTCATTCGAAGCCATTGATTTCACTTTTGTTCCCAGGGGCCTGGAGCACAAATATCTAGACCTCAGCAAACTTAGCGCCGCCACCTCTTCTGATGACCCGTCAGTGCAGCAACTGCTACTGCTTGTCAGCTTGACTAGTCGCGCTGTTTCTCGTTACGCTCTGGTTGAAGTCGTTATCACTCCCAAAGGTGCCCAAGTTGGCATGATTCGACCAATTACCTCCTATACCACACCGTTTTCTCAGACAGACTCTGTGCAGGCAGTAAGGCCACGGCTCTATCTCCCGCGTCCTGCCCTCGTGGCTTTTGCAGTCTTTGATCGCGCCGCCGTGATAGCGTCCATCGCCGTATCTCCAGAGTCTCCCGACTATCAACTTCAATCCGACACGCACACACTATCTCCATCTTTCGAGGACGTGATCGATTTCCGCGAAGATAATGTCCACGAGGTTATCGGATCTGGCTTCGAGGAGATGTTGCCCGTGTCTCAATCAAACGAGGAAAGCCGAGCAGCTCGAGCAAAGAGCAAGAATCCAGCTGTCGTTTTGGTAGTGCGAGGCGCCGGAGTTGTTCGCATTGCTACCACAGACGTGGACAAGTTCGCCAGCGACCAACCCCCATCAATTTCCGCCAAAAGCAAACTGGAGCAAGCAGTCTTTTTCGGTACCAAGAAGAATAATCCGCTGGTATTCAATGTCCGCCAAGAGGTTCAATTTTCCGAAGAGGAAATTGCGCAAGCCGCGCTGGAAGTCAGCAACGAAATCCTCAGCTCAACAACTGCATACATCTCCACTTTGCCAGCCTCGTTAGAAGAAAACCTTGTGGCACGCGGCAATGCATTGGAAAAGCTCATCCTTCACCTGAAAGCGACTGGAACCCACCTGGACCGCAAAACCCGCTGGAATTTGCTATACAATGCAGAAAAGATGCACGTAGCAGCCCTTCTCTGGAAACGACAAGAGGCCTTTGTTACAGCACGCCCATCCGATAGCAAGAAGAGTCTGATTGGATACATTGTTGAATTCATTCACCAAGACCAGAAGAGCAACCCTAGCGCTGAAGTTGGTGAGGTGGACCGAATCCGTCATTGGTTCATCAACGACATATTCCGCCTTGAGCTTTTTGTGGCCTGGGCATACGAAGTCATCAAGATCATGTACAAAGACAAACTGCTGGATGACGCTAAAGTGACCTTTATGATTTCTGAGGCTATTCAGATCAACGTATGTACTCTACTTGGCGCCTTGGACTTCCGCAAGAGCAATCTTGCATTCTATGGATTGGGCGATGAGAAGCTGAGGCTGGGTATCCTGCGCGATGGCTATGATGGTCTCCCTGAACCGTGGACTGGCTGTCACTACGTTGCCAACAACGTTGCGCGCCTAGTCGAGCTTTCGGACCAGTGGTATCAAAAGTGGTCGAGGACAAACGCTGGCGAGGATAAGACAAAGCAGTCGACCAAACCAGACCCTGTCATCATTGCGCGGATATATAAGGATCTCCCTGCCGCGATTGATGGTATGCTCACCTCGATTTTGGAGTATGCGCGATGGGCCGAGACGACGCCGGACCAGAAATCAATGGGCCAGACCTTTGCCGAAGAATACCAGAAAGAACGATACAGTAGACCTATTAGCCTCGCACGAGCAGGCAAGTGGGAAGAAGGAGCCTCCATCGCTGAGAAGCATGGCTGCCTGGACGGTCTGGCTGTTATTCTACTTGATCACATTGAAGAGCTGGAACTGACGCTCGCCGAACCTGGACTCACTACTTTCGACTTGCAAAACCTGAGAGCTTTGAAAGAAAGAAAAGAAACAGAACTGGAAGAGCGTTTCACCCGGTATGGCCAGGAGTTCGCCTTTCCAGTTTATGAATATATGCTCGAGAAACATGGAGTTGATGCCGTCTTGGCATTTGAGCTGGAGAATTCAGGCTTCAAGACGCGATTCCTTCGCAGCCGACCAGAGTTGGCGCGGATTTCGTGGATCAACGACATTCAGCAGGAGAAACAGGTCGGCCACGCCGCAGAGACGCTCATGCATCTTGCTCTCAAAAAGGAGCAGCAAGTATGGAGCAAGAAGATTGAACTCAGCCTTGCAAAACTTGCCCTGCTTGCCGAGAAGGAACAGAAATCTCCAAAGAATGGCAATCTGAAATTAAATGCAGACGAAATCCGGATCGAGCAACAGCTCGCGCATGTTGACAAAGAGCTTATTACGGTTAAAATTCAAGACCAGCTCTACGCTCAAATCTTCCCTAGCACTTATGACGCCGTTGATGAGGCTGCAGCTCTAAACTTTGCCATGGAGGCTCACAGCGCAAATGTGCCCAAGCGCCAGAAGGCGCTACGCCAGCTCTTTGAGGATGGCATGGCAAGACTGCTTAAGCACGAGGCTCTTGATCCCATGACCCTTATTGACCTATTGACTCTTGTTGATCTCAAACAAGAATCAAGAGAAGAAATTGCCCACCCTTTTTGGCTGGCTCTTAAGGTGGCTGACAGCAGCTGCCATAGCGAGGAAGCCCGAGAAGCCAAGCGACTCATCTGGAGGAGGCTATTTATCCGAGACGACTGGTCAAAGATCAACGACACGCAATTGAAGGATGATCGTGAAGTTACAGAGAGGCTAGCATCTACCGAGCTTTTCGCCATGCTGTATGATTGCATTACTTATGGTAAGTTTCCTTGTAATGCCCCTTATTCTGCCGCCAGTAATCTAACGCAAACTCACAGAAGAGGACCATGCACGTGGCACATTCAAGCCCATGCTACCGAAGGATGCCCTCGGCGCCTTTACGGAGCACGTCGATCGTCGTTTCCATGACTTTGAAGCTGGAATGAAGACGAAGCTGATCGACGCCATGCATCATGAAGACAAGCTTCTCAATCAATACATTGAAAAGAATCGTCTGACGGAATGGGTCCGTACCGCTCTGGAAGTGGCACAGAACCAGTGCAAGGAGGAGCAGATGAAGCAGAAGGCCATCCCTCCCATGGCGTTGCCAGTGTCTCTATTTGGCAAAGAAATAACTACTGAAGACCCTAACGGCACGGCTTAATATCGTCATGCGATAGGACGAAAAAAAAAAAAGTAGGAGAGAGGTGGAGAACAGAGGAAGAAAGTCGGAATAAAAAAGAAACGAGAAGTTTGAGATGTTTGATGTGGAAGAAAGGGAGGGGACTTGAGGGAAATTAAAAGACGTAAAGAAGAAACGATTTTGACAAGATTGTTTTTGTCATTGGGCGGCGTTTTCGGTTTTTTTCCTTTCTTTTTATAATATGACGCATGTTCCATCTCTTTGTCTTACTCATGCTGTACAATAAATAAATAGGGGGGGCAGGGAGCGAAAGGGGAAGAGGGAAGGAAGAAGAAGAACAAAGTGCACAAGAGTACTTGGATTTTTTTATAACGACACAGAATGCCTGGTCTCTTTGGCTTTTTATACAAACTCTTCATGGTTGGAGAATACAAGACACGAGGCGCTTGAGATGTCTTTATCTTATTATAAATGTTTGGTTTAGCATGGAGCTTCCAACTGCGATTACTCCTTTAGATTTAATGCACGTACATTGGGGTTTAGGAGAGACACTATGAGGTTATGGTTGTGATGATCAAAATTATATCTAGTTTTTTTCCCCCCTCGCCATTATAATTACTTTGCAATGGTGATCTTTGTTCACACAGACAGAAGGTATCTACATCATTGGCATTTGATATAGTTGCGATATGCATTTTCCACATCTTACTCATAACTACGCCACTCTTCTCATATGATCTTGACGTGCACATGTTTGCAAGTGGAAAATAGAGATCAAACTACAGCCTCGAACACGAATGGCCAAACATCGACGCGCTTCATTCTAGGAGAAGTCGCTATGTCATCAAATAATCATTTCATTCCTAGGTGACGACCGCTACATCAACTGTCTGTCCCTTTTCCTTCATAGGTGACTGAGAGCAGCTTATACTGCTCCGTTCTCACATGTAGATACAGTCTGCTTCGCCCTTTGCAGCTTTGCTTTGAGCGTTACGCTCCATTCCATCCTCCTGTAATCTGATGCCTAATTTTTCGATATGCCTCCGACACATCATGTGAAGACTATGAGATATAACTTGGATGTCTCTGATCGATCCCATCAAGGCAGAGCCATCGCTGCAGAAAGATCGCTTTTTCAAAGTCACGCATCTTGCTGAATCCCAAATATTTAAACGCGCCGTAGCAGGTTGAGAATTTAACCCTGCATCTTCCTTCTCTTGCCGATCTGGGCAGAGAAACCAGTCTTGATGGCAGTGACACTTCGTCGTGAAGCACAGTTGTTGCAAGTGATGAAGTACAGACGGTTTTCACCCTTGTTCAACTCGGTATCGGGCGACCTGCAAGTTTTGCAAGTAACATACTCGACTGCGAAGTCCTGTTGTTAGCGAGCTAATCGTGTGAAAGGAGAATAGGGGAAATAGGGAAGACAAAAGGGTATGGCAGCAGGAGTGAAGAGTCTTAATGCTGGGCGGGTTGTCTTGAGATACCCCATATCCTGAGATATCCCATATCCTCCAAGAAATCTAGCCAAGACCAGATTACCAACCAGCCAGCATTGCGCCTCTCCACCCCACCACTGGTATATGATAATTGGTAGACGTACTGATGTATTTTCTTACGACGTTCTCAATCTGCTTCTGTTGGAAACGACCCTTGATGACCAATCTTCTGCTTCCGTCCACAGAGCCGTTTGTACCCAATTCGGCAAAGAGGTAGGCAGTGACGTGTTCTTCGGTTCGCTTCATGCGCTTGCAGATATCGGCAATGTTGGCGAAGACAGTTTTCCTGTTGCCTTCACGCATGCACTGGGGAGGAGGGATCTTGTAGCTCTTGGTGCCACTGAGTGAGTGATCGGGGTTCTTTTGTGATAGGACGGTGAAGAAGCGAGAGAGGAGCAGGGTGTAGGGGATCGTTTTTGACTCCTGGTGGCTCCAGACACCGGTGCCGGTCTCCATATCACCCTCTTCCTGTGCTGCCTCCTCAGCCTCTTCGGCATCCTTAACCTCGAGTTGCTTCAGCTTGGCAGTGAACTCGTCTTCCTCGGTACCCTCGACCTTCTTGACCTTCTTCTTCTTCTTCTTGATGGTCAGGTCAAGGCCTCCATCCTCGGCGGGGGCAGCCTCATCTTCGGCATCACCATCAGCACCCTCGACCTTCTTCTTCTTCTTCTTTTTCTTCAGGAGAGACAGATCAAGACCGCCATCTTCGGGAGGGGTGACTTCGTCGGCAGCGGCTTGAGAGGGATCAGTATTAAAGGCACCGAGGGCGGCAGACAAGGGCGGCGTACGAGGCGTGTGTGACTGGGCCGTCTCTTTGGGTTCTTCGGCGGCGTTCATGATGGTTATTGAACCGTCGGTCTCAACAACTAGTTGTTCGTCGGTGAAGGCAACAGATTTTCGGGACGCTTTTCGTTCCGTTTGGTCCTGCGTAGTGGGGAAAAAAGAAGAGGGAGAGGTTAGCCACGATTTGGGATTGAAACATGCAATAAAAAGGAATGAATGGAAAAATAGCAATGTTGAAAAGGGTTTAGGCTGTGGAAGGGTACAGTACAATCCAAATGCTTCTTTTGTCTTGTCTTTTGCTGCTTTCTAATGGTAGCAGGTGCTGTGTGACTCAGAGGTATGACAAGGGAGAAGGAATCGACGGGTGGATGAGATTGGTGGGGTAAATTTCTTGTGATTGGGGCTTTTTTTCGCGGTTGTGGCCGGTGCTGGCTGGACCTTGTGGGCTGTGGGAGAAGGCTGGGAGGGGCAAAAAGGAGGAAAAACAGCGGCAATGAAAGCAGTGGCAAAGGCCAGGGCTAGCTTGCTTGGGTACAGTAAGAGAAGGTTTCCGCAAAAACGGAGCATCCTTTCCTAGCAGCCAGCAGAATACAGTAGTAGCAATGTACGCATGTTGGCGTAGTGGATGTAGAAAGATGATGGCAGCAAGACGATAGTGTAGCAGCGATTCCAAACTTACTGGCACCTCGTTCTCCATGATTGCGGTTAGCTAATTCGTGCTTGGTCTCTCCAGGAAGCCAGGAAGCCCCTCTTTGAATGTCCCTCTCTCGGAATAGCAGTCCTTCTCCAGGCGGCGATGACACACTCAAGCTGTCCGTCTCTGCGTCACAGCGTCGTGTTCAGATTGACCAAGAGAAGCGGATGCTGGCCCTCAAGCGTCGAATCGGGGACGATGGCTCGTGATTTTGCGGCCCAACTATGCGCGAATCTGCACGAAGACGAAGACGGTGTTCTGCTGCAACGGCTCACTGGTCCTTTTCTTGGGCAAGCTGCAGAGCGATGTGAGCAGCAGGTGAGTGCTGGGTGGAAGGTCGAATGGTTTTGAGTCAGCTGCACGTCATGAGCCGTGGTTGGGCCGATATTCAAGGACGCAAGGCAGGCAAACTGAGGCCGTGCTCAAGAGGAGGGGTATCACGTGACTGCAGAGAAGCCCGACCTGTACGGACTAGAAGCCATGCGTGCACCGACAGCAGGCGATAAGATTGACGATAGTGATAACGGCACAGACTCTCTCGATACGCACTTGAGAGGTGGGCCGTTCGGTATTAGTCGATCCCGTCGTCGGAACAAGCTCCACCTGCCAACCGCCCGTTGACGTTCTGCGACTGCGAGAGTCGAGGATAACCGCATCGCATTCCTGCGGAGAGCATCAGCCCGGACGTCGGCTGCTTCATCGCCAAACCTCGTCACAATTCATGGCCTGATCATCGTCCTCAGCGAACGCCATTCCAACCAGAAACGCCCGCTGCTGCCTCGCCCGGGAGCCCATTCCGACGTCTTTCGCTCCACTACCGCGCATCAAAGGACTCAGCCAGCATTCATCATCCTTCACTTCCGTCACCATGGCCGCCCCAGACGAGTCCCTCATCGACCTCCACGCCTCCTCTCTCACCGACACCAAAGACGATGTCGATTCCCTCCCCTCCGACTCCTCCAACAGCGACATCTTCTCCGAGGCCGATTCCGAGGCCCAGGAGGAGTGGGAGCGCAGCCTGGAGCAGGTCCAGCTGCTGCTGACCATGATACTCGTACCGTGGGTCGGGAAGCTGTTTGGCCGCAAGTTTGCATACTGGAGTGGGTGTTTGCCTCGGCATTTCTCTAATGCTCCTTTCCTCTGTCGTCTTGGATCGCTAACATCTTCCATTAGGTTGGGGAAAATACATGAATTGGGTGCACAACACAGACGTTAAAGTTACGAGCAAGAAATCGTTCAATGCTGCTGGTGCAGTGGCGGCGACGTTATAGCCAGCCGTTGGCTGGAAGACCATTCAACGACTTTGGATCAGCTGTTTGTCTGGGCAAGCTGGGAGCGTATAGACTGGCTACAGCTTGATGCCAGAGGGTTGCTACAACAACAATTGGTCAAGTTCTATCATGGTGGTCTTGCACATGTAAACTGATCAGTGTCAGAGGACATGATATTTGTAACAAATAATACCAAATATAGCGCATTATCATTTCACATCACATTATAAGCACGAGCAATGGCAAAGAAGATGATATGTATGGGACTCTTTTATTCATCACTCAATTACTACATTAGCTATCGTGCTCATACTACTAACCTCTCAGTCCTGTCAACCTTTTGACAATGCCAATCCAATCCAGTACCGACTATCGATTTCACAAATGTACGTATTAACTCGACGCAACTTCATAACCCAATCGCCAACCCTCCTGACCGGTACTCATAGGATATTCACCCCTCCAACCCGCTGCTGTTGCAAATGACGTTTTCAAGCGAAGAATCCAGTTCACTCGTTTGCTAGAAGGCATCCACCGGGGACACGACACCAACTATTATAGACAGCAGTAAAACTGTTTTCATGTCGGTAGAGCGAATGAAAGAACGTGCGTGTAAGAACGCTCATATCATAAGGGGTATATTCTTAAAGAGGACCATTTAGACCTGAGACATGGTAGGTGCAGTGGTGCGAGTAGAGCGACTTGAACGCGAGAATCGTGATGAGCCGCCGCCGAAGCCGCCAGTTCGTCCGTCAATGACGCCGAAGATGAAGATGACCATGAAGCACACCCAGAGGAACCACATGAACGCAGTGCTGGCCTGGATCTCGCGGCACCTCTTCTCGTCATGAGGGAAATCGCCAAAGCCGATCCAGCTGGCGGGCAAGTGCTGGTGAGGAATGTTGCCACAGTTGGGAGCACGCAGCTTGGCGGACAAGACGATGGCGCAGATGAAGGTGAGCACAGTGGCAAGGCCGTCCAGGAAGAGGAGGAGGACGGGCACGAGGATGCTCTCGATGAAGGTTGCAAACATGCCGTAGAGCAAGGCAACCCAAGACCAGGCAGCCACGAAGATGGTGAAGTTGATGGTCACCATGTGCCCATTTCGGTTGGAGGCGATGACATTGCCGATGAGGGCGGTGATGATCAATGTCCAGACCAGCGCAATGCTGCGCAGGATGACACTGATGAGCTTCGACATGGCGGCGGTGAGGTCTGCAAAGAAACTGTGTTGCTGTGGATTGACAAGAGATTGATTGATCTGGACTGCAATCTTCAAGAACTGGCTGGCGATGGTAGGGTTTTATTGTCCCTAACCAGACAGGGGAGGGCGAGCCTATTATTCCTTATTCCCTTGAATTGCCTTTTTACTCGGCGGAAATCTTCTGCCCGTGACGGCTGAAGTTTGTAGCAGCCCGGGACGACCGGGCGAAAAATGGCACAAGCCGTGGAAAGCTAGGAAGCTCGGAAGCTTTGGCGCGATGGAGCTATGAGCTGCCTTAAAATGTGGAAATCGTAAATTGAGACAACTATGATGATTGAAGCAAAGATGCCGAAGAAAGACAAAAAAATCACAGCTGCGCAGAAACTGGCCAAAGATTCTCCTTGATTCTCAGCACCAGGCAAGAGGTTGGTGTAAGAGTGTCGACCGAGCAACCATGGAAAAGGAAGCTTTTAAAGCAACCAGATGCACGACGCGGGGCATTGAAGCTTCCGCCTTATAAGCTGAGGATAGAGGAAGACGTCAAACAAATGAAACAAATAAAGAGGTCTACAGCTTCTCCGCATGGATCAGACGGCAAGAGTACATTCTGCTCCAATGCATATGCCATAGCAGCGGCTTGTCACCCGCCTCGGAGTCGTCGGCACTCGCTAGGGCTTGCATGACGTTTGCGTCTAAAGTGCTCTCCCGCTGAGAAGCTTGTTTCGCCCGTTAAATGGCAGCTGCCACTCGTCACAGCTGTCATACTATCCGGAGTCTAAGCTTTGCGCGCGCATTTCTCGCCAACAAAAGCTACATATACCTGACGTCATGTAGATCTCAGAGGGGCACAATTTAGCACCATTATTTATATACAAAGAGAAAAGCCACAATTCTCTAATCTTCCAACTGTTATCCGTACCCGAGACATTTTTGTGCGAGAACCATCAGCTGCTCTTGGCCTAAACGCTGTCTCTGATCATCCATCCCATTGTCTGATGCTTCTGCCGCCGGAGAGCGCTCATTGGCTGGAGCTGTTGTGCGATTTCCTGTCTGGGAATAGCGCGCTGCTTGAGCGTTGGCCGGTGGACCGATGCATGTCGTCATCGCCTTCATTGGACGAGGAGGGCTTCTAAGCTCAAACCAGGTCAGGTTTGACAACCTCCAAAGTCAATGGAGGGATGGGCTAATTGCAGCCTCGAGCTCGCTTCCTTATCCGTATTCTTATTCGATGTGGTTTTTTTTTTTTGATTGAAGTGTGACGGTCATTTATTATCGCACTCTTATTACTATGAGTTAGGTGGGAAAACGTATTTTGAGCATAGAGGTTGTTTATCTAGATCATTCCAGATACACGTAAATGTGGAAAAAGCCCTGGGCAAATGAGTCAATAGTAGCTCGCTTTGGCAATTACCTTTGATTATAATTGTCCCATTGCCCAATGGAATAACAAGAGCCGGCCTCTTACAATGCCGGATCCCATCTCTCCTCCGAACCTTCCGGCTAGTCTGTACGCCCTGGTATCCTCATCGGCCTCGTTTACTCATCCGGCTCACGCTCCGAGCTCCGGCATAAGAGCGGGGCATCTTCGGCGTTGGAAATCATCGCGAACTGAGCGCCGAATAGCTTCATCGAGGCAGGTAATGGTAAGACGATGTGGTTCATTAAGGGAAGAGCCTCTATCGCCACAGAAACGGCCATCTTCCTTATGTGTTTATCACTCCGTATTGCATCTATATCTCTATCTTAACACCGTTCCAGTTTTATTTATTGCTCCCGTGTTATATCTTTCGCTGTCAAGTCTTGATTTTCATGTACGATGTTTCCCATTGCCAGTTTCATTCACTTCGTCTTGCCCTTCAGATAGATGACTTCTTCAGGGCCTTTTACTCATGCCAATTTGGCACTTGAATTTGAAGCTGACGAAACAGGTGAGATTGGATGACTTCCAAATAAGAAGGTAGTAGCAACAAGGCCAAACTAACCTGGAATAATCTCAACTACGACAAAAAGGGCACGTACTTTTCTCTTACCCCTCCATCTCTCTGTAGGTACATGCAGTTTATGCATTCTCCATGCTAGCTCAGTTATTTCTACCCACTCCCCTTCTCATCATCTTGCTCCTTTCATGCAACCAGATCTAGATTACGTATCCTACAAGATCTCTCACAGCAGCTTCACCTTGATCTATCACTTATTTGGTATACCTCTTCGGAGGATTTACTACTAGTCTGGCGCTTGCTCCAACGGTACAGACTATAGACCGAGCTGCTAGGCCTACTATTTTCTAAGCGAACAGGTAGTCAGAGGACTAAAATACGGGGAAGAATCTCCACCATATCATCTATGACCATGTTATTTCCCATCGCTCCCTCTCCTGTCTTATGTAAACGTTGATATAAAAGGGCGGTGTATACATGTATGCATATGTCCTCCTTTGGCATCAATCATTCATCTCCTGGCCTACCAACCATCGTGCTTTTTTTTTTTTTACCGCCATTAGATCCTAGCCATGATCTCACCACGTGTCTCGCTCCGTATTTGATCTATCACATATTTGGACAGCCTCTTTGAAAAGCTCGGAGCTGTTTGAGCGACTTGGCATTCGTATAGCAAAAAAGCTTGCGTGAGTCATGTGTTTATACTTTAATTTTCTTCTTCTCCAGTCCTATTCAAACAAACTCGCCGCCAAGGACCACAGCTCTCATTTGTTTTTTTACTGTCAGTCGCCCAGGCAGCTGAACGCGACGAAAGGCTTTGAATAAACTCTGCTGCTAAAGGGAATAAAAGTCCGCCATTTAATTTTAGTTTTTAGGCGTGTCCACCGTCCACGCGCCTGCGAACAGAAAAACGGCAAAAACGACGCTCCACAAACTGTTAAGCGCGCAAAGCCACATCTAGAGACTTGTGCAAAAGGTGATGGTGATAACATTGCGGCATGGGGTCTGGGGGTTTGGGAGTGTGGCTCATTGCTTGAACTCTCAGCTCCCCCTTTTCTATCTCCTTCGCGGGAATGATGGAATCAAATTATCCTCTCTGAGCCTGGTTCAGAAAGGGCTTGCCCGATTCCACGTGGTGGCTTCTCAGCAGCACGCCCCCCCTCGTCCAATCTCAGCTCTGCAGATTTGATCAAAAATCATTTGTGACGGGGGTATGAACGGTAAAATCTAAAATCTCGCGCGTGCGCTACCACACCATCTTTGGCTTGTAAGAAAAAAACCTTGTTCCAACCCAGTTTTATGTGCGTATATTTTGGAGAGTTCTAAATTGGTATGATGCTCCGAAGCATGCGAATTTTTCTCCTAACATGACAACTCATCTCCTTCAGCCCGCCTGAAGCAGATTGCCGACGATCTGGCTTCTACCCTCCACCCTGGCCATATACAGTAATAGCACGAGGCCTACCACGCTTTCGGGACAGACTAGATAACCGACACGTTGGATCGAAGATCCGGACACGTCCACCGCATAAGAGGCTTGCATACGATTGAGCTGTTCGAATACCACACTTTTATCTCTAATTCCTTATCTCCTGATATGAGGTGTCAAATTCCATCTTCTTCCCTATCTTTCTGGCACGATGCTTGAAAGTTTGACTTGAATATTTAATTTTTTATTTATTTAAAGAGAGTTGTTTCACGCATTAGTGTTTGGCTGTAATTCAACTGAACTCTCTTCCTGCGAGCTGAATAACACTGCCACAGTAGAAAACTCTCTTGCATTCAATGCAATACATAAACGTTGACTGCTAGTCAAAAGCCTACATAGCAACTCTCTAGAGCGAAGAAAAAAACACTGAATTCCCTGATGTCACAAAAAAAATGAGTGACAAAGAACGCTTACGCAATTCGCCAAATCCTAATTAGAAGCTTTGAAGAGTATAAAGGCTACCAACATGAGAAGTATCCATTTGCCGTAACAGGGAAGTGGTCGAAGCGTTGCTCTATAGCCTTTCCGAGGCCTCCGTTTTCACAACAAAACTTGCCGATTTATTTAGTGAAATCATAAACACAGCTTCTCTAGTGTTATCTTTTCTAAAAAAAAAAAAGAAAAAAAAAATTTCCCTGCTGGTGTTAGATTACTAAAAACTTAAAAGAAACTGCCGCCGCACCGCCACCTCTCAGCTGCATTCGCCTCTATATAAACTCTTTTTTTTGGAAGGTGGCGACCGATGTATACTATACCTTTCCTTGCCGAGTACACATCGCCATTAAAGCTTCTAAAATGCACGCAACCGCGTATGCTAAAACACGTATGCTATGACGCTCTTCCGATTGATAATCGATATCAAGAAAATTGAGTTCCCGATTTTCTTGACATATCTGCAAAACGACTTGGAACCGGAGAGACATACCTTAGTAAATCCAGGCACCAGCCATATTCCGATTCCGACGACTTACCTTACAGACCCCGGCTCGAATACTAATATGCCCGGTCGATTAGTTGGAAGTCTTACAACGAATCTTGGAAATATCGAACAAAGGACCGAAATAATGAGTCATGACATTAACACGCGTCTCTGAAGTCTCGTAAACGCGTCTAGATGTTGAATCTTGGCATTAATTTGTCATCGCTGTGTTATATGTGAAGCGCATCGGTTTCTCCGTGGAGATCGAGCTCATCTATCAAAACACCTTTTTCTTATTTCCTATTCTGGCTGTGGAGATTGCCAGTCGGCGATATTAGATAATCTCGAAAAGTTCCTATTTCCTAGAGTCATGATAGTATAACGACCTAGTAGCAAGGAGTAAGCAGTAACATCTCTAGGCGCAACGGTCGTAATGCGATAGCTGCAAATAGTCCTAATCCAGTTAGATTGTTACAGCAACAAAGAGCGCCGTGAGGCATAGTTCTGCCGAGCAGAACGGCTGAAGAGCGATTGATGCCAACAGTCCTGCAAGTAATTACATCGCCGATCAACTAGGTATTACACGGACATCATCACACGCCTGCCGACTCGGCATTCAAGTCAGATAAAGCCTCACACAAAGCAGTAGGAGTCATAAGGCAAAAATGTAGTAAATAATATCCATTAAGAACAAGTTGAAAGCAAAAAAAGCAAGTCTATAAGTCCCTCGCTTAATCTATAGAGTTAAGAAATTCGTCACAGCATCAAGTAATATATACCAATCCAATATTTTCAAGCTCCATCTTGTTGTCTTTTTTTCCACACGCCAAATCGTGTCTTCTTTGTACGAAAGTGGCGGCGGCGAGGCGGTGGTAAAAGAGGGTCGGCTTTTGTTTGAGGCCTCGTATATCCAATGCTTGAGACAGCCGGCCTCCAATAGGCAAACCGGGTAATCTCCCAAGGTCTCGCTGTGCTGACACGAAGCCCGCATATCGGAAGAAGTCCGCAGCCCTAAAGACCCCAATCTTTAGGGGCGGAGGCAACGCCAGGGGGCGCCGAGGCCTTTTTGGTGAGCTAGCTGCTTAGCGGATACCCGCCATGGCAGCGCTCGCACAAATGACTGAGGCAGAGAAAAAAAAGTGCAGTGATTCCACGTATAAGGAGGGAAGAAGATCTTATCTGCCACTTGGTATGTGATACGAGGCAATGGCCGTGGCAATGGCCGTTGTAATGCCCGTAGCAGCAAGGCATGCCAGTATTGAGCGCGTATATGTGAAAAAAGAGTAATTCATTTCCTGTGCCGTCATGGCTTGTTCTGGCAGGTCGTGAATTGAAGAAGAGGAAGATGCTATCAAAGTAAAAAGGTCATATCGTGTGTATAATATGCCCAATGATAGCCAAGTCCCATCGGGTAAAGTGAAATGAAGAGTTCGTGAGTGATTGCGGCGTTGATGCCTGGCTGGCTTATAAATAGCAGCATCTGCCAAGCCTTGCCAAGAGTTTTGTGTCGTGTATATTTTTATTTCTTTTTTGTCTTTTCTTTGCGCGAAGATGAAGAGTGGTGTTCTTGGATAGGGTCCAGCGTGTTCAAGACATCGTTGGCCCCGGTAATCAAGGATATTGATTCCCACTGCAGGCAAGCAAGCGAAGTGAAGAGATGGTGTAAGAGGCTGATTGAGTCGACAGATGAAACGGTGTGATGCTTCGACGTGACGTAGGAACCAGGCTGGCTTCTTCTGGAAACCACCGACTGGTCTTCAGCACTCGACTCTGGTATGGTCCCAGTATCGCTTGCGCGCTGTGACGGCCATCTTGTTGCCGTTGAAGCGGTGCTGGAAGAAGTTGAAGACGGCAAATTCGTCGCGTGACATGATGTAAGAGTCGGGCTGGGATTCGACCTTGCGCCAGATCTGCTGCAGAGCCTGCTCGAGAATCGTGCTGACGGTTGGATCTGAGGCGCCGTCGGGACTTTCTCGAGCAATTTCGAGGGCCTGGGCAACCGCAGCATCTTGCTGGGCTTGGTGCTGTTGGGCAACGGCCGCCTTAGAGGCACGGCTGGCACTCATACTGGCATAGCCCAGCGAGACGTCTGGCTGGCGGTGAGGCATGGGGCGGATGGGAGAGTGGTTGAGGTGTTGCTGGTACTGGATCTCTGATGGATAGACAGACAGCATTGTACTTGGAGGCTGCGAGGAGGTAGGGGCTCTGGTCATATATGCGTGGGAGTGGGAGCAGGCTGGAGGAAGCTTGTACGGGGAGGGTGCCGGACGGAGTGCGTCAGTGACCAGGGTAGGCTGGATATATAGGCTGCTAGGGGGTAGCGTGTATGGAAAGAGGAAGGCAAATATATTGGCTCAAGCGTTAGAAGCGGCAGAATCATATATTATATGCATGCATACAATATAAGGGGTGGAGCCGGTATGCGGGAGTATCGATCCACACGATCAGACTCTGCCAGGGAGGGGAATCCCTGCTTCTTTTGCACACACCCGGCGAGTGTTGACGGCTTGGCGTATACGGACCGTGAGTGGGGGCCAAGAGGTGTGTGTGTGCTAGACTCTTGAGACTTTCTCTTGTGCGTCTAGGAGCGAGATGCAGCCGCCGCTCTTGGCCTGTCTAGGCGATGAGACGCTGTCCCGTTGCCAAAGGGCTCCTTGCTGGCGAGTGTCGCGGTATCAAGGCAATCGACCAGGCGCAGGTCGATTGTGTCAGGGTCAGGTAGTAGTGGTCGAAGGAGACGAGAGAGCTGGGCTCCTGCCGATACTGGACGTCCGGGGTGTATCAGGAGGCGTTTGAAGTCGAATGTTTATAATAAACCTAAACACAGGACACGTGCTATGGGGTTATGAAGTGAAGGCCGGAAAAAGAAAACCCCTGGCAGCGCTGGATAGCGGTTATCCTTTATATACGCGCGGCCAGTGACCCGGCAATTTGGATTTCGGATATCTCGCCATTCACAACGCCTGGGAAGATTCGCTCTTCCAACAAAAGCTTTGGCTAGCGCCCACGGAAAGGCGAAAATACCGGAGCTGAGACATTCTGCTGGGGACTGTTTGCCCAATCGAGTATCTCGTGCGCCTACCCGTTTGCCGCCAGGCTAAGTCGCCTCCGAAACAGGAGACACACATCGACTTCTGTTGGCGCGCGAGGTAGAACGAAGAACAACAAACTTCGGACACTACATACACTCAGGTCTTCATTGGTAAGCAGCAGATGGCTGGGTCCCAAAGCATTGGGTCTGAAGCCCGACGCTAAAGTTCAAGCGATACGAAGTATGAGGGACTGGATGAGGTACACCGCAACAGACCAGAAATAGTTTGATGGCTTTGTCTCTGGGTGGAGGATGACAAGTCCGGCCCTAGGTACTGCTAGTCAGGACGACGACGGTACGTCTCGTTCGGGCAGGCAAGTATGTGCGAGCAAAAACAGAAAAAGTCTAAACGCGCGATGGCAAACCAAGCCTCGACGGCCGATTCCACGAATTCCACGGATTCCGTCCGACCTTCTGCGAGACACCGGCAGAAGAGCGTAGTCGCCCCATCCTTGCTCGATGCTCACTCCGTCATCCGCGCAGCGCAGGTAGCGGAATCATGCGCACACACAGTGACCGTTGACAGGCTTTGAGAGGCCGAACGTTGAAAGGCCGCGATGATTTAGCGCCTGGCAGCATGACAAGGTGGCTGCACCCCAGGGCCCTGTGCTCCGGACTTGGGACGTCGGGAAACGACGACGACACCCCAGAAGCTGTGGGCTTCGGCGATTATCTGCAAGCTCCAGGCTGGACTCCAGGTTGGCGACGCGATACGAAGAGCCGGCCGGCCAGACTGGAGACCACGAAGCGCCAAAGGAAATGAGATTGGGGTCGAGGCAGCCTCGTTGCTAGTTCGAATGTTCGAGCGCTTCTACGCCCTGGCCCTACACCGCCTTTGTTCTGATGCTAGTCAGTCAGTCTTTGGGTGGCACACAAGCGAGCCAAATCGTGCAACTGGGTGTTGCAGCGATATGCGCGTGTTACTTTGTGAGCGCGTTGCACCGCGTACGAGTAAGATGGTTGAACCTTTTGCAAGGCCAACAGGGTCTCACGCAAATCTCGATTCGCCAGAGGCAAACCAAGACCAAAAAACTTTTTTTTCTTGACACAAGAAATTTAGGGCGAGAAAGGGGGGGGGGGGGGGGGTCCAAAGCTAGAACTGGAACACAGGCTGGCTGGGCTCAGTCTTGTGCCTGCTCTTGACTTTGACCATCCGGCCGAAACCCCCACATGGCCAAAACTGACTTTGGCACCGTCTGGGTCCTGCTCCAACCCAGCCTCAGCATGGCTCTCGCTGCACTGAAGCGGTGAAGACGCAGCGTCGCCCGGCGAGCCAAAGGGGTGCGTCATGGTGAGGGTAGTGCGGATTGCCAGGTGGGTGTTTATGCTGGGCGTTTCTTTTTTTGGTGGCCGTTACCAAACAATATACTTTGACAAGTGCCTCTGTTCGAGTAATGCACATGCAGCCTCTGCTAACAGTACTCAGGAGCGAAAAGCATCTACGGCCAGAGGATGGTGAAACGCGCTACTCTTTTGGGAGAAACTTTGGCCCATCTCGAGGAATGCCAGCTCGAGTCTGGCTGCGCTGCCGTCTCCGTCATGGCGGATACGCATCACTCTGGTAGTTCCACAGAGGCTCTCGTGCTCAGCCAGGTGTGTTTGTTTTTGTACATTCTACGGTACTCTCCACTAAACGTGACAGACGCCTCATTGCCCATAATTTCAGCCAGTTGAAGTGTAAAACGTGGTTTTGCAAGCCATTATCAGATTCTTAAATCATCATCACACTCGTCACGGACCACATCTGAGAGTCTAGATTGGAGATTTGTTTCCAGCTCACCATTATGCTTGTTGCTCTTAGGAGAGATTTATTTGATCTTTTTGTCTTACTTTCTACTTTTTACTTTTTTTTCTCAAGTGACTCCAGCTACTCGGTGTCTGATACCAGCAGATTGAGCCAGGCGTGCGTGACGAAAGGAAGCGGAACTCCACCAACAATAATTATCGCCCAACATCCATAACGCCTCGTTTACATTCAGACCTGAGACGAATAACAATAAAACGGGCAATGCAATCGTGGATCAGCGGACTTTTGGGTTTCCACGATAGGTTTCGGCACTTGCCAATCTCTCAGAACCAACGGGCAACTACTGCATGCACAACAACGCCTTTAATTTTAATACTGTATGATGCAAAGCTTTAGCCTCTATGTCCTCAATGCCCTCACTCACCCTCGTTTTTCCCAGCGGCACTCGCTCTTGATGATTGAAATGCTCCCCCACAGCTGACTAATAGTTCGGGTTTAAATGTTATTACTTCCACCATTGAGTGGTTGAGAGTCGGGATCCATGCGTCATCTAGTTCAACGCTCTAGCGCCTCCAACGCCTCGATGAGCATAGCAAGCGTCTGTCATTGAAATCGAGCATTTTAACAACATCACCTTGGCAGACGGTGACGGTCGGAGACAATAGGCGTCCAGCGGCCTATTCTCGCGCTCACTGGTATACCTCCTTGGAGTCCTCTTTTATTGTACGATGATTGACTGGCCATTAACCAAGTTATGCCATCAAAACCTAGCTGAAGACGCGTCTCGAATATGCAAGAGGTTCGTACTTGTTGACGACCGGGAAGAATCAACAACAGCATCAGCCATCGATGCTTGGGTCGTATCCAGAAGCTGCTACTCGTACGCCCTGGCTGATGCTGATCAAATGTCGTGATTGCTCCCCCACGATCGCCGCGGAGCCATCTACTGGCACAATGGCTTATGAGTAATAGATTCTCCGGTTGGACAACAGCATGCTTGTTCTTTGGGTTTTCCATGCACTAAAGGGGGTCCACCTCTGGAGATACTAGCGGGCTAGATTCGATGTTGCGCCTCGTTAGATTAAGCAGCCGCCGCGCCGAAGTGATGCGAATTGCCTAATATGGCCAGTTCAGGGCGAAAATGGATAGCGTCTCCTGATAGCAGCAGTACGGACTTGATCATGTCGGCAATTGTTGAGGAGGCCGGAGATCATGGCAACACTAGACACTACAGCAGTAGGCATTCGCCAGAGCTACTTGTGCAGTGCACGTCGGGGTTGACGTTGCGCAGCGGCATTGAAGTCTGAACTCAATTGCTGTTGGCCTGCGACGCTTCCATTGATTATGCTTTACGCTTTGTTGAGACGGCGCACAACGTCACGAAAGTAGCGGTAAAGGGACAATGAGTTGACGGCAGCTTCTATGGACCACGGCAATGACATTTCTCATTCTCACCATGGCTCGAGTTTCCGCCAAACTTCGTCTCCGGCCTTCGTTTCTCGTCATCTTCCATAACCGAAGTCCGGGAGTCCGTTTGGCGCTAACAACAGCTGCATGCCGCCGCGACTTGATCTAGAGAAATAGGAGGCAGAGGCAGAGAGTGAAAAGGGAGGCAGCAAAAAGCTGTTTTGGGAAAATAATCCCGACTTTGATTGGCTCGGCAGTCTGGGGTCCGTTTTGGTAACAAGACGTTTACCGAGTCAAGAAACGTCCAACGTGAAGACACTACTGCGACTAGTTGCTAGACATCTACCTACTAGTACAGGTGACTCTCTTTCAACTCCACTGCCGTGAGAGACTATTGAGAGGGAGAGTTGGCATATTCAGTGGGCACTGCCCTGTGTGCGCGCAAACGACTCATGGTAGGGAGCGATCTCTCTTGGCATCCAAGGCAGCGGTGGTTTCTCTCCGCGGGCTACCCAAGACGAGGCCGCAATGCCGCAAATCCCCAATGACATGGGCATCCAAGTGAGTAAGTGCAGCAGACTGGCCCGTCTGGTTCTCTGTTACTGTACTCGCACTTTCACTCACTGGCTGGCCTGCAGCTCCACCAGCAGTTGCTTCCCAAGGCGGTAAAGCTGGCTGCGCTAGAGCATTGGCAATGCGTGTCAGAGCCGAAACATGGCTGGGCTACTATATTCAAGAGATATAGGTACCTAGGCGCTGTACCCACGCAGCTGGGCTCTACTGTATATTAACACGCCCCGTTGAGACCCCTCCGAGACCCGGAAACCGAGTTTCTGGGTACCCAAGCCAGCCTGCTAAAACGCGCAAGGTGTTGCCAGCTCTGAGACAGTCTTGTTAGAAGACGACCAACAAGGCAGATCATTGAATCAATCTATGCGTTTTTTTTTCCCTCTCTGTGACGTACAAAGTCTAGAGTGTGGCTGCACACAAGCAAATCGCGTCAGCAAGAAAATGACTTGTTTCCTCTGCAAGCCAGGATCTCGTTGAAAGCACACACTACTATACCTGCCACTATATAGCACGGGCGGGTAGTCCCAAGGACGATGCAAGCACCAAATAGTGCCGAGACACGCAGTTCGCATCATCCATCACACACTAAGACAAGCGCAGATCCTTTAGTATCCAGTGCATAGGCCGTATTGAGACGATGGCCAATTGCTGGATATGTCTTGAGCTCGGTTGTTCTGCCCTATCGCAGCCCAAAGCTGGAGCAAGGGTCAAGATTATGCATGAGCACGAGCAAAAAACAATTGTGACGAGGCCCTCTGGTTGGCGTGGCCGCAAATGCCGCAACAATGCAAGCAAAAAGACAACAAGGCAGAGCAAATGAAAAAGTTCCCTGCTTGATAGACACATGCGGACGTCGCCATGGTGTGCCGCCTTTCGGTGGTAGGTTTTGCGAGGAGCAAACATGCCATGCCATGCCAGAGCCATACGATGCACACACCACCAACACCAATTGCCCGCGAAGGATAGGCATATGCAAACCGCAACTCTAAATGAGCGAGGCGTGACCCTTTTGGACCGGTCCCTTGTTTTCGTCCCCTCCCTTGTGTGCTTGACGCTGCTGCTCGGGGCGCCACTCAGCATCTCTCGCTTCACGTCGCTACGCAGACCCGGGTTGGCTTCCGCTGCTCTTGATCTCAGGGAGAACAACCGGCAGCCCCCCTTGGAAGGTTTCGGGCTTGCTGGCCCGGCCATGGTTATGGTTGGCTCTGCCGCTGCAACCGCAGCTACTGCCAATGCTCCGTGCCTAGCATCCGCGCAAAGGCGCTGGCGATCGAGATTGCCCACGAATGAATGGCTGCCGCCGGCCCAGATCCCTGGCCTGGACGCCGGAGGTTGTGCTGCAGCATGCAAATATAGCACCGTTGCCCTGGAGGACGCTCCCTTCCCGCCCCAATCCTCCCGCGGCGACAGCTATGCCGGAAGCAGATTTCCGTGCATATCGACGCCTCGGCACATCCTTCACTGCGACCTCCAAATCGCCCGCATATGCGCTGCCGTGCCATGCGCTGCCATGCCATGCCATGCGTTGTCGTCCGCAGATTGCCCACGCGAGCATTGCGGGCCACCGCGCTGGAGGGAAGCCAATAGGCATGGCGGCGACGCTGGTGCTAAAGCGGGTTTCTCCCCCAGTTTCCCGCCATTTAGCGGGATGGGGATTAAAATGGGCTTAGCCATCTCGAAAGCATCCGACACCCTTGCTCGTCGTTTTTTTTTTTCCTCCTTCTTCCCAGATGTTGGAGGAGGGTGTTTGTTTTCCTGCCCCTCCCCCCAATAATTATGCGCACTATGCATTCTACTAGACCACTATCAGTCTTCTTTGCAGCGTCGAGTGCGAAAAAACAGCGCAATGCAACCTAGCGCCCTCTCCAAAAAGGCTGGAGCGAAACGCTGCTAGACCTAGACGCAGCAGTAGCTTTGCTGCCTGCCGCCTTAGTCCGCACATGCTGCACAATAGAGTTTAATTGGGAAATTGCGCATGAACATCTAAGCGCCGTGCCAATTGAAAGGAAGAGCAGTCTGGTTTGGGCAATTGATTCGTGGGCAGGCAGAGACGACACGGCCAATGAATCGTGCTGAGCAAATGAGCTGAAATAGAAGTCCACGACTGCCCTCGTCAGCAAATAAGCAACATAAGCAGCATCGACAACACCAAGAAGAAGAAAAACACCACACAACAGCAGCCCCCCATCTCAATCCCACTCTCCTTGCCATCCCTTGCCCATGGCAGATGCAACAGCCGCCCAATGAGGGCCTAGCACAGAAACCCGCCCGCTCAGACATCTTTCGGCTCCACTCCGCCGAACAGATTCCCTGAAAACTCTATTTAATGGGCTTTCCAGGGGGAGGGATCCCCACTCCCTTTTTCTCTGGCGTGCCATCAACGTGGCTCCAGTTACGCAATGAACGTGGAACCATGACCGAGCTTTTAACTTCTGTTTTTTTTTCTTTCTCTTCCTTTTTGCTTGTCTGCATCTGGTATTACTTACTACTACTACTACTACCTCCCTGTACAGCACATGTTGCTACGTGCATGTCTAGCTCGCATCTCCCGGCAAAGACCGCCATCAAAAGGGCGAGCCAAGCGAACGCGCGCTTTGCTTCATCCTTTGTTAGCTGCATGTTTAATGTTGCGTTGCGTTGGTCCCTTTTCGTTGCTTTCGCTTCTTCGTTTTGGCCCCCAGCTTCACCCCCCTCCAAGGATAACCGCCGGAAGGCTGCATCCGTGGACAATCTTTTTTTTTTGTGTTGTATTCTTTTTTTAACATTTTGCCCGGCCCTATTTCTGGCGTCTTGACTATTCCCCACGGCTACTACGAGAGGTTAGAAGCCCTATTACCTAAACAATGACGAGGAATAAAAGCCTCATTACGCTGGCAAGTTCATGCAAGTTCAACTGGGGAAGCATTGAGAAAGAAACAGCAGGGCGCCTAGTGTTCGCCGCATTCCGCTCGAGAGCGGCCTCAACAACGTGGCTTGTGGATTACAACCACATACGCAAGACGGCATGTCACTCTTTGTTCATTGGGAGTGGAAAGCAAGTTGTCAGTGACGATTTGACTCCATAGCCCACGCGCCGCTTGAGAAGTTCCCAGAACTACCTACCTACCTACAGCGAGCTCCATATTGGTTTGAGTAATTCGGTCAAGAGTTTGGCAAAACGAAGCAAGTTTTTACTGGGTCTGCGAATAGAGTTATGACGCCACCCCAGCTGGGACCACTGTGTCAAACGTCGACGGTTTCCTCTTTTTTTTTCCCTCTCTCCATCTTGTCCATTTTCGTTTACAAAAACCCAGAAAACACACAGACCATGATAATCCACGCCGTGATACCCGTGTTCGCCGGAGATGGGTCCTTTTTTAGTGTACCTGACACAACTTGGTGCATCCCGGCGACTTAGAATCTAAAAAAGCCTTGCGCGACTCATGTCATGAGATTTTGACTTTGTTCTAGAAGACTTCTCCCTCAGCTTTGCTCTCCCGCTATTGCCTTTTATTACGGGCCGGAGTTTCCTTTGGAGGAAGACGCCTTGGCCCCCCCTTTTTTTTACCTGCTAGCATATATGTACACACATCACTTTGCTTCCTGTTTCGTGATTACTATACGTACGTGACAGCGCATCTAGTGTGTAGCGGAGTTAGGAAACGGCGAGCAGGGGGCTTGTTGTGATAGTCAAGCATGGTTCTGAAACCGGGGAAGGATCGGTCTCTTAGCAGAGTTGGGGATTATGGAAAGGAGGCGTCTCTCTTTTCTACGCCAGTTTAGAAGAAACAACTAAGAAAGAGATCGATAGTAATGAAAGTCATGTTGTTTTGCCCTCGTCGTTTCATTTGCTGCATGGTTGAATGTTCTATTCTTTACACACCCCTCTCATGTTAGTAATGACATTACCATTTCAGACTTATTGACATATGATTGATGTGTACACGTACATTGCCGTCATAGGGCCGACTGCCCAGTTCGCATTTCGCGTTTGAGCATTGTTTCTCCTCTCTCGGCCCGAGATTTTTGTTTTTTACTTTTTCCTCTCTTCTTGGCAATACGCTCGACAGCAGGTAGGAGTACTGTAGTAGTAGTAGTAGTATTCTCATCTTATTCCCTGCAAAGGCGGGTCGGCGTTTAATCAGCAAGGGGAGATTTGACGGTTTACCCTTTTTGGGAAGAAACGGTAACGTATCCTTCCATTTAGAAACAAGAAAACCGGGAAGTATTGTGGTACCGTGCAAGTACTGCTTGGAGCGGAATTAGGTGAATGGAACGGAGAGGCAAGCGTCAAGGCAGGCCGTCCATGGCCACACAGCTTTTCATCATTGACGTTTTTATTGAAACAATCTTTACGTGTAAAACTTTACGCCCAACATTTCCACATCCGCGTGACCCAAGTATCTGGGAACAGAGATGGTTGGTTGGATTTACTTACTGTGTTCCTTTCACTCTCTTTCTTGTGAGGGTTGCATGATACGTCATGAAGCCACATCAAAGGCCCTTTCCCACCCCCCCTTTTCAATTTGAACTTTCTCAGTGACAGACAGACAGGCAAGTTTTAACTCGTCTTGGTTAATATCCCGAAGCAGCGAGAGCAGCAAGTCGCGGCGCTAAAAAGTGTCCAAACTGTGGCTGGTTCTTCTTCCGTTGCTGTTCGGGGTTTATTTTCTTAGAGTTTAATCTTGGGGATAATTCGTCGGGTATTCTTTGGTCCTGCGACTCTTCCTGCGACCACCACTCTCTCTCTTAGTGAGTCGGGTTTTCCTTTTGCTCGCTCGTTCGGCTTTTGTCCGTTGGGGAAATAACACTACTGCAGCTCCTTCTTCTTCTTCATCTTGCTTTGGCTTGACACTACGGGCTTTTTTCTAAGAATGTTGTGAGTTTGGGCTGCTATTTTTCCCTTCGGGGACCAAGACAAAGATGGGGGCGGTCAAAAGGGGTCGTAGAAAGATACGACAGAAGCCGTAATAGCCGTTGGAGATGGAGTTAGCTTCTCCTCTCCCCCCGGATTGTTTTCGTAGTTTGACGCAGAGTCTTGCCCTCTTGAGAACTTTTGACGGTGAATCTGCCGCCTTAGATTGGCGAAGAGACACACATACCAGCGGAGTTTGGGCTTGGAGTTTTTGGCGTACAAGTAGCCATGTTCCACGGGGGGGATCTCCAAAGGGATCATGCGTTGTCTTTGTAATGGTCTCCTTTTTTTCATGCAGCTTGTAGTAGTACTACTGCGGCTTTGTAATTCGCAACTTGTGATCGTCTCTGCGCCTTCTCTAATCTAGTCCATATGCCAACGCGCGCACGCCATCGTTAAAAACAAAAGGGAGTTAAGAACAAAAAAAAACCTCAAAAAAAAATCCGAGATATACTACTACACCTGGCACAGCGATTCCGGTACGCTGATTCCGCACGCCCCGTTATTGGCACTGCTGCATCCTCCTTTCCCAAAAGGAAATTGACAATAATGTTACAAGAGAGAGAGGCAGAGAAAATTTTTCACACACTGCCGCGGATAAAACCGTGCTTACATGCATATCCGGCAGTGTCTTTCATCCTAGGCCTTGTTATGGTTAGATGATTTTATGATCGTGGGGTCCTTTTTCCAATATCCCAACCCCAGCCTCGAAGCACCTTCACCACCTTGGGCGTCACCGCAGCGGTCAACGGCACCCGAAGGAAGATGAAGCTCTTGTGGATAGCATATGCGAGCGCTAGCTGCGTTGCCAGGCCTGCGGGAAAAGGGCTGTTAGTCTCTCTCTGTCCCTTGACTGTCTCAAATTAAAGTACCACCGGGCTCGGTAACCGTCCGTGAATGCCATATGGGGAAAACAGGTCGTCTCTTCCCTCTCTCATGACGTGGAGCTGTCTGAGACATTTCCACGTAGTGAGAGATAGAGCCATATCGGGAAGGGTACCAAAAAGCAGGGGGGCGGAAGTGTTGTTCAAACTCACTGGCTTCTTCTCTGTTGCGTTCCTGCGCTTGTTCTACGCCCCAGCCTGCCATCTCTACTCTGTCGCTGATATTGTTGCTGCCCAGATGGCTTTTCTCTTCCTTCTTGAAAGATTGTCGCCATTCGTTCCAAGCTGTCCGAACTGATTCGGGGATGACTTTTGTGACGACATAATGCTCGAATTGGCCTGGACGCCCCCATCCATTCTCCGGTTAGTATCGCATTATAAAACTTACTCTAGAAGAGAAAAAAAAAAAGAGAAGAAGGAGATCATGAGAGCACAAAGCGAACGTACCTATCCTCTCTGTTCCGACCAACCGCACGAAGAGGAAGCAGAACGGGAAATCCAGCACGCTGAGCGCAAAGTAGACGCCCACGGCCGACCACCCATACTCTCTGGAGAGCTTCTTGAACCTCTCACTTAGCGACAGATTCTTCTTGGCCCCCTGCGCAGTATTGCGCCTCCACGCCGAGAATACAAAGTTGCGTCGCTGTGTCCCTCTCGCGAAGCTGTCAGCTATCCTGGCAGTTGGTCGCATGGGAGCAGCGCGGTGCATCGCTCCTCCCAGGGGCGAGATTGACTGTAGCCTCCTCCATGATGCGTTGCTGCCGCTCTGGCTTTGCGTCACCGGCTGTGATGAAAAAAATCTTGCCCAGACATCCTTCAACGCCCCGTTTTGTCCCGACGCAGTCTTGGCCTGCCGAAGAGGTATCCTCGATTGGAACGCCGCTGCTCGAATCATTGCGTGTGTATGTAGCGCTATATGCAGGTCCTCCCTTGAATCGTCTTCCTCTTCTGTAATACGTAAAGCTCTGCAAAAGAAGCTCGAGTCGGTTCGCAGGCAAGTAAATGAAACGGAGTGGCGGTATTCCCGGCGAAGCTCGGTGATGGAGATAGCGGAGCTTCGGAGCTCTGAGAGTCCGTGTCAGGAGGCAGCAATTGGAATTCCACGTGGCGCGAGAAGGGATTCCCGTAGAATCGTGTCGATGTATCGATAACGATACAGAGGCTGGAACCTGGAAACAAGGCGTAGACGCTGAAAAGGCAAAGAGAAAGGTTAGGTCGCAAGTCGCCCCTTCGGTCAACTTCAGCTAAAGAGGAAAAAAAAATTGGTGGTTTGATATGCCGAGCCTGGTGGGGTGACCAATGCAAATGCAGATGGTCTGTAAGCTGGAATCAGTGTTTCGTTTAATTTTTTTTGCAGTGCTTTTCGTTTGCCAGTGTCGGTCAAGCTGTGTTTGTTCTGAAATCCTTGCTATACTCTTTTTTTACTTTTCTTTTCTTTTCTATTAAAGTTTTCAGGTCACGATGATGTAAACAACGGCTTTCGCTGGTCCCGGCTCGTGTAAATGTCGGCATGGGAGCAAGGATACGAGGCGCTAGCAGGGCTGATGATGCATATCACGTGCTGAGCGATGCAACGACACTGGCTGTAAGAGACTCGATCCCACGTTGAGCGTAATGTGAGGAGAGAAGGCATTGAGGAATCAATTGCCATTGATATATTGCTTAATGAATATTCTTTTGTTGTTACTCTTTGGTAATATCGCCTTATGAAGCCTGTTAATCCAATGATGTGGTGGCACTGAGAGCTCTATTGCTTGCTTGAACGTAGTGGTAGTGCATCCGTAGCTGGCCATTTCTTTCCCAGATTTGGGATATCTCCTGGAAAGACACAGAATTGGCAACGTAGCTTTCGAGGTAGAGCAATATAATATAACTAACCAAGCCTATTTCTTCTCGCTATTGCTATTATTTATCGTATCCTTTATCGAGTGTTTACGTATGCATGTTTCACGCTCCAAAGTCGGGTATCAAGGCGCTGCTATCGATCATCTCGTGTCAGAATACTTTTTGCGACATATCTTCTAGCATCCAATTTCTACAGTCTGCAATTCTTCAGCGACATTGCCATTATTGAATGATAATTGAGAGCTACACTGCACGTGATGGTAGATTTAATTGGAAGTTCTTGCATTGAGTCATCTCTCCAAAAAGTACAGCACCAGCTTCCGAGAATCACTCTTCTTGATGTAAACATGTTAAAAGGTACTAATGTGTCAGAAATCGATTAAATCTTCTCTGTGCCCTTCCTCCCTGGATCCATCTGCACAGGCAGTGATTCAGTGACGCGGTGCTGCCTGCTCCTTCCACTCTTTCCTCTGTTCAGTGCCACTATCCCCTGAACAGCTGTTCAACAGCTGCCAAGTCTTCTACCAGCGGACCAGTTGCTCCCCGAAAGCCTCTGCACAGTCACTCTTCCAGGCCTCGTGCCTTAAAGATGCCTAAATGTGGCTATTTCTTTGGCCACCGACATCGGCATCTGTTCTTTACTTCTTCTTTCTTCCTCTTTTCCCTCCTCTTCCTCTCCTCCCCCCTCTCCAGATATCGGCCCCGGTCTCCTGGCACTTCTCCTCTTCTGCCCTTCTCGTGGTTGCACTTGGCTTCATCTTCTTTGCAAAAAAGGCTGGACTTCGCTTACAGCTCGCCTTTGGGATATGACATCCCCCAGCTTCCTCGCCGACCATCCAGACCATATGTATGATCCTGGCGGCCAAGTTTAGGACTCCTTGGAGCTGCTTCCTTTGCCCGAGGCTGGCTTCATAAGGTGTCCTCTGCCATCCAAATTTTGCCTGGTATCCTGGTAAATTTTGGCTGCGCATCACGCCATCATCCGTATTGTTCCCCTGTCACTCGTTCAACTGACCAACTCCAATTCACTCATTTTGACATTTGTCGTTCGTTTCGTCACTCATTTGTTCCTTTGTCTTGTCTTTTATGCATTTCTGCCTTCTATTTACTTGCTTACACACTCGTTTCCTTGTTCTTCTCATCTTCTTCGTGGCCGTCAAAATGGCGCCTCCGATCCGCACGTATGGGAAGAAGAGAAATGCGCTTGGTTCTCTGCGTTCTCGAAATCGATCCCAGTCTTCGCCTGATCCATCGTTGGCCAAGGACCCAGGTATGTTGCTTTGGCCTACCGAGCATAGATATAGTGCAAGGCTAACTGTATCAGACCCTCTTTCGCAGTCTGTGAATACCTGCTCCGAGGCCATGACGCAGGCTACTCAGAATAGGGATGATATCCAACCAATCACTCTCGAGAGGATTGCCAGCGCTCTACTCGATGACAGCAGTTCAGACCTGCAAGAAGAAGAGGTCATACAACAAACAGAGAAAGGCGCACTGGAAATTTCTACTTCTACTCCTCTGGCTCCTGAGGCCACTACGCCCGAAATTGGAGAACGACGCATCTGCTCTCATTCGCCAAGCTCATCTAAGGATAAAACTTCCAATAGCTGTCGAGGTTGTCGCCCCGGCGCTCCACGAGTTCAGAAAGCTTCTCCCAACAACAGGTTTGCGAAGTCTTCCAGGCCACGACGGAGCTCAACTTCGTCTCCCAGACGAAAAGATTGTAGTATAAACCGACCCTTGATGAGCCCTTTGAGAAACTCGGCCAACCGCTCCTCATATATCATCGTGAAAGACGCAGAGGCAGTGTGCCTTCTTCCACACAACATCATGGATAGAGCTCCGAAAATTCTCCTTCAAGGCGAGATCACCGATGAGAAGAGTGCAATGGCGGTCAATCCCGATGATATTCAGGACAAAGTATGCGCCATGTTAGCGGCCACCGACGCTCTAAAACCGTCGTTTTCTCAGCCATGCAAATCACCTATTCCCAAGATGTCTCGTATGCCCTCGCGGGTGTTGGCCCGGGTATCAAGTGCATGGGACCGTTTGCAGACCAAGTCATCCAACTCGGGATCCAAGCCGCGTGTCAAGCTCACGAAGCAACCTATTCATGAAGATATTGATGGTCCTCTAACTTCACATCCTGTGTTTTCTTCTCCCATCTTACTCAAGACACCTCTCATTGATGCTATTGAGATTCGTCTCAACGAGGGCGACAACCTCAACAGAAAGAAAGTCCAGCAAATGGTGGGCGGCTGTGTGCCTCGCAAACCTGTCGCCAACGACGGAAAGGCTCTTAGGAGTCGCCGATCCATAGATGACCCTTTTGCCGAGCCTGCTTTGCTACACAGCCCCAGCATTATCGAAAACCATGCGAATCTGAAAATTATCTTTGGATCCAATAGAACCTCTCTGCTCATCATCGATCCATTCGAAGCCGAAAGGGGATTTGACAGTAACCTTGAAGATGGGGTCTTGAGTTCTTCCCCTGTCTGCGCTTCAACTCCCCGAATTCATCTGCATCGAGTTCAAACACCTACGATGGATGATAGTCTCGATGGACAATGCTCCAAGCTGCGGACTCAAACGAGCTTAGAGAAAATGACTACAGACTTGACTGTATACCAGTCTCAAGAAGCTGTGTCGCTAAAAAAGACTGCAAGCCAAAGTGGACATGTGCGGCCTTTGCCAAATACCGACCGCGTTAAAGTTGATTTGATGCGAGACAAGCCTTTTCTGGAAGCAGGCACGACAAAGTGGACGAAGAAACACCCATCCCCTAGCAAGCGAGATTTGGAGGAGCTTGAGATAGCTTTTCGATGCTATAGCGAGCTCAAGAGGCGTGGGATTGGTGAAGAAGCAGATGAGCTTGCAGCGCACTATACTCCGTCTTCCCGATATTTATCCCCCAGGGACACGAACAGAATGATGGGAGTCCGTGAAGAGAGCACCAAGTCTGTGTCTGTCTGCGCGGATCAGTCCTCTGCGAGATGTCAGACACGGCGCCAAAGTGATGATCCAAAAGGCCATCAAATTCGTCTTGCTCCCCTCTATCGGCCGATGGTTCCACAGTCTGATGAGACTGACGAGCTGCTATAAGTCTTCCTTGAGGCGGAAAAGCTTTTAGGGTGGTGAAAGTTGGGCTGGAATCAAAGCACATATGTACAGAATGGGGAGTCGAAGAAGCAGAAGAAAAAGAAAAGAAAAGAAAAGCTAGAAAACCAAGGATTGAGACAAAGGTAATGAAAAGGTACAGCTGATGCGATTAGGCTATGGAGTTTACGGGAGATTTTCTACACACAAGCTCGTCTGGACATTGTGCATTCAAAATGATGCTGCTGCGCGAGCCATATCTACCGTTTGGTTTTGATAGAGTATAATACACGGGACGTTCGAAAAAGGAAAAAATTGATGGTCGGCAGGAATTTGATGCAGGAAGAGATATCAAAGTAATTATTCAATAGATATTATTCATCCAAAATACTAATAATTATACAGAGTGTCGAGAAGTCGTGTCGCAAATAACATCATTATAGGGTATCATCATTCGTGCCATGGCGTCTTCTGCAAACCTTTACCAAAAACGTCTTCTGGGGCGATGCGATCCGCGGCCATCTGTGCCTCTCATTCTGCGAGTTCCGGCAGCCTGTATTTCACATGATTAGCCATTTCATCTTTTTCTTTTTAATGTTTCAACTGTATTACCTTTACACCAGGACGGTGAGTTAGGCTTCCCTTGAGCTTGGTAAGGGCGCCGCTGACTTTGTCCTTGAGGGTTGGTTTGCGGTGATGGTGCACGCGAGGCTGGCGAGGAGTGCGACGAGAGAAGATGCTGCGGCGATAGGGCCGAGCGGTGGTTGTGGTGGTGGTTGTGTGGTGATGGCGACGGGTCAAAGGCATTTTGGCTGATTTTGTTTGTCTGTTGATATGAAGTGTATATTGGTGGTTGTTTATTTTGCTTGGTGGAATGTGGAGCAGTTGATATAAGTGTTTGTTTACGATGTTGTGATTGTAAGAAGAGATGGAAACTACAGAGAAGGAAGAGCAGAGTTATATACTTGCGTAAAGGTCGAGAGACGCTTGCAGTGTATGGGCTGAATGATGTAAGTCAAGAGATATAGTGCCCTGCATGACAAAAGGACAATGAGAAGCAAGCGACGATCAAACGTAATGGATGTGAGAGATACGAGGCTGCAAAATGCAAGAAACAGGGCAGATCTTAGCGTCTTGTGCAATGTCCGATAACTTTCTGCGTGTAATAAGCTGCTTCTATTCGCTGGGGGGGTTGGAATAAGGCATCGGTGATCTTTAATTAAGGTGTGCCCCCCAGGGTCGTCATTTTACGTCACCTTTGCAACTGACGACATAAGCTTGTTTGTGGGACAGAGGCCAAGAAGTGGGTTTTGACTTAGTGGACGTTGGACCTGGACCCTTGTGGCTGGTAAACGTCATTTGTGGCTAGGGGTGGGAAATCGAGATTCAAGCAGCTTTTTGTTTTTGTGTGATTGAACTTGATGGTTCTCTGTTGATCGCTTTGTTTCTTTTTTTATGTTAATTTCAGACAAGTTTTTGGTAGCTCTAGTCTAGCTGTTCTAGATAGAATCAGATGTCTAGGTTCGTGTGAATCATGATTGAGTCCAACGTGCCCCTCTTAGCTGTATCCAGGTATCCAGCGTCTATTATGGTATCACAAAGAGCAACAGCAACGGCAACGGCAACAGCAGCGTTTTAAAGCAAAAAAACAGTCCATTTCTCCCTCCATACTAGGAGCGAATGTTCTTCTTAATAGTGTTGAGATCCTCCTCCGACAGCCCCAGCTCCTTGGTCACGTAGCCGTCCCAGCCGCCATAGCGCTCCGTGAGGCCGTCGACAAAGGCGTTCCAATACTGCGGCCGCAGCTCGACGAGGTTGTAGAAGCCGGGCGTCTCCATGTCGGTGGTTCCGACGCTCTCTAGGGCGAAGTGGATGAGCTTGTCGCGGGCAACTTCGGTGCCGATGCGGGAGAGCATGTAGTCGCGGACGGCATCGTCGGAGGCCGTGCCGGCGAGGTGGTGCAGCAAGCCGGCGAGAACACCGGTGCGATCGCGGCCAGCTGATTGTTATTCCACGTCAGTCTTGTATAGTCGTAGTGAAGGATAGAAAACTCACCTGTGCAGTGGAAGAGAAACGGCTCGGTGGGCGTATCGCGTATGTGCTCGAGAACGGCCTTGTAAGTGGGCGCATAGCTCAGAGCCACGGCCATGTATTGGTCCCTCCAGGCTTCACTGCCATCTCCCTTTGCAAACTCGGCCAGGCTGGGCGTCTGGTAGTCCCTCGCCGCAGCCCGCCAGACGTTCTCGACGCCAGCAATCTCCGGGTCGGGCCCGCGCTCCCTCTCCTCGGGTTTGCGCAGGTCGAAGATGCGGCGCACGTTGGCCCCGATCCAGGCCAGGGCGTCGGGGTCCTGGCTGGCGTACTGCAGGGTGCCGCAGCGGTAGATACGGCCGGCGGGGATGTTGCTGCCGGGGACGGCGCCGACGTCGCGGGCGTTGATGAGCGACTTGGAGGGCACAAAGGGCGCCGTGGAGAGGATGGGGAAGAGCGTCTCGGGGGGGATGGGGTCGGTGACGCGGGTCTTGACGAGGGCGTCGAGGTCGGCGGTGGAGGCCATGGCGATGGGCTTCTTGAAATTTTGTGAGATGTTCTTTAGGGTCTGACAGTAGGTATACCTGAGTTTGAGGGTATATATGGTGAATAGGTGGAAACTGAGGATGAGGAAAAAGTAAACGAAAGTTCCGAGGTTGGCACTTTATGATGGCTCGGCCTCCGAATTGCCGTTACGACGACAAACGGAAAGTGCATAAAGCTGACGAGTACGGGCTCCGCTTGCGTTTGCAGCTTGTCTTCTTCTTTTCTTTTTGTTCTATTTCACTCTGCGTTGACCATGATTCAGCATCAGCCTCTTGCTCAAGACACAAACGCATATTGACAAATAACCTAAAGTACAACCATGTATAACCATTCAACGATAAACATTCAACTCATCGCGCAAACATGATCCACCAAAGCTCCAACGCAATTGAGGGGTTCTTCAACGGCTTTCGCCCCTCCCTTTCGTCTATCTACTAGACTATATTTGCCCTTTTCCAACCCCGCCATCCAATCCCGCTTCTTCCCAACCTTTTAGCGCCCGCATGGCTTGGGCAGGTTCCTGATTAACAGCCAGCCTATCAGAAGCAGCCGATTCATCTTAGCAAATTAAAATAGAAAGACGAAGAAGGCGGCTACGAATTTGGCATTTTCTAATGTCTAATCCAGAGAGATAAGGACTATTAGACAAAAAAAAAAAAAAAAAAAGGGTTGACGCAAAAGGCGCGCTAATAACATTTACACGAACCACTTTTTGTGCCCTTCATGTAGATCTACTTTGTTAGTTTTGCGCCAAACATGGCAAACATGACAGAGTGAATTAGATTAGATGGCCCATAAATAGGCTCAATCTCTTCTATAGACATCAGGCTCTTTCCATGCTTGTTATCTGATTCACTGCTGCTGCTGCTGTGACTAGACAGAAAAGCAACAATGGCTCCATTGCCGCCGCTTGTCCGCTGGGGCTCCATCATCTCGGCCATCGCTGCCGTAGTTCTGGCTTATTCCTACCAGCAGCAGCACCCGCTCCTCTTCGCCGACCTCGGTGACCCTCTCCCGGTGTACTGCTACAACAGCGTCAGGACTCACGATAGTGACCAGCCATCGGCCGAGTGCTTCTCGGTCAAGGACGACGTCTTTGCCGGAGTCTGGGCTCGGGATGATGGCAATGCAGCAGCAAAAGACGCCGATGCCACCGTCTCGGAAGGGCATGTCATTCCGGGGTTGTGGGACGGCCATGGCCATTTGCTGCAGTACGGCGAGTTCCTGCACTCGGTCGATCTTTTCGGGTCGCAGTCGCTGGACGAGGTGAGGCGTCGCATCAAGACGTATCTTGAAGCCAATCCAGAGGCGGGCACTGAGAAGCACTGGCTTCGCGGCGTGGGATGGGACCAATCGGCCTTTGGACGGATGCCTACCGCGGTAAGTGGCAAGTACTGTTCTTTCTCAGCGGTTCAAGTGTATTAACCCCTTGTAAGGACGACATTGAGCAAGACGAGCAGCTTAGGGGCATCTTTATGATGCTCGACAGAATCGACGTCCACTGCTCCTGGGTCTCCCAAGCCGTCCTCGCCCTCCTGCCATCCGAAATCCCCAACGTCCCAGGCGGCGAAGTCATCCGCGATCCCGGCCCAGGCGTCTTCTGCGACAACGCCATGGACATGATTATGGATCTGTGGCCCAAGCCCGGAGCGGAAGAAAAAGCCCGCGCCGTCAAGTCCGCCATGAAGGAGCTCAACAAGGTCGGCCTGGTGGGCATGCACGATGCCGGCGTCACTGCGGAAAACGCCAGGCTATACTCGGAACTGGCTTCTTCGTCTCCGGACTGGACAGTTCGCGTGTATGGCATGCTGGAGTGTGACAAGAGAAACACGTTTTGCCCGGAGGACGCTCCGATGATGTCTGACCAAGACGCCAAGTTTACGCTGAGGAGCGTCAAACTGTTTGCTGGTAAGTGACTTACACGACAGCAACACAAACTATATATGTATATATCATGCTAATCTTTCTCTCACTTCAAAGATGGCGCCCTCGGAAGCTGGGGCTCTGCAATGCTCGAAAACTACACAGACCATCCCTGGACTTCAGGCTCTCTCCTCATCAACGCCTCCGCCCTCACCCAAGTCACCAAATCCTGGGCCAGCAAAGGCTTCCAAGTCAACATCCACGCCATCGGCGATCTCGCCAACCGCAACGCCATCAACGCCTTCCAAGCAGCCCTAGAGCTGCAATGCGGAGGAGAAGACGCTCTGCTCGCCGAGTGCCAGTCCACACACCACCGCTTCCGCATCGAACACGCCCAAATCATCCACCCAGACGACCAGAAACGCATTCGCGCACTGGGTATTATCCCATCCATCCAGCCCACGCACGCGACCTCCGACATGAAGTACGCCGAGCAGAGACTCGGTCCTGAACGCACCAGCAGCGAAGCCTATCGCATGAAATCTCTCTTCGATGTCAATCCTGTGCTTGGCAGCGATTTCCCCGTCGAGCCACCGAATCCTTTTCACGGAATCTACGCAGCCATGACGAGGAGGAGTCCGCAGACGGGACTTGGACCAGACCCGAAAAACCCTTCAAAGGGATGGCAGACGGAAGAGACTCTCAGCTTGGATGAAGCTCTTCTGGGATTCACGCGAAACGTTGCCTACGGAGCCTTCTTGGAGCATAGCGCGGGCATCATCAGGCGAGGCTCGTTTGCGGATTGGGTTGTGCTTGATGAGCCGCTAGAAGATGTGGACGTCGAGAAAATTCGGACTGTCAAAGTAAGAGAGACTTGGGTGGGAGGCAGAAGAGTGTATTCGCGGGATTAACAGGACTAAGTGCCATTTGTCTCGATGTAACGCCAATTGAGCATGTCCTGTCCATGTTCATGATTCTGGATTTTAAGCTCCAGGGCTAGCGCTTCGAAATGGGAACGTATTGGTTTTTTCTTCTTTTATGTCTTTGTACATCTAAAAAAAAATGCTGCAATTGTGCAGATCAGAAACTATTGACGTTCAAACGGCTGTATATAGAGACAATATGGATTCCAAGATTCAGATTGTGATATTGTTCATAACGAATCAGAAGAGAAAAAAATGAAAAGATTGAAAGAGAAGAAGAAAAAAACACCGCTATAAACGCCATCTAAGTTGCCAATCCTTAGTTCATGCATACTAAACAAAGAAGTCGCTTCCCCTCTCCGTAATTGTCCGCCTCTTCTGCCTCTTATGCTTTGACAATCACCTTGCTCTCAAACCATTTGGCAAACTTGACAGTGGGAATGTCAACTGCCCTCCAAAACACATCTGCCCACCACACCACGGTGGGAATGCAGAAGCACGCCCCTAGGATGAATCCAGCATTAAACCAATATCCTTCCACTCCAGTCACGCCGTATGCCCACTTCTCGAAGTGGTAGCCAACAACGTGCATGGCAGGTCCGTGCATGAGGTAAAGGGCATATGAGATCTTGCCAAAGTATTGGACCACTGGCAAGTTGAAAAAGCGCTGCCATCGAGGCGAGTGATTCGCCGCAATGATGAAAATGACAGCGCCCGTCGATTGCCAGTAGCGGTATCTTTCCTCCTTCCACCACTTGGGAATGAGAGATGAGAGCCATATCCAACCAGGGGTAATTTCACCTCGGCCGTCCGGCTGGCACATCAAGTACAAGCCAAGGATGCTAAAGAGAGCCCAAAAGATTGGCCAAAGCTTAGCTTTGGTTGTCCGTGACTTTTCGTCTACTGGCAGAGCCGGATTGGGCGTTGGAACATGCGCACCACGAATGTGATCGTTCTCGGCAATCAGCATTCCCACAAAGAACAGCACCAGCTCCCACCGGCTATTGCGGTATGAGATCCACATGACCAAAGCGACCGTGAGCCAGCGGACAGACGTGCGTAGGCGGGCCGTGCCGATGATGGTGAGAAAGAGGTAGAGCGAGCATCGAAACTCGACAGGAATCGTCCACAAATGAACATCGTAGGCTACATGGAAAAAAGCACGTTAGCAAAAAAAATCTCGTAACCTTGGACAGCAGTTATTTATCTGAGACTTACAAGTACTTCCACCAAATTTATCCCAGCTAAACACCTGAATAAACCTAAACATGTGCAAGAGCCAGTCCTTGTACTGAGCCAAGGCGTGCTCCATGCGAGCCGGATGGGGCTCTACAATATTCTTCATATATTTCTTATCGTTGGCAAAGTCACGAGTCCACTCGTAGGCGCCGATTCGCAAGAGGCAGATGATCATAAAGGTCGAGATGGCCGTGGGTATATACAAACGGAGGCCGCGTCGAAAGATTAGAGAGCTCATGGTGGTGGAAAAGTCGGGCCAGGCTCCATTTCGAATCAATTTCATAGGTCGGTATGAGAGCGCATATCCAGAAATGACAAAGAAGACACAGACGGCGGGAGGCCCCTGGTACCAGAGACGCAGGAATGGCAGCTTGAGGATGTGGTAGTTTGTCTCTCCGCAGCCCCATCCCTCGGCAATAGTGAATGCTTGGTAAAAGTAATGACAAAAGTACACGACTAACGCTGCCAGACCACGCATGCCATCGAGATACGCCGTTGGAGCCAGCTTGGCTGGGCAGATCTGCTCTCGAGCATGGCGACCTTGCAAGAAACTGGGTATCAGGAAAGTAAGAAAGCGAACGATGAGGATCCGCCACGGAGTCGATCGAATGAAACCAAACGGTGCCTTGAGGGTATCGGCAGAAGGACTAAGAATACCAAGTTGAAAGCGACTGTCGGCAAGGGATGGAGTCGTGGCGATACCGGCGCCAGTCAGGGTGCCCGAGCTGCTGTCACTAGTATCAGTTGCAGCATCTGAGCCCCGTCTCTCATCCAGCAAGCCCATCTTTTCTTCTTTCGATGGCGAATAATTGGGGGAAGTGTGTTCGTTCATTGCACAGCAATGAAACAAGCAGAGCCTTTTGCTCCTTATGCGCGAAGGAGCGCAGAAGTAATTCCCAAGTGACGATGTATTTGGCAGAAATCAGAGACGCTGAGTCTGCAGAGAACGAGTGGTTGATGGAGCGAGCGGTGCGAGCTTTCCTCGACTCATTAATCCGTACGTGTATACTCGCACAATACTGAACAAACGAAGGAACACCGAAAGGCAAACAGGGAACTAGAGTCGACAAAAGGAAGGATGCGACCGGTGAGAGAAAACAAGGCAAGAGTTTATGAGGGACGAGAGAGAGGAGAATCAATCTCTCTCTTTGCCATCAACTTCTCCCGTAGGACGGATAAGGAGGAGGGATGGATGAAAGCAGGATGGAGAGGAAAAGAAAGACAGGAGGACTGGAGAGGAAAGGAGCAGGAAAAGCAAAGATGCGAAGGACAGACGAGAAATGAGAAATGAGAAGAATGAAGAATAGCGACAGAACAGGAAATGACCCTTGATGGGCTCCAAAAGAAGGAGCATCAGTCTTTGCTGGAGATCCGTGTGAGGTCACGCCTTCCGCACGCTGGTTTCGGATTTCCACAATTATTCGAAGCTTACGGCGATAGCTGAGGCATGGGCGCCCCAGTGCCCACCTTCCACAGTAGGCCACTGGTTCTATGAGGGCGAGGGTGATGATTATGGAGAATGGGAGAGAATGGGCCAAAGGAAGCTTCTGCTGCGAGGAAGCGGCCGTCGATCGCCATTAGGCGCAAAGTTACGTTTAAATCTTATGTGCCGCCAGGGCAGCGTCCGTGCATGCCGACGTCTCTGGATCGACAGGCTGATTGCACGAACAGAGAGAAGCCGGAATTATAGAATAAACAATGATGAAGAGCTACAATATTGCTAGAGAGATGCTAGAATGCAAAGCACTCAGCGATGGAGCACGGCTTGTTGTTACATCGAGTGATTGCTTCCGCTTCTATTGTTCGTGGCGGGCATCCGAAAAGGGTCAACCCGAGAAATCGAGATCTACATATGTGCACGCCTCGCATCTTGGCCAAGACGGCTTATTTGCCGGCAGTGGGACTCGAGCAGCGCAGCACAGCGTCATTGTTCCACCGCTGGCACAGAGTACAGCTGTTTTCCCTTCAATTCAACACCATCAAACTTCAAACTTCAATTCGCAGCCTGCGCCGACTCAGCTCAGCGATGCAATACCCGGACTGCTTCACCTGAACATTGACAACGCCCCCAAAAACAGGGAAATGAGTAGGCGGTGGTGCCAGAACGACTGAGCATAAATGATGCCTCTCCACCTGGTTTGCCCGCACGCTGTAGATCGGTACGCTATTGAGCTGCTCGTGTTTTCGCTGCGCTATCCCTTCCTAAACCGTACTGATGTAGAAGCAAACATCCTGGACCGAAGGAGCTGGAACCTGCAGAGGCATTGCCACTGGCTCCCCTATTTTTCTCGTCTTTTATAGTATCCACGGATGTATTTTACGAGCCCGCTCTTCAGACAGAGGCGATGCATAAAGTCTCCGAAGTCGTTGCTCCGACATCTTTGCTGCAGCCTCTCCTCTCAACCAAGAAGCAGCAAAACCTCCTATCCGCCATTGAGCGTGGTTTTGCCGCCATCCACCCACCCAAAACTTAAAACACAAATTCATCTTTCCGCTACTCCATGCACGCCGCTGGGCAGAAAAGCTTGTTTGATCGCCCTGGCCGGGTCCAAATATAGCTGCCGGCCTGCCACGCTGATTGGCTCGCCGGCATGTGCTAGCGAGAACCTCGCCATGGCCACGAGCTCTACCCTAAACCCCCCCGTCTCACTCCCCAATAGGCGCGATGCCCAGCGAGCTAGAGGCTGCTGTCCCTGAGAAAACCCCTGGACCCACGGCGGATCGCGCTGGCCAGCTCCCTATCACGTCGACTAACCAACGGTCCGTCGTCTGACCTAAACGCTGGCTGATTGCGGCTTTCTCCGTACAGTATTGTCTTACTGTATTTAGTCAGCGCCGTATTTCATTCAATGCTTGACGCGTATTTGGATCTCATGCTTCTTGTGCTGGATCATCATCTTTCTCGACCTGTCGCCGCGGCTTGATGATGATGATGATTGAACCGTCAGCATTGGCCGAGCCAAGTCGAAAGAAGGGTCCGATGCCACTTAGGGATATAGTGACAGCAACCAAGCCTAGAACAGACCAGGAATATCGTCACTCCAATCCTACTAGTAGTTACCTAGCTAATACTGAATGGCCAACTACAGGTAAGCACTTTTACAAATGCAGCAACAAAACAACATTTCAGGGCAGGAAAATCTATCCAAGGATAGAATGATTAATAACCCTAGGATTGCCGACATAATGAATTGTAAACATCTCTGCAGGTGGAGATGTAAACAATCACAAAAGAAGCCCAGCACTCAATAACGACTCCATGCGCATGTCAGCCACAAGATACTCGAATCCAGGGCCTTGATAACACTGCATTACTGGCATTCGGCGCATGAACAGCAATGCCTATAAAGCTTAGAGCTGTCCAAGACGTCGGAAAGCATGCGAAAGTGAGAAATACGTATCCATTTAACGAGTGGTACTAAGAGCTCTTATAACAGAGATAAAGATAAAATACAAGCCATCACAATCTCGCACATCTCTTAACGATTCGCGATCGTTTGATCACAATACCAAGTATTCGTCCAACTTCACAGCCCGTCTTGGCCAAGCAAAGGCATTCCAACAGCTTCGCAGGCATCTATCGCCAGTAGCAGCCCCAGTCATAGGCGCCGCCTCCCTGAGGGTCCGCGTAGGCCGCATTGCCATAAGTCTGGGAGCAGTACGCGTCCACGTTGATGGACTTGGAGCTGCCGCTCCCATCGACGCAGGCCCAGTCATTGCCACTGCTTCCGCTAAGCTTGGCTGTCCATCCACCGCCGTACTGCTCGCTGCAGGCTTGCTCCATGTCGACGCTGCCGGCCCATGTGCGAGCAGCAACCGGCATGGCCAGATAGGCGGCAGCACAGGCGGCGACGCTCAAGACGTTGAAGTTGGTGAGCATCATGATGGACTTTGTGATGACTGTGCTATGTATAGAGGTCAGCGATGAGACTGGTGAAGACAGGAAGTTTTTGAGCAGAAGACTGAAGAGCCTCTTACTTGATAGGTAGATGTGGGTATTGCTGAGTGAGCAGGTTTGTTTATGAGATAAAATTGATTCGAGTAGTCGACTGACGATGAGAAAAAGAAAAACAATGATTTTCATGGACTTCTTGCAGCATTTTATACCCAAACTCTCAGTACAGCTATTATTCAACTTGGGCCTTTTCCAGCTCATTTCACGACTTCTCAATTGCTCTTTCACGCTATGACATTCGTTGGACCCAATTCATTTAGAAACACCAAGCATTGTAGATCGCGGAGCAGATCTGAATCCTGCGATCCCAGAGGATCAGGTGCGCCACCTCCCGCAGGATGGGATGATGTAAAACTTGCAATTAAACAAAAAATAAAGGCTGACCAACACGCATTTAAAAAAAGAAAAATAGGAAAAGGAAGAGGAAAAAGACAAAATAGAATGTCGCAGCCCTCACATTAGCTATCATTAAATGCTTATTTGGGGGATAGTCGCGGTGAGAAGGCTCTGCGGGATGCAATAGTCTCGTAGATCGTATCCCCAATAGACAGCTTGAGGAGCGAAATAGTCAGAATGTCGGAAATAGTCCGAGTCTACTATCGCAAGCGAGTATTTTACATGCATCGTGGCTTACTTTTGAGCTGAAATCAGGGCCAAGAAACGAATAATAACGGATTGATGACATGACCAGTTGGTCAATGTTTGCCACGTCCTTGAGGGATGCTCCCGTTTTGGCAGCGCTTCACAAAAGTCCTTGGATCGAATAACGTGTATTGGTCAAATTACGATGTTATGCAAATCTATATCTTCTTTGTAACTAGATATCATTTATTTATATATATAGATTATAAGCAATCCGTCTTGTAAGCGACGGTAAGCATCTCTTACCTGTTCAGACTATCCGTTATACATGCATTCTACTGCTCAATCCGTAACAAAAGTCCCAAATTCTCCTCATTATCCTATTTTCCCAGCAGTAATTCCTTTCTGTGATGTCATCCTAGCCTCGATCCTTTCAACGTACCGTAGAAGATGGGGAACATGAGCCTACAGATTTGGCTTAATAGCTATGCCTTTCCAATGCTTGAGTTTGCGACATCAGTTACGCGAGATACTGATGTTCGACAGAACGTATCGCCATGATTTCTAGAGCACTATTCAATTCTCTTTACAAGACATGTAATTGTTATTAGGTAATAGCGCTTGCTTTGCATGCAACACCTACTTAAAGTTATCTCGCCTACCCAGCACTCGACCTCCATCTATTCATTATTGCAACTCTTCCTGTAATGCAATGCTTCGCCTGAAACTTTTGTTTCTCTCTCTTCTTTTCACGCTTCTGTTTATCCTCTTCCATCTGGCCATCATGATCAGTCCTATCCTTAAAATAGCTGCTTACAATTGATACCCAAGATGTCAGGATAGCGCTGGCAATGTCAAGACATGATGTAAGACAAGTAGCCGGGTCTAGATTCTGCTACGGGTACGATCCAAGGCATCAACTACGCCCTTAAAGTGTAGCCACAAGTCTTCGTTTAGGATGTTGTGAGCAATTTCGAGATTCTCATTCACCTCAATACTCTGTAGGCCCCTCCCTGTAGGGCTCTCCTAAGAGCCGGATTCAAGACACAAAGACAGCTGCGCATGTATACGTGTACATGCATGCAGACTTCAAAGTATCAATTCTAGACACATAACACAAAGCCGGTTCGAGCCAGTTGGTGTGCGACTAGTAAACGGTCAAATAAGAAAGAGAGAGAGAAAAGCAGCAACCTGATTCGACGGCCTTGAGCAAGCTGATACCTTGACCTAATTCCCCTGTACCGAATTGACTCTGCACGAAGAACATTTCGAACAACTCATATGGACATGACGAGAATGAACAAAATACAAAGAAGAAACCTCGGTTCAGCCCTGAGGACATTGTGATGCCTTCATGGCTGGTTAGACTTGGAGGAGTTGTTGAGTGGTCGTGTGGATCCACTCATATTAAACAAGCGTCAATGATCAGTTCATCTGGGCCTTGATAATAATAAAAACAAGGATGGTAATGACATAAGCCTTTCTACAGTAAGCTTAATTATAAAACGCGTTTCAGGCACTACTAAATGGGTAAAGGTAGGTTAGAATAGGCTCCTCGTATATTTCGTATATGCAGTTCTCACCCACGTCTAGTGAGAATCTGTATAGTACCTAGCGTAGCTCCACTACACAACTCCTTTCAGACCACAAAAGCTACAAAAAATAGGGACTGATCGACAAAACTGCTTTGAAATTAACAGAAGAATAACTCATGCCCATACTCAGTAGCTTAAAGCATGCGGAATTGCGAATCTACCTCTTTTGGTGGTTGCATGGACACAGTCACTTTGTACTCGAGCAATCAGTGAATTTAATTAAACTTTTTATATTCAGAATAGAAAAGTGGTATATAGGCTCAAGAGTTATTTACGAGCAAGTTATTAAATATTTACACAGGTGCAGCACATCCGAATGAAGTGGCCACTGTACCTCCAGGTCCGAAAATCGTGATGAGACCCTCAATGGCGGCCCAGGAGCCCATACCAGAGCAAACTAGACCACCGAGGAAGTAGATGATGTTCATGATGTTGATGTGCCAGTTGACCTTGAATCCACGAACCCAACGCTTCATACCGGAATCGTGGCGGGTAGTCACACCGGTAACTGGGTCGAAACCCTCACCGGGCAGAGCAGCGTCCTCCTTGACGCGGTATCCAATATACAAGAAAGCGGGGAAAGTGTAGGTGAAGTTCAGGATCAGGAGAGCGCCAACAATACCGGAGATACCGTTGATGTTGGGGACGGCAGCACCGACGATGAAAGCAAGAGCCCAGTAAAGAGGTCCAAGGGCATACCACATCCAGCGACCCTTGCGGGTGGTGATCGGGGGGAGGCCCATAATCTCTTGGAATACCTCGACGTAGACAGTCTTCATGCCGACGTTCATGTACATGACTAAAGGATGAGTAAGTTAACTATTGTTCAAATTAAATAGCCTGGGGATTTGAAATAATACTTACGACAAGCAATAGCTCCTGTGATCAAACTCAAAACGTTGTTCGCAGTCTGCAGAGAGAATGGCTGAATAACGGTGTTGATGGTGGAAGCAGAGTACTGTCCATAGTGGCCGTAGACGAAAGCACCGAAGAAGATGTAGACAACGCAAATGAAGGTCTGGGCGCAAAGCATACCCTTCCAGAAGTCCCAAGGGTGGCGCATCTCAGCAAGGAAAGCGATAAACAGGAGAGCACCACCGTAGCTGTATACCATCTGGTTGATTCCGTTAAACTGACCAGCGAAACCTGTAGCTTGCTGCTGGTACTGATCGGGAGGCGGGCCAGCAAATGTCTTGATGGGCTCAATAGTCTTGATGCGAGTGGAAGCGGTAATGGCCTGGTAGTCGATAGGGAAGTTGGCGCAAGCAACCATTATAATAATGAAGGAGACAATGTTGATCCAGACGGACAGGTTGGCAAGCCAGCCAATGCGCTGCAGAGAACGGATGCTGCCAAAGATCATGCCGACCACCATGAAGATGACGAGACAGGCAATGTAGCAAATACTCTCACTGGACAACTGGGCGATAATCGTACCACTTCCCAGAATCAAGACAGCGACTGTCATGAACTGTTGAATGGCCTGAGCAACATTGATGAAGTGACGAGCAAATGGTCCGTAAACTCGGAAATAGGTGTCACCGAAAGAAACCATGGGGAAGCGAGATGAGTCGAGGCCAAGGAAGACCTTCCACAGAATGTAGCCAGAAAAGGCAGCGGCAGCACCAAATACGATGTACAGAGCAACACCAGGGCCATATCCGACACTGGCAAAGACGAAGGGAGTTGATGACCAACCCAGGATATCAGTAGTGATGAGATAGAACATGGTACCCCAACTAGCTGTTCGCATGGCACGAGAGGCCTGCTTCCATTCCGCCTCGGTGGCGACGCTAGAATCCTGGGTGGTGAGAACACCAGGGTTCTTCTCGTCAACAGGAGAGTCCGTACCGCTGTTTGTAGCAGCAGCCGCCTCGGCCTTCTTCTTGTTCTCATGATGGACGCCCTTTGAGAAACGGCCCAGGAAAACACTCTTGACGGTTCTTGGGCCATGTTCGGCCTTGAAGGTGATGTTGGCTTGGTGTTCTTCTTCTCGCTCAATATCGGCCCAGTATCGGTATTCCTCGAAGGTGACTGTAGGGTCGGTACGGGCAGCGAAACCCCAGACTCGTTCCCGAATCATCGGGGGCTTCTCGAGCTCTGCCTCTTTATCAATGGCTGTGTTGATGATATCATTGTCGATAGCAATGGGCTGTAAGCCCCCAGTGGGCTGGAGAGTGGCCATGGTGAAGGTTGATGTTTCTGTCCTGACTCTAGAGAGAGAGAGAGAGAGAAGAGGACCAAGGGAACGAACACACACACACACAACAACAACAACCAAAGTTGAGGTGGTGGAAGAGGAGGGGGATATAAGAGGATGAGAAGGACTCAAGGGGATGAGCTGAGAGGAATGAAGAAAACGATTGTTACACGTGGGAGGAGCAGGTCTTTATCAATGAGGCTGGGGTAGGAGGCAACTGGTATGGAAATGTAACCCTCCTACATAAACGTCTTCGGAGCAAGGCCTGGGGTTCTCCACTCCTCGAGTATAACCCCGACAGAATGATTTACAACAACCAACCTGGGTGAAGATAATGCCTCTAGCGCCTCAGCTCAGGTGTTTGAGAACTTCTGTTCATCCTTCAGCCATCGAGAGCGAGACCATCTTAGTCGGACCGCTTACCCCGGAGAAGGAGGCATGGGCTATCTCACGATGCCATGCGATAGAGGCAATCAATCCGGTGACGCCTACTAGTCGTATCCACCCCCGCGCGACAAAACAAACCAAAGGGCCCAGCCGATAGGAGAAAC